GCGCCCCCCCCCCCCCCCCCCCCCCCCCCCCCCCCCCCCCCCCCCCCCCCCCCCCCCCCCCCCCCCCCCCCCCCCCCCCCCCCCCCCCCCGCCACGGACGAAAATCAATCAATCAGTTCAGTCCAAGAACAAGCGAGAAAAGTAGATTGCCTTTAGGTTTTTGATCCTTCCCGCGTCCACTCTCGCGGTTCTTTGCCACGATGCCCGCCGGTCCGCATCCCCGCCCGCGTCTCGTCCGAAGACACTGAAGGAGCGCGCAAGCGAGCCTCGACAGTCAATCAGTTCGCCAAGACCATATATGAACCGTTATGATCGGGTTGAATTTTCTCACGACTCAAACGTTCCGTGACTGTGGAATCACTTTTGCGCCACTTGGTGCAGAACCCCAGCACACGTGAGTATATAGATATAATCTGCCCTAACTGGCTTCCTATGAGCACCAGTGTATCCAAAAGGGGAAGTTTGGTCCACTTATGCGATATCCCCGCGTAACATTGATGCCAGGTTGCTTCGCTTCGAAATTTATATACCAGATGGGTGCGTTCCTCGTGGCACCGCGTCAGGTTGCCATACCATCGGGTCTGGGGACGAGGTCTTGTTTTAAGGACGGGGATCATTCATGCATGTCTTTCGACTGTCTACGCTAGCCCCGGCCTAGGGTAAATATTTCACACGTGCACAAGGCCAGGATCATGGGACCTTTTTCATAATTACAAAGTCTAACGGCTTGGCTGGGGCTTTAATACGTGGTAGTTCGTGAGAACGTGTCTTACTTACGCACGAAGCTTGCCCCTACCGAGTCAACCTCGGCCGAGGCCCGTCCGATTGGTGTCTTGACCGGTTACTCGGTTATTCGTAAGCTCCGAGGAAGGTTGTCAGATTATCGGATTTGTTACTATTTCCGGCTCTCGATGTCTCACCGGTAGGTAGGATATTCCCTGATCATTGATCACCGCACAGATCTACCCTCGTTCCGCTCTCTTGTAGGCAGTTGATTGACTCATTTCAGTCAACTTCCTAATGCGGTTCTTGGTTCCTTTTGAAGGATGCTGCGGTAGGTCACACCAGGGCTAGAGACAGTTTCGCATTGTGCTCGAAACATGCAATTTGAAGCGGTTGCTTGACCCGGTTATTGCTATTCACAGCTTTTCTCTTAGAAAATGTCTATATGCAGTTGTACTCTAGCGTCTTTAGTCTCCGAGCTCTGTCCGAACTTCTTCCTACATGTATTTGGACTCTTAGATTCGGCTTATTACCTATATTTTCAAATTTCATTGAACTATGGGGGGAAATAGGAAAGGATGGCTGTTGAAATCCACCATCAAGCAAGAGACGTTAGCATCAGCTCTCCCCCTCATGTGTGAAAATGTCGCCTAATTCACACTACCCATCTGTAACAAGAGAATTATCCCCTAGACCTTGTTAGAGAAACTCGCACTATGACTGATAGAGATTGTATGTACATGGAAGCGCTTTAACTAGTTAAATGTTGAAGTTCATGGGATCTATTCCATTTCAAGGAGCTCCATCGCTCATTACCACAATGCTATATCTTCTGCCTGGTCTTAACATTGCCAAATCCATCAATGCGCTACTTCTTGTCCTTTGTGACACCTTCCTGCTATCGGCCTTTGTTATTATTGATAGTTGCCCGAGTACTCCAGATCGCTCGTATTTACAGGCATGACTGTGCGTAGTCTAGAGCCGAGAGCATTGATGTTCAAGCCTCCCTTTGATCCATTGTAGAGTTCCGAATCAAAAGTTCTACATGGTATATAATTCTACCCTTGCTACCTTACGCGTTCATTGAACTCAGAGGTTTCGTATTGTTCCTATATGCCGTTAGACATAGGAAATTCTCATCGAAGACATTACCATATCCTTATTGTTTGAGCCACATCACGGTAAACGTGTCACCTAGTGTGTGCTGATAAGAAACGAAGAAAACTTATTGATAAATTAGTGAAGTGAGGAAGAAAGTCCAATGGTGAGCAGTGTTTCACTGAGTGTGATGAAATTAGAAGGTGGTTGGTAAACTAGAGGATCATATTCGCATCTGCCTCAGGAAGCTGTCAATCTCACGTAGAAGTTCGTGGCTTTCTCGCTGGACACGGAATGGGACCACTTAGCAGATATCGCCGAGTCATATATGATAGATATTATTAGATGATAAGCAGTCAAGCGTACGCTAATTATCTTTACACGGTTCTCTTAGCATCGCAAGCGACTGGAAGCCCGGAGCGATTTCTGTTCTTTAGGAACTAAGTAGGTATTGTAAAGAAGGAAAGTTAATAATACTCTCACAGTAAGATCACATGTGTGTGGTATTAGTACTCGCAATGTGATATGTTATACTTCGATAGTGGCTCCCTAGTGTTGGTAATAATATAGCAGTTGATAAGAACACGGCAGCCAGCCCATCAGAGTGCCCCATCAGTGATACTGACAGGTATCAACGTAAAGTCGGGATAACGTACATTGAAATTGATTTTGCATCTGAAATCCTTCAAGATTATCAGCTTTCGACTAGCAACATGGCGTTGCTTCTCTTATTATTAGAGATTTATGTCTGCACTTGCTCTAGTCATAACTCCATACAACGAACGGCGGTATTAAGAGGTAACTGTAGAGAAAAGATTTTTAAATATTAGAAATTTCCCAAACAATCAATTATAATGATACCTGCTATAGAATTAGATGATTTAGACTACAACATACTGGTCAGCTTGTATCCTATGGGTCTTATAACACGACTGTGTGAAGAGACAGCACACTCCTTATGGATATAATGCTTGAAATGCCGTGTAAACAATTAAATAGGCTGTCACAATTGACCTAGGTACTCTGAAATCAGGACGTTAATTACATCATCTGTATGAGTCACTGTACTATCATCAGATGTTGTGTCACGACTGAAAGAGTAGGTAGGTATCCTCGAGGTTTCGTCAAGCGGAATAGAACACAAGGATCAATTAAACATAGCAGAAAACATGTTAAACTATTTATGATTAATGTACAAAAGATCTCTTCTAGATGGTATGTAAATAAGAAAGCATCAACCTTCGAGGGTTGTGAGTCCACGTACCTATCACCTGTAGGTACGTACCTTAGGCTCTATGACTGCCAACTGGCGTGGCGCACACACTGTGTGTCCGGCTTGCGGTAGGTACTTACCTCGCCTACTTACGAAGTAGCTACCGGTGAATGACACAGCGCCGAGATTTAGCGACCCCCCATTACAGACAACAACCCCACCATCATTCTGGTTGCATCATTGCTTGCATCTTCTGCATTCGTCCTTTTCCTACTTGCCACATACGCCAACTATTAGGTTTCACGTTTGTCGTGAAAGAATATTCCGGTACCAAGAAAAAGACAGTCAAAATGTCCAGTCGACAGCTGCGCAAGCTCCAGCGCCAGAGAGAACTTGAACAGCTTCAAGCCCCAAGCCCCGCCAACAAGAGCGAAGACGAGAGCGAAGATGACGCGCCTGTGCAGAGGACAAAGCGTGCCGCCTTCTCAGCATTCGCTGCTCTAGGAGGGCAAGACAACAATAATGATGAAGATGAAGACAACGACGACAGGAAATCCGAGTCCACCGAGGCCCCGTCGCATCCTGCCGAAAGCGCGACCTTCGCAGCGCCCTCGAGTAAAAGCAAAAAGAAAAAGAAGAAGGGAAAGAAATCTAAAGCAGCCACGAAATCATCTGAACAACAACATACTCCTATAAGCGCCGGCGATGAAATCGACGAAGCCCTTCGAGAATTGAACCTATCGAATAAGAAATCTAGCGCATCAGCTGGTTCGCAAACTGACAGAACGCGATCGATAGCATATGAGCGGATCTGCGAGCTTCTGCGTATCAACACCCACCATTTGAAGGTTGTGAATGAGATGCGTAATCTCTTCGGCCGCGATGCGATCGCCGCCGCTATGAACGAGGAAAATGAAGAACGCACACGCACGCAGCGAACGAGGCACATGCAGCAGCAAGTCGACCTAGAGACCTTCCTTAAGGGGCAGCCTGGTAAGACCTTGCCTGAGGTTACGCTTCGTAGGAACCCATTCTTGCCAGGGAAAGATACATGGCCGCGCGCTTCCACAGGCGGCCTTATTATGGAACAAATCAAAGACACGGCATCCACAGATAAATCCATACCCGGAACAGTCGAGTTCGCATTTGCACACCTCCCAGGCTATAACAGCTTAGAGCAACAATTCTTTCAACTGGTTCAAATGTTGGACCCAATGCAGCTTGTACACTTTTTATATGGTCATCCATACCATATTTCTACACTAATACAGGTCAGCAAGGTTGCCAAGCAAGATCAGAACTCGGCACTTTCAGCTGATCTATGCGAACGAGCTTTGTTCACATTTGGGCGTGTAGCTCTGTCTGGTTTCCGACAGAAAATGGAAGAGGGCAAAGCTCGGCTTGACTTCAGGCGACCAGAAAACAGGCAATTCTGGCTCGCCGGTTATCATTATCTGAAAAATTTAGCTATGAAGGGGACATACAGAACTGCCTTGGAGTGGGCCAAGCTGCTATTCAGTATGGATTTAAACGACCCTTACGGCATGATACACTTTATTCATCCTATGGCTATTCGAGCCCACGAATCCAAATGGTTCATTGATTTCTGCGACTCGGAAATTTTGGACAACTTCGATACGGCGCAGGACTATGTTCGACAGACGTTAGTGCTAGCTAGGCTACAACAAAAAGATACGGCTGGTGCCAAGGCACTCCTAATCGAAGGCATGGAGCGGCTCCCGTGGCTTTATAGCAGCCTGTACAAGGCACTCAACCTAGATGTGCCCAAAGCGATCTGGGGTATGCAACCGCGCGATGGCCACGAGGAACTCTTCGTGGAGCTATATATATACCAAACGAAGAGCTTGTGGGACAACGCTCAGGCGACAGGCTTATTAAAAGAAGCAGCTCATGAGGCAAAGAAGCCGAATTTCCAGACTTTCGGGTTCCCACCTGTGGCCGGGCGGAACGTTGCTAGGTTTGTTTATTTGGATAACACGCCGTCCCTGATGGGCCACGTTCCGGGGGGCTTGCTTAGCACAACGCCCAACTGGGAGTTCGATCCCATCCCGCCACCAAAAGACGAGAATATCTTTTCGTACAAATCTCAACAACGCCCGTGGGAGTCTAATCAGGATGGCCTACGTGGTTTCGATATTCCACAAGATGTGCTGGCATTGCGCCAGCTTCTTAACCAAGTTAGGCATAGGGGCGCACCGCCGGAATTTGACGCCATAATTGAAGAAGCAATGGCCGAAGTTAATAATCTCCAGCGTGCTAATAATGAGGGTGATGATCACGAAAGCGATGAAGAGGGCGACGCCGAGCCCCGCCAACGCGTTGCGCCCGGTCTCGTCCAAGCGCTGATGGGTCTATTCAATATCAGGGCACCGGGAGCCGAAGGCGAAAATGAAGTAGATAATGAACCTAACCATGATCGTTGGGACCTAGCTGAATCTGAATTGGAAAACAGGATGCCGGGCGCATGGGGAAGTGATTCGGAGGACGGGATGCCGGCGTTGCGTGTACACAACGCGGACGATGCCGAGGGAGACGCGAGTGATGACGAAATGCCAGCTCTAGAACGCCCGACGTAGATAGTTTTAAACATTAAGTATTGAGTAGTAACATGGTCTACCTAGTTTACCGTACAATTCAAAGGATGTGAAGTGCATGAAATAGATGCCAGTTAAAAGACGACAAGTAGGCGATGCGCCAAGACGGCACGTTACGAACCAGAAATGCAGGGTCAGTTAGCCACATATCGTACCTAGATCTAGTAGCCACGCGTAAATCAGGAACTGGGCAGATCATTACCGATCAGTCAGATGCCGTTTCTGGGCATCATAGGTGCTATGTAAACACATCAGGCTGTTACATACCTATATACGTCACCAGATGCTTCGGAGTTACGGAACCCCCATAGACTACCTACCTACATAGTAAGTATTGAGCCGGGTGTGTGATAGTTCCGAGTAATGAGCAAGTTTTGATCTATTTTCCTCTAATAGTGTCCGTCGCAAAAGGAGAGAAGCTTAACTTGTTTCATCTGGACATTACGAGGCATTACGAAGCAACGCCTGGAAACTTGCGCATGTTTCATTTCACGAGACAATGATTAGGTGGCTTTTCTCTGTCGTCCCGGCTCGGCGTGTACTTCGTAGGTAGCGCACGCGACCGCTGGAGCCGAAGTCGTGATAAGCGCGGTACTTGGTATACATCAAGACAGACCGTGCATTCTCCTGGATGGATTCACATCACACTGTATTTGCAGCGGATGATAGACACTTTCACTAGCTCGGTAGTGCATTGCCTTGAGTGCCATTTACAGAGGCTCTGTAGGGGATTTAGATGCGCCGCACTGTGATGGCAAGTATAAGTTAGGTAGGTATAGTTGGGGGAAGCTTGTGGAGGGGTTCCAGCAAAGCCCCTCCCTTCCCGCCGTCAAAGTTGTCAAAGCCGACAGTCGCATTATTAATAGCTGTATAGGTAGGTATATCAGCGTCCTACTTAAAGTAGCATCTGGCCTCTTCTCCATCTTCTCTCATCATACACGCCCTTCTACACACTCACAGACCCATCATTGCGATAGACACCATAGACCGTGATACCTATACATCTAAGCGGACCCCGCAATCTCCGAGACACTACACCAAACACAATGGCCGACGCTCACACTTACAAGTTCGGAGTCGCCATGAGCTGCGGCGGCTGCTCCGGCGCCATCAACCGCGTTCTGGGAAAGCTGGAGGGTATGTCCTTTCCTCGCTACTCGAATGTCAACCCATGTCATCCGACGATCCGACGCCCCTCGCTATTCTTTGACTCCTTGTCGCATACACAGAGCTCCTTCCCTACTCTGTTTTCTAAGCGGAGTAAACCTCTCGGCTAATCATTTCTTCGAACAGGTGTTCAAAGCTACGATGTATCCCTTGAGAAACAAGAAGCTGTCGTCGTGGCATCCGAAGGCCTCGACTACGAGGCCGTTCTCAAGACGATTAAGAAGACCGGAAAGAAGGTAGAATGGGGCCAGGCTGACGGCGAGTCCAAGAGCATCGACCTGCCTGAGTAGAGACTGTTACTTTGAAGAGGAGATATAGAAGGCGTAAGACGTATAGATGCGTGCTCTACGGCTCATGCTATGATGGAGAGATGAGGCGGAAGACATCAGCAGGCTCTGTGTGGGTTTTGGTGCACTCTTTACATAAGAAGATCATGCAGGGACCGACACGATTGATTGATTACTTGACGAATAGCCCGGAGTTAGGAAATCTTGGAATGAATAAACTCATGATGAAATGAATGAATCATGCTATCAGTAGACGGCCTGCATGTCACGTATTATCTGATCATTGAGACTCAGTTTGTAACTTCTGTGTTTTGTAGAAGCTTGTGCCTATTACCCTTCACATGCCAAAATGGCATTACTACTACTTACAGTCAACAGTCTCTAGAGTAGATTGAGCACACGTGCGAGTGTAAATTACAGACTACTTGATAAAAAGCTCTAAACTGACAAGAACACTTCTCGTAAATATTTCGTTGGATTTGCAAGCCCTCATATATTCCGCTAGATTCTATTCATCGCTTCTCGCCCCAGCCGATCATTTGATTATGATTATTCAGCTATTATTCTAGCTTAGGTAAAGCAGGCAAGATGGGTAGACTTCCGAGTTGTGATCAACTCATCCGGCTACACTTGAATTTCATCCCTTTTTTGGCCCTCTTTCCTTTTATTTTTAATTAGCAGTGATATAGATTTCTGTAGCTGCCGTCAACCCGAAGAGTATTCGCCAAATAAAAAGGGGTAGAGAGGAATAACCCAAGAAACATGGTCGTCAAGGAAGAAAAGTAACAAACAAGACCAAATTCTCTGAGATAGCCTGCCAAAGACTGCCGTCAGCCAGGCAGTCAAGTAGTATGTCTTCATGGTTCAGCTTAGCCCAAGTGCCATATGACGCCCCTGAACCTAAGCTTTACCCAGGCAGCGTTTTCCGATCTACTAGGCCGCCGACCGTCGGACCAGTGACTGCAGGCGTCGCGCAACATTCTGTCGAAGCTGGCGAGGTACGACGGTTCGACGTATAGATCCTTGTCTGGCCCTTGTATCGGCTCGTAGTCGTCCTGCCGCGCCCACAGGTTGACGCCGTACATTGTCGTTACAACGATGCGGTCGTGTTCTTTCAGCTTTTCAGTGCGCCACTCGTCATATGTGCTGCTATTTATCTTTCTGAACACCCAGTCTATCATCTCTGCGACTGATCTAACTACGTCCGCCGTGTAGCCTGTCTGTGTGGGCGTCGGGGCTGTGAGCATCTTGTGGTGGATGGTGAATTCAGGTGCAAGTGTGATAGAGATGAGTAAGGATGATATTCAAGGCCAGTATTGATCATGGGCGGAGTTGTCGATTTATTTTACCGTGAGGTAACTTTGAGAATCTCTGCCGCTTTCATATAAATGAGTTGTCGCTTGTTTCGCAGTTTCTTAGGCCGCGTGATGCCTTTTGGAAGGTGTTATGTTTGTTATCTGTTTTTTCTTTCTTTTGCCCATTTTCATAACTGTCTTACTCGTTATTGTTACAAGGTGCTAGTTTATTAAGTCCCGTGTTTGTTTCCCCGTGTTACTCACTGCCAGCAATTAAGGATAAATGGAAACCTTAGCAATCATATGACACGTCGTCCAACTCAGTCGTTTCCCCATGACCAATTCGACTTACAGCAGGCAGCGAAAACTGGTATCTCTACAAATACCTCGGATGAACAGTGCAAGGCGGAATCTGCAGCAACTATTTACAACAAGGGCAGAGATACTGGGCTTGGAACTTGGAATTCAGATCATAATGAATAACTAGGGTTGTATGAGTTCTTGACTAACCAACTCCTTCTTGGCTGTTGGTGGCTTGGCTCGACTCTATATACAACTGGTTTGCCAGTCCAGGCCGCCTAGGTCTCTGGGGTCTGTTTCAAGAAGCGAAGTCTGTATAACCTCACGTTCTAGTATTGCCAAAATTTTGCCTGCATGTCTCTGTAAGATCATGAACAGCCTGCAATGGTCCTCCGTACTGCCGAAGCGCAAGGCGAACTGCATATTCAGCTGGCACAGCGGTTTTTGCGTGTAACACTATTAATGGATCAACAGCCTTAAGACAACAAACTCGGAGTGTAATTGTGTGGACTTTCATTTGGCCGAATTACAATCACCAATTTCTAGGGGATCTACTGTTACTGAAACAATCCCGTTCTGGTAACACTCAACGGAGAGCGGGAACCGGTTGACTTTGTATACTATTTACCACCTAACTTGTCTTCATTTATTCAGATTGCACAATGCTCGGAATTTTGTGAGTGTCACTAACATGGACATAATTCCTTGTAACGAAAGGAGACCATGATGTATTACAAAGTAGCTATGCACGAGAAAGTCAGAGATTATGAAATCAGCTCAAGGCCTGGACTTAGACTTACGAATGTTATAAAACTCATAGGCAAATTGATGTTGATAATGGCTTTATATATAGTAGCATTCGTAATTTAGTCCTAATACCCGGAGGTACGTCCTATTACTAGCAAAATCCCTAGTATTCCAATGATGACGGACTAGTTTCCTTATGTTTTGTCACTCAAGAACTACAGTACATGATCATACTTGATCGTGAGAGCTGCAATCATCGATGTACGACTGTGTGATGTTTGTTGTTGCACGAAGGCCTCTTCGAAACATTCGGGCCTAGGCTAAGGTAATATACAGCAGGTTTCTTTGTTGTAGCCCTAGGATCGTGACAGTTTCAGAACTGGTTTCCTTGCCTAAGTATCTTTACTCCCTATGTTTGTTAAACCTAGTAACCTTACCGTGATTCTTCAAAATTACGCCAATGCCCAGTCTTTTGAGGATAAGGGGCTACGTCATGCGAAGTGTCTGCATGGGACTACTTGCTCGCCCCCAATAGACCAAAGAAGCTGATCAGGCTTATAATTAGTCGTAATGGTTGTGCAGGATAGTCTCACATGGCAACACGAAATGCACCCCGGGAATCATGTCTTGCGTGAGCTTGCATATGTATGTACCACCGCCTAATATCCGAGTCGACGTCCTGGTTAAAAGCATGCGGGAAACAGAGAAAGTTTTAAAAGCCCCAGAAAGCCCCGAGACTGCGTCTGGCGTATAAAGAACAAGACTCGTCATAATTATAGGACATCATGCTCCCCCATATTTCAATTTTTGATATTAATCATATCGGCAGATTCTGCAGCATGTTCACCATCAAAACCCCAAAAGTGAGGATGTTGAGTAATTTGAGTGATATGATCCTGTGCTAATAAGGGCCAGATCTGATATATGCTATAGATACCTGGCTGGGGACTTAATGGAGCCGAGAACCAACACACATGATTCGAGCCCTGGGTGCTGAATGGTCATTTATTCTCCTCTCCCTATAGGATATGGCGAGATGTGGCATATGCTGACAAGTTTCGATGCAGTCGTCCCTTTTAAGTGGTTTACGGATGACGAGGGAGCACGTCACTGGCTTGTTTGTTGCCGTGGATATCCCCAGGCACCCCTTCCTAACAAGGTAATACACTGCGAGATAGCTCTTGTTATGGTATTTTCCTTTACGGGAATACCGGTATACTATGTATACTATGTATATCTATTTATATATTCATTGAATCATAATCAACAGACAATTTCCATCTTAAAAAATACTCTCATCTAATATCGCTGGTTTCTTTCGGACTGTATCTAACTGACAGTGACCAAACCACCTAGAGGTAGCCCTTATCTGTGGTGTGGTTTCCAATACATATGTACCTACTTAGGTACTACTTAGTACCTATTACTTACTTTGATACCTCTTGCACAGGCGCTTTGGTGGAGAATTGGGCTTCGCAGGACTCCGCGTGCGAGGTACCTCCCTGGGTAAGTACTTGAGTAAGTACTTCAGTAGGTACATGAGGTAGCGGGGGCTTGGCTCGGCCAGCCAAGTCACGTGGTGGTTCGGCAAGGGACCGTCGGTAGGCGGATGTAGCTGATTGCCTTTTCTTAATATCAGCTTGTTATGAATATTGTTACCGTCTTTTGTTGTGCTCACCTTTGCGCGCGACTACAGGCTAAGCTAGTTCTCTGACCAGTGTCCCCCTCGCGTCGAATTGGTTGTAACATAGTATGTGACGGTGGGCGATCTGGGAACTTAGCCCTACCTAGGTAGGCTTTGCCGCGCCCGACTGCTATGTGCAACATTCAGATATATATACTTAAGTGCCTCCTTAGGTAGTTATTTCAAGGGAATGGAAACCGTCAGTTTCATCTCAGTCTTTTAACTCGCTCATTTAGTTACTGCTGACATTCCATGATATGTTCATGATTTCTTACGTCAATTCATCATTTCACTTCCCTTGCTTTGGAGTCCCGCCCAAGTTGGCCTGAGAGTCTGCCAACGCCCCATCCACTTATTACCTAACTATTCATATCTTTAATCAACGTCGCCGCGACATCCGCTTAGCATGGGTGAGAATACGCCGAATGCTACTGCCTCAGGGCAACATCGTGTTGTGAAACGGCCAAGGCCCGTCAAGAGCTGTCTGGAGTGAGTGCAGCCTTATTGAACTCTTATTGATCTTCATATTATCTGGGGTTGTATGTTGGGCGTGGACCTTGTTTCCATCGTGGCTTTTTGGCTTGTAAGAGAACGGCTTACGTAACTAATGGCTACAATGAAGATGTCGCCGACGAAAACTGCGATGCGATCGCCTCATGCCCTGTACTCAGTGCCAGAAGTCGCAGCGCTCGTGTCGCTATGTCGCTGAGGGCGAAGCGGGTAGTCTGTCGGATACGTCTGATGCTGAGACGCTTGATCGAGCACCAAAGAGGAGTTGCGCCTCGGTGGGCCAAGAGGGCAACCTACTTGATGCTCATTCACAGGCCAGCACAGCGCTATTGGAAGACTACGGCATGCGAATCGAAAGACTTGAGCAGGCGCTTCTGGAGAAAACCACGCCATTCACTGAACGAAGCAGCGGGTATCGGTCCCATCGACCAGTGGCATCGGCGCTGACTATGCGGGGTCTCACCGTCAAAGGCGGGTCTCGAACACGGTTTTTCGGTCCGAGCAGTGTACGGGTATTAGTGAATCTGGTAAGCCAGTCTCTTGATTGACTGCTTTATACGCGTTGGCAAAGCTGCTCACTCAGCGCTGCATAGTTTGACGAGGCAAAGGAATTCATGTTTAGTGGAGGTGACTCGAATGATATACTTCAATCATTTCTGCTCGTCCAGAAAATCCACAAAGCCATGCAAGAGGAATACCGAAAAGCTACTTCTCCTATCACAGTTTATGTGGATTCGATGACACCAATCCACAAGCGCATGACCGATGTTTTACCCAGCAAGATAGCATGTGATCATTTGGTCAAACTCTATATGGATGAATCTGAGACACTGTACCGAGTCTTGCATATTCCCTCATTTATGGCCCAGTATAATCAGTACTGGGAAGGCAATCAACAACCCGACTATTTTCTCCCACAATTACTGTCAATACTTTGTGTTGGGTATCGATTTCATAGGGCTGGCAAGGGTCAGTTTCAGAACGACAGGGAGGGGATTCATACGCCGACTGCTTGCGCTCTGGTTAGAGCGTGGCTAGACAGTCTTCGAGGTAAACAACTTGTTGAGTTTAGCTCTCTACAGACTGAAGTCCTCGCTCTCATGGCTCAACGAGTGCTTAGTACGCAAAGTCATGAAGCTTGGCAGCATCTTGGCCTTCTGGTCAGAATGGCGATGACAATGGGTCTGCACCGGGATCCATCCGAATTCTCCCACAAGATATTACCCTTTTGGGCCGAGCAGAGACGCAAACTTTGGACAACCATCCTTGAACTCGACATACATATGTCTATACAATGCAACTTGCCTAGCTGCATCCGTGAAGGTGATTTTACCTGCGGGCCTCCCAGAAATCTGAACGACGACGAACTGTATCCGAACATGATTGAGCTTCCCGAATCGAAGCCCATCGAAGTAGATACTGATTCTCGTATTCAGGTGTTCGCTGCACTCACTTTGAGAACCCGTTTCAAGGCCGTTGACCTCGTCAATAGAGTTGATAATCTACAAGACTACCAGCAAATCATCGATATTGGCAATGAACTGGAACAGGCTCTGGAGGATATCCGATGCGTGCTGCCTCAAAGACACCTAAGCAACATGAATGGAGCACGGCGACAGTTGATGACGCGGGTGCTGCTTGACATGAATTGTCGCCGCCCACTTTTAGCATTATATCGGCCCTTCGCGCTGAGTAGTACTGATGCACCTCAGCAAATCATGACCGGGTATCTGAAATCATGTATGATATTACTGTCATACCTGGAAGAGGTGAACCCTTCGACGCCGGAGTTCACTCGTATCTGGCCCATGCATCATTTCGTACTTAAGCGAGACATAATTTATGCTTCGTTTGGCGTCTGCTATTATATGAAACAAATCCAAAGCAGCGCTGGTAATACACGAGATCCAGAGACCCCCGAATCTAGTGCTAGGTCAGATCCCATTGAAGTAGCCTGCACTACTGCATCTAGAAGCCTAATGCTACTTTCATTGCCTCGTCTTAGGGCGACAGTGGAAAAGGTAATTGACACTATGATCAAGCGTATTAGCGAAATAGGAACGGATCTGAAAGACTTAGTTTCATTAACTATTGTTTTCTATACATACCAAGGCGAAACGCGTGATCCCAAGAAAGAAGTGCAGCAGGCCTTACAACGAATCGTGGATGCCGGTCTCCAATCCGTGCATATTAGCCAGGAGAATATATCATCTATGACAGTAGGTACTAAGTCATTTGCCGTTTGTCCTATAGATTAACCTAAAAAGCAGATGATGCCTCCAACTGAACATATTCAGATGGTCAACTTTCAGACTGACCCAAATCTGATAAACCATGCAGAGCCATACAACATGTTGACGGCAGATATGCAACATGCTGTGAGCATAATCCCATTCCTAGACCTTCCAACGAGATGCTAACATGTTGCAGCTATGGGGGGACTTTGGAATGGGTGATGGCGAGTTCTGGAACCCTTTCATCACGAACCAGACCCCGATATGACAAACGAGTGAAACCAACACCTGAAAGCTTTACACCATTTGGATAAACAATGCCTTCTCCAAAAAACCATTGAGTGCTCTTCTCCCGAATGACCGATCCGCTGTTGATCGTCGTATTTCCATATGACAGTTTGGTCAATGGGAAGCTATTGTTCTGCGAATTGGAATACTGCTGAATAGTATTCAGTTCGAAATCACAGGACTTTTACCAATGAAATCATCCTTCTCACATGCTTCGACCATGAACTTGGCGACACTTGCCCGAGTGATCTTGGGTACAAACCCAATTGATTTTCCATCCTCAGGAAATATTCGAACCGGGGCGGCCTCGCCATCAGCTAGTATACAAGCTCTTGCCAGCACAAACTCTACGTCAGCCTGCCGAGTTTCCTCGTCTAAGGCGTTATGAGCCGCCAACCCATATTTCATGTTGGTGTGTTGGAACATTGCGCGGAACAGGAAACTCATGCTGCTGAAACTGTTACCGGCTCCCCACTGACTCATAATTGTAATTCGCTTGGTTCCAAAGTCCTTCATGACAGAAATGGCGTTTGCCACAGAGTCCTCCACTACGACGTTTGGGTCAGTTTAAAGCGTTGGCCTGCAGGTGTTGGAACGGAAGGAGGCCCGAAGAATGATAAATCTGAAGGTATATCTTCTTACTGCGAACATCGAGGGGAAAAGAACTTGGCTTGGAAGATTACTTACTAATCCTAGCTGGTGCATCTGGGAAACTGCCGCAAATGGGGAGTCCGAAACTCTTTTTAGACTCAAGGCAACTAAGACGGCATCGGGTGGTGTCGAAGAGGCTTCAAAAGCTCTCTTAATATCTTCGCGCTTCATAGGCGTGCCCTGAATCGTTGTTAAGCCAGACCGGGCAGCCAGAGAGGATGGTGATCGGACGAGCGCCACGACATTGTGGCCTTTGGAGATTGCCTCTTCAATGATGAGCTGGCCTGTTCGGCCACTACCACCTAGGACAAGGAGCTGCATTTCCATATGAACGCGTGTGGTATAATGAGTGTTGTGGCTTATAATAGGGGTGGTGGCGATTGAGAAAAAGGCAAAAGATGATAGAGAACGAGGAGATAGTATAAGCTAGGGAGAAAAAGAAAAAGGGCCATGATGCCAATATATATACACAATCATAATAGGCATATAAAACTAAGCGATCGTATTTCTGCTACTGCATTCTCTGTCTTTACCTATTGCTAATCATACAGAAAACCTTCGTTTCCTAGGCGAAGACAGAGAGGCACGGAGCCGAATTGGTGGCCTGGCCTTTGTCACTCGGCCGAGACGCGCGGAACACATAGTGGGTGCCACTAGGTGGTAGGACCGTTGGAGACGATTATCGATATAGACCTAGCGTTTGCATAGCGGGAACTAAATCCAACCCCGTTTGATCGTGAAACAAGGTTTAAGTCAGACTGTTAACGTTAGGAAAGTCTGATATGCTGTTAACACCAGAACTGTGGCTACTGTACACGAATGTGCTGTGAAATAATCTGGTGCCTCAGAATGTATAACTTCGAACATCACGAATCGGAACATAACAAGTGTGCGGCTCAATAAATGTTTTTGATATACTATCACGTTGGCCGTTCTCATGACCGACATAAACAACTTCAAAACCCCCCATTTTTGTAACACGATTCGCTTATTTTCAACGCAGTGATGATCAATGCCAAGGTAGATTACGTAAACAGCTAGGCCAGTGCAGAGGACTAGAATTATGTTGAAAGTGTGCAGAAATTGGCAAATAAGGCTGACCGAGAGATGAAAAAAAGATGTACACTTGGCTAAATACACGCTAACACGATGGAAGAATTATACTACCGATATTCCTTGCTTCTGCCGTGGTTGTGACGCGAAAGAAACTTGACGGAACTTTGGCCCCTCGCCGAACCTCTCTATCCAATCTCGATCTCTCCCCACACTCGTAGTCTGGCTCAGAGGGCGGCCTGGCTTTGGCATGCCAGGCCCCGTGCCCTGACTATGGGTGTCCTCCGCTTCCAATTTCGCCTTATGTCGGTTCCCTAGTATCGTGCTGTTCGTGGTGCTCCTCGCGCCACTGATGCTAAAAAGCGAGAAAAAGTCGTGCGTGAAGCTCGTTTCGAGATCGCGCGGCCGCCCATCAATGGTCCAATACCTCTCGTTTGACAATTCGTTGCTCAAATGTCTTCGGAAGTAGCGGTCTTGGTTCACCCACCAGCCACGCCAGGCGGACAGGATTACCAGTGTCAGGGGGATCGTAAAGGCCCAGTAGATCCAGAAAGAAGGCATGATAGTCGGACTCGGCAGGCCATCGGCCGCATCCTTACCTGCTGCCGGGTCGCCCGCTGTCCCCTTCTGCCAGTTGAACATTGAAACGCCGAAGAGTGTCCCGATGTACTCGCCGGGAAGGAAGATGGCGGTGATGACTGCGAGCGCCTTCATTGACGAGCTGTCACGCGTTGATGCCACCGCCATTCGTGCGTTGAGATTGTTGTCTTCTTGCGCGAGTTTGGAGAATATTATATCCATCTGTGCCCTGCATCGCAGCTCGGACATACGCCTGTCCGTCTCTAGCGACGTACAGAGTCGCCATATGGAGTCGAGGTATTGTCGGATTTCATGCCAATGAAATGATAGGTCATCTTGGTCATCGTCGTTCGGTTCTTCCTTGGCTGAGGTCTTCGTCTTCATATCATTAAGACGCACATCTAATTCGTCTCCAACTTGCATCAACAGCTTGACTGCACGCTCCATCCATCTTAACGTGTCCAAAAGCTGAATCGAACCTTTAAGAACTTCGTGGGCTTCCTTCATAAGGTAGATGCTTTGCGGAGGCACATAGTCTGGATCATACAAGCTAGCTGCTGGGCTAGCTACGTAAGGACCGTTGTGATCGCGCATTCCATTTCCATATTTCTCCTCGACATACTCCTTCAGTGACGATAGACGTTTCAGTGGTTTGAGAGTGTGTGGTCGAGAGCTGCTCTTTGCACCATTTCGTTTGTAGGCCTCAGCATTAGCTTGTCCAGTGGTCCCTGTAACGGCGTCAACACGTCCTTCTAGAATCAGAACTTCAGTATTGTTTGCTAATACCGCTTCCTCTGTGCGTAGAAATTGGACCTGGAGGAGTACAATGGGGAGTACGAGCGGATGTGCCCAGCGAGCTCGGCACGAGTCGAACCGCCGTTCATACTCGTCCAAAGCATCTTCGGCGTGCCACCTTGTGTCAAAGGAGCGTCGTACTAGTGCAGTTGTCGTTTTGGTACGTAGTGAATAAGTCATTGATAGGAAGTCGTATGGTGGTTGAGGGTTAGATGAGAAGCTGAGTATTACATCTTATTACCCCTCCCGTTAGCCAGCGGTCTTGCTCAAGCTTGAGATACTGGTCAGCTTACAGAAATTCTCCTTCTTCGCATCCCAGAAGGATGCTTCACTAGTGATCCGCATTAAACTAGTCAACGTGGCGGGATGAAGATCTAGCGTCTCATAATCTTCAATCGAAAGATTCAACCCGTCTGGTGCGCCGCCGCCACCATCCGGCAGGCGTGCCGGCCCTGTCCTTCGGCGAGCTATACTGATAGTTAAACGATCAGCAAGTAGGTCAAATACGAAGGAGTGAAAGGTAATCACGGTTAAATGATAGTCTCGTAGAGTATCGCACCAATGACAATAATTGTATCATGATAATGTTTTCATTATGATCTTTACTCACACTTGTCTCACTCTCCCTTGTAGCGAACGCTTTCCCTTTGGCTTTGCAGTGAAGTTACCCTATTGATCCTTAGCACTAGTCAACCCAACTTCGGCTGTTTATCCATCCGAGCAGGACGAGTTGTAGAAGACATAGTCTTGAGCATTTCTTAGCCTCGGGTCTCCCCCGCGCGAGTTTAGACTTACCGCATTATCCAACCCATATCCATTTCTCACGGCGTTTCGAAACATTCGTAAGCCATCTTCTCCCTCGGACATGATACTCGGAGAGCGGGTCTCACGGTCCGGGTCGCCATCTGGTGGCGAAAATACCGCATATTCATGATATGAGACAAGACTTTCACCATCCTTGAGCAAAGCCTCTCCCATCAGCTCCTTGAGGCCGAAACTGAACAGACCCAGATCATGATTTAGGCTTCTACTTCGACCTCCGCTAGCCCCCCCGGTAGTTACAGCCGGCACCAAGCTTCCACGCCGGGTGCTAGGAGCGGTGCGCCGTCCATCCTTGGAAGGGCCGGCAATAGTGGCGGCTTCATGCCTCGCATCGCTTAAGACGATGTCTAGGTCGTCGAGGTTATAATTGTTTTCCATGATCCGGATCGGTCGTTAGGGAGGCCGATAACAGTCAACGGGAAGACGAAGCATCCCTCAGAAATCGGAACTCCTGAACGGAGTTAGAAGTGGAGTAATAATGTACCGGGCTGTTTCCTTGTCTAGTTCCAAAATTTTGGTGAGCGGTAAAAGCTGGTCACTGTTGGATGAAAGTGGCGGGTTAGCTTCTTTTAACGAAGACAAATTCATTTCGACTCTCCCCGTTTTCTTCCTTTCTGGGATAGATCCTCGCCAAGCTAGAGGGGGCTGTGTTGCTGTGGAGCACGCCGCATTGCATCCCGATGCTTATCACGACGAACCGCCCAAGCAAGCATCCCCCTTCGGTGAGAATCGCGTGTTTTCAGGTTGAATAGGTAGTTCTGTCCTAGCCCCATGGTCTGCCCATGGCATGCAAATAAGCCAGGTGATTACCTGCGCCACAGAAATGAAACCTAGACAGGAAGCTTGTTTAACGTTGGGCAGCAATTATCACCACTAATGGTCCAGGGTCAGCCAAAGGTAAGCAATTAGTGCCATATCTTGTCTATCTACTAGCAAGAAACTTCATGTCTACCCAGCATTAGCGTATTCGATCTGGTAATTCTTGAACTCTCGCGCAGGAATCTTTCTGTCAAAGAGCACGTCCAGTTCTTCATACGTCCTACCCTTCGTTTCGGGCACTCTGAAGTAGGACCAAATGAGACACAGCGCACCCAGCCCGCCGAAGTAGTACCCGAGCTTGCCCTGCAAGTTGGCCTCATCGGGATTGATCATGTAGGGAATCGCTACGGTCATCACGATACCTAATACTGCCTGAAACGCCGTAGCTACGGCGATTGTCTTCGACCGGACGCGAGTAGCAGAGCATTCGCCAAGGATCACAAAAGTGATCGGGCCGATGGATAGATCGTAGGCGCCATTCCAAACCAACATGAGGGAGCTTTCCGCCCACGCAACCCCAGAAGGTCGGCCAGGTATCGTGTCGAGAATGCCAATGATGAACATTAGAATGACACAAACCAGAAGCCCGATGTTGAAGATACGACGTCGCCCAAATTGACCAATAAGATACCAAGAGATAACGGTCGATACCCAGCCCACAGCTAAAAACCCGATGCCTAGATAGAACGCATCTTGCTCGCCCACTCCCGCCTGCTGGAAAAAGTAAGTCCCATAGTTGATGAGGTAGATACCCGACAAAACCTGTGTGGCGTAAACTCCCGTAGAGATCTCGGTACGACGCCAATTGACTCCTTTGATGGTATCCCGATAGGTGCTTCCCGCTTCCATCTCTAGCTCAAGTCGGTCCGTTTCAGCGATCGCGGCAAGGGTTGCGTCAACATTCACCTTCCTAGACGCCAATCGTCGCAACGAATCTCGGGCTTCCTCAATCCTCCCTTTCCGCACTAGCCACCAAGGGCTCTCTGGGATGAAGAAGACGCCCGGTATAATGACGAGAACCCAGAACCATTGTAGCGCAAATGGTATGCTGTAGGCCCAATGGTTCTTCAACGTCGCTGTGCCGGCTGTCACACCATTACCAAGTAGTTGCCCCGTCACAAAACACTGTAATACTTGGAATCAGTAATCGCACTCTGACATGGTCTAAAGTCATAACTGATTCGAGATTGTAAGTGGTGCCTGTGTAAGACTCACTAGGTTCGTGTATGAGGTCAAGACGCCACGAAGTGCCATCGGACAGACTTCCGAAGCATACGTTGGCCCAATGACAACGAAGCATCCCACTACAGTTCTCTGCAGTCAGTCATTACTCTTTTAGGTACAATGGGAGCAGGTTTCGGGCGTTCTATACTCCTGCGATTATATATATATAGCGTGCACGAGCGTCTAGATTAGGGAGAAAAGGGCTGCAGGGGTAGCATACGGACAAGGCCGCCGAGCAGTTCTCCGACAAGCAGAACTTCCAGTGAGCGGGCAAAGAATTGGATAAACACCAAACCTGCCGTAAGAGAGACGCATCCGAAGAAGGTCCACTTGCGACCAAACAGCTCCATCGGATAAGCAGAAAACAAGGCCCCGACGACCTGCCCAAGGGGATTCCCTAGCGACAGGCCGGTTTGCCATCTTGCGGGGATGACGAACTAAAAATGTCAATCAGCGCCAATTCATCGCGCAGCAAGCCAGCATAACATACCTCGCCATTGGGATGCTCAATTCCGAAATCTTTCTTAAACTGTGGGATGGCGAACATGTTGCCGACGATTTGTGGATCAAACGCCAACATAATTACACCGATGGATACAAACATTGACCATCCTACCGCTGTCGGGTATAGGCTGACAGCCTCCCAAAAAGTCAGCGCATGTTCCTGCTCGATGGCTTCGCTAAGCGCCTGCTCGTCTGCCGGCTCAAAGTCCGTCGACGCTTTACTGTCTTGATTCCTCATCGTTTCTGTCGACGTCGACGTCGTCGATGCTAGCAATGCGGCTTGTTGTGGATGATCGCCAATGCCTCGATTGGCGTGTCCCTCGGAAGGAGGGAAAGTCCCGTATCCAGACGAGGATCTCGAGGCCATTTTGTGCGATATCCGTAGTTGTACATCGGCTTGCCTGCATGTTGGGCGTTACATTGATTCGGTCAGAAGAGCAGGGGACCTTTCTGAACAGGCTAATCAGACCTAAGAGATTGATCAAAAGGAGGGGAAAACTTGGGGAACTGCTGATAAGACACACGGTGAGGGGATATGATGTGGTGCATGGCTGACTGCAACGTTGTAGCGACTCCCATCCATTCCAGCCAGCTTCAGACAAATCTATGTATTATAGATATAAGTATTCTTAATAACTTCAGGCCCGCAGCTTGATATGTGTCATCCCCATGCACAGTGTCATTCAAGCTCCTGTCACACCAAATGCGGCGTGTAGCAACTGCAGCTGACAACTGTATTAATTAGACTCGCCGTTGAGCTACGGTAGGTAGTTCTAGACCATGCATAACAATAGAGTTAATTTGTTTCTTTCTGTTTTTACCAATTTTTCTTTTCTTTTCTTTCCTTTCGTGCAGGTATGCTTGCCATGCATCATGTATCAGTACACCTATACCCGGATTTATCCGAGCCTACCTACGACACACACTATCAATCAATATATCGGAAAATTGCATATTGATGGTCGCTGACTCCCTTACTCAACTCCGAACACCAGTAAACATTGTGTCCAACTACAAGAACCTATCTGCCAACCCTTCAAGAATTAAGACGCAATGGTAGGTGCTCGAGGTTATATAAGAGTCATGTGGGCAACCTTCTGCCGTTTCTAAACAGCTCTACTCTCTAAGGCGTGACAAACATAAGGAGAACTGAGATGATCACAAAAGCGAAACCTAATTTCATCATCACAAGAGCATTCGCCAGGACCTCGTACAGCTGCTGAAAGGCTTTTGAGGAGAGGCTTGGTGCGATGACCAACTACAAGTTCTTAGTAACGGTGGGTAGGAACTCGCAATATATTCTCCCATCGAATCAGCAATATATTTGTTAGGCTTCTGGTGAATTTGAGGTTAGATATGATAATGTACTCTCAGTATATGAAAGCCGTACAGGCTTTCACAGTTTTTAAGATTTACGGCCGCGATACTTGCCGTCTATTCTTGTAGGACGGTCAACACTCAGTCATAATCTCGTGTACAAGGCTGATACTGCAAAGCATAACCTAAACATCACATGAAAAATGGAACCGCACAGAACGTATTCTCGTGGGCCTTCGAAGGCCATTGGTGCTGAGATCTTCTTCAGATTAAGTATATATAGTTTAACATGTTTTCTATCTTGTTTGATTGACGAAAACTCCACGATGCTAGAAATATTACGAACGGTCACCGGCTTCTAGTTCCCTGCTAGACCCGAAGCTCTGAAGCCGGGTAGTTAGAAGATTGTCTACATTACTCTCAAATGAACCGATGCGGTTAACTTCTTTTACGCATTGATCTTACTATCGGGGAAACTCATCTTCTCCTTTTCTCTAGCTTCCATTCTAGATTCAGCCGTTGCAGTATTATCTGCGGTGACACCATCTTGAGCAAGCGTCTGAGTAAGGCCTGCCGCATTCCGTATTGTTGTGTCGGCTCCAGCGTCACACTTGGGACTCAAGCATGCGCGGTACTACCAATCATGGTGATATGTCCAGTAGACCCTCTAGAGCTAACCTCAATGATCGGCTTGCTCGATATAATTCATCTGAATCCTGTCACTACCAGCAATCGTGCTCTCTTAAGCGTATTCCATTATTCAAGGCATCTTATCCTCCCTGAAAAGTCCTACCAGGTTGGTCCTCCACCGATGAACCTATCTTGTCCACCCCTTTTTCCCTGCCTAGATCCGTATAAGCCCGACGCCTAGGATGAGATCCACCGGTATTATTACATAAATTTGAACGCAACAGTGATTTACTTCTGGAGAATAGTGTCCCAGTTCTGCTGCCTGCTCCCAGTCCGACTACTTCCTTTGTCTGTTTCTTGCGGCACATCGGGAGCATCTTCTTCGACGATCTCCACGCTCACCGTTTTGATGATCCTCAGGGGCCATGCCTCCGTAATTACAGCATCATGTGCGGATGAGATACTCTCAGCGCTTGATCGCTGCGAGCTCTCGATCACCACGTTCGACCCCTGACTTCGCCGTCCCCCAGCCCTGCTTCCCTGGGATCGCTTCGATAACACAGAGGCAGCGTCTCTCTCTCCTGGCTCCGCGGCGTCGTTAAGCGCCTGGCTTATCAGACGAATGTTCTTTGAGAAAAGCGACACGATCGGAAGGATGTTTGCTGAGACAATGTTTAAATTTTGCTCTAGTCTGAATCCGTATTCGTCATTAGTTTCAGAAGAATAGAAAAGACGGCTCTGGGGGTAAAGGGGGAGGGCGCTCTCACACAGCTAGGATCGTCTTTATGACGTCAAACGTCTGCCTCTCATCGAGTTGTATCAGAGAGATGTTGTACGTCCTGAGCGCACCGAACAGAGCAACACTGGAGAATCTAATCAGTCTCGATGCGCTTTGATTCCTTGTGCTTTCTTAGACCTACATGACACTCGTGACTGAAAGTATGGAGAATGGCCATCGTAAATTTCCTGGGATTTCCAGATCCTGAATGATCATGATTGGGAAAAGTGTGATAAATAACTGGGTTAAGACATCGAGAGCTGGTCAAGATCGGAATCAGCAACAGTATTCAGAGATTCATTTCAGGGGTTTTGAATAACACGCACCGCCTTGAAAGTAGCCTATACTCTGTTGGATACTAAGACTCCAGCAGTATCCAGGAATATCTGACTTCCAGAGTTTCTCGAGTGGTCGGCACTGCAATAGCGTTGTGATTGTATACGCAAGATTGATAACTAGCAGGAATGCGATCTGTACGGCCAATACAACTCGCCAAGTCCTATCCCGGGAAACAAGTCGCTGGATAAGCAGGTATATTGATGTCTTGCTGAGCGCTGAGCTTATGTTGAGCCACGGCTGCGCTAGGTAGTCGAACTGGAGCGCGCTCTGTGCGTTATCCTGGCTCACGCTCTCAACGATGGTGAAGCTTACGCTTATTATCCCTACAAACTGTGATGAAAATCTCTCTTAGCACTCGCATGGGCGGGAAGCTGGGTATTGAGTATGGTTACAAACCATCGCTCCTCCGACAAAGTAATCCTCCCATCCTATCATTTGGTTGATGCGGAACCGAACGCAGTATCGCAAGATACATGAGCACAAGGCGATGACCATCGTTGTAACGGAAACCGCGAGCAAAGCTATCCCTTGCGAGCTCGACATCATGGCCATGGTGTTGATGCTGTGGGATGTCCCCACGCTAGACATTGGTGCCAGTTTGGCTTGGATTCCAAGTCGCCTGTATACCTGGTCATTGAGATAGGTAAACCCCCGAAAAAATTATGACAAGCGTGATCCTACACGATAATCTTCAGGCACGTTTTTTTACAATTCAAACAGTCACTGTAAAAACTCGGGAGAGCTACGTTAGAGTGGGTCACTGTGATTGATATACCTAGCTATTCTCCGATACAGATTATTCCGGATGGATAGTGCCCAACAGCGCCGGGTGGCAAGGTCGTTGGTTATTGACATGAGACACACTGATCTCCGGGGATAAAACTAGTAGTATTTGTCCCGGGTTTCTAACAAGAGAGCGTCATGCCAGGCGGGCGATGCGATTCGCTATCCATACGCTCTCCGAAAGAGTATGATGAGCGCGCGGTTGAAGAGTGCATAAGAAAACGTGATAGAATCGTTCAGGCTAATACTGGAGTAACACTTCATCTCCTGTGGTATGAAGTTAGTTATATAGACACTACATCATCTTATCAACATATGATGATTGCAGTAAGATTACCTCTGCTAGTCGGAACGGAGATGAGACGGCAATACCATATTTTCTACGGGAGGAAAAGAGCATAATTAAGCTACAATGATCTCCGCACTTCGGCGACGGTAAAATGCGTCGTGTAAACGTGGGCGGATGTTAACGTTACTTCAAGCTCAGCCTCTCTGGATCGACAACAATGCAAGCAAGCCATTAGTCGGAGACGTTGTGAGACGGTTCGCGATATTAGCCGGACTCTCAGGACTACGATCGTGCCGTGCGTTATTCTTGAAATAATTAGGGGGCTGTTGTTAGTAACGCTGCGTTTGCGGGCAATATGTATCCGGCTAGATAATCTGGTAGAGAGATGTCCAGGCAGTGAACGAAGCATTGAGTCGTGCCAGCCCATCCTATAATCTCCTGGTTTGCTGCATACCTGGTATAGAATCATGTAGCCTCCTTTCAATACGAGTATGAACTTGGGGCTGGAAATAAAGATGGCATCAAACCATATGATAGAAAGGTGCTAAGCTATATGATTTTAAATATACCCAACACATCCATTTTGAGAAGAGATGAAGCTTTTTGATGCGCTCCCAGGGCCCGAGCGCTCCAACAACTAGTTAAACTGCAGTCAGAGCCACTATCGGTGCAAAAGGATGACCTCCAAGCATTGGTTAATCTTCAATCTGTGAATTATCATTACGCAGCGACTGTTGCGCCACCTGTGCAATCTGTTTTGTACTCTGGATTCATGCTCGCGGGTCTGAGCACAGCGCTGGCCAGAAAAGCGTCAGTCGTTTGGGCGAGCTGGGGATGGATGATCAAACCGGCCCCGCGCCAGAGAACGGATTGATGTGGAGTTGGTTGGTTACCAGGCTCGAAATCAAATACGACGGTGTCAAACATAGACGAGATGAGGGGAATAGGTAGATATGTTTCATTAATTAGAGAGCGTTCCATTCATCTGTCCTATTTATATATACATTGGGGTACATCGAACAATAAGAACAGTACTTTCTTGAGATCTTTACAAGCCTTTACCGAGCTTCATTCGGCTTAAAACCTAGCCTCAACTTTCTGTTCAGTATCCTGGATTGCCCAAGGGCTAAATTTGGTCTTGCTTAGGACGGATTTGCATTGCTCAGCCGTGAAGCCCTTAGCTACAACTGCAGGGTTATATCCAAGTTTGTTCTTTTGGCCAATGGTTGCATCATCTATCTTGGGAGCCACGCTCCGGTCGGGACGAGCGTATACCGTCACCACAGCGGCTCCGCCGAGGCCGAGGTTATGTTGTAGTGCGAATTTGGTGTTGGGCACAGCGCGGTTATTGGCCCAACCCCTCAAGTGCCAGACCAGCTCGGCACACTGAGCAATGCCAGTTGCGCCAAGAGGATGGCCCTTGGATATCAAGCCACCGGACGGGTTGACAACGACTTTACCACCGTATGTAATACCGCCACTGCGCACCAATTCGTGTGCCTTCCCTGGCTCCGAGAGGCCGAGCGCATCGATAACGATCATCTCGTTGGCAGAGAAGCAGTCGTGCAGTTCACACACCTGGACATCATCAGGTGTAATGTTCGCCTCCTCCATTGCAACTTGCCTTGCGCGTCTGGTCATATCGATACCCATCAAGTCGATAGCACTCTTTGAGAAGAGACTTGGGGCGTCTGTAGCAAGGCACTGGCCGGCAATCAGGATGGCCTGATCCTTGAGGTGTGGTCGTGCGTCAAGAAAGTCCTGAGAGACGAGAACAGCAGCAGCGCCGCCATCTGATGTAGGACAGCATTGAAGCTTTGTCAGAGGTTCGTGGATCATGGGTGCCTTCATGATCTGTTCTAGACTGTAGACGTCCTGAAACTGCGAGTAAGGGTTGCGGGTTGAGTGCTCGTGGTTGACGCGCCCAATCTCTGCGAAATCTTCCGCCTTGGCGCCATACCTGTCATTTTCATAAGTACCACTCGAAGATTGATAGCATTGACTCAGGCGACCCACCTTTCCATATATTCTCTGCCGGCGTTCCCAAACATTTGGGCGGCCCCAGGAGCATTAGTAATGCCGCGAGTCTCGGCCATCATCTTCACTGACGTTCCGGTGGGGTTCTCGCGGTCGTTGAAGAAGCTCTGGAGGCTACCAGGCATCATCTTCTCAAACCCAACAACCAGGATGCAGTCGGCGCCGCCGTACGAAATGGTGTTCCTGGCCATGGCAAGACCGGCTGATCCGGTTGAGCAGTTGTTGTTGACGTTAACGATAGGGATCTGTGTCATGCCGAACTGGTAGAAGACACGCTGACCGCAGGTTGAATCGCCGTAGCAATAGCAAGCAATTCCTTGCTCTACATCGTCGTAATTAATTTGCGCATCAAGCATAGCTTTCACACCAGCCTCAAAGCCTAGCTCTGTATAGTCGACCTTGCCCCGAGGCTTGATGAACTTGGTCATGCCCACGCCGAGCACGTAGACGGGCTGCTTTTGTTTGGCAGGCATGTTTTCCAGCGTTTTACAATTGAGGAATTGATTGATGGCCGAAGCTGATATGTGCAAGAATACACAGATCTTCTGGCAATACCAAGAATCTAAAGAGGTGTTAGGGTTGTTGGCTTGATAGTCAACGCCGGATATCTGGTGTCAAATACTGAGGAAAGCAGTCATGAGATAGCTACTATGTACATGTATTGGGGGCACACTAAGTACCTAGGTACGGTTGTTAGCGGCCATCTTCCCCAGCTCGGGAGCTTTGCTTTAGTATGCTTTAGTGGCAATACCTCCCTATCCTTGGTTAGATGGTATCCTTTAGGGAAAGCGTTCTGCTGAGAATGCGGGGTAAGCCCCCCATACCGAGGCAACGCCCAAAGCTGCTTAGCACTTACATGGCCCTAAGAGGTAGGTAATAGGTACTTACGAGTACTTACGAGTATAAAGCCGATGCCAGTATGCAGTTTTGATCAGAATGTATCATTCACGTGGGCTTGTACATTACAAAACTTGTAGAAATTGGCCGAGAAGATCTGGTGGGTAATGGCAATTGTAGGATGCTGTAGGTTGACATGCAAGTCCTTGGATTTGCTGTTGTCACTAACGTCGCTCAGCCGTACGACTGTAAAGGCGTCTTCTTTATTGAACTTCTCGTCTAGGCGATTATACATCGTTACCGGCGCAAACTAGGTTTCGATAGGGGTATAAGTGAAAAATACCCCAAGAAAATGACCGGCGCTTCTTTAGCCCTCGTAAAATAGAGTCAGAGCTAGGCGGCGTTTGATCACGAAGGCCACGAGGCGGCACATATCTATAAATATGATATACCTATCTACCCGTGGACATGGCATGGCGCCTTGATCAAGTATTGTTATCCTGAGAATCAAAGTTCTAATTGTAGTACTACCTAGAGACTAAGGGTACAAAAATGACAGTTAAGGATATCAAACATCTAGACCTGTACGAATTCAAATGCAAATGCTAGGCGAGTAGGTAGGAATTAGCAGATCTTTATCGATAGCATTCCAGGCAGAAGTTAGTGTAGGTAGGGCAGAGTAGGGGCTGCTGTAGGCTCTGTCTACTGTGTAGGCACCCAGTAGGATCCCCCCGGCTCTGCCCCGGCTAAGCCTAATCCAGACGCTGTGACGAAACAGAAGTGATGCAGAGCCCCCCATCAGATCCTCAGCTCTTGTCAGCCTAGTATTAACCTTCGTGGCCTCTTCTCTTTTTCCAAGTTGATTTCCGAGTTGATATATATGTGTACACTTCCTTCGCGGGTTTATTTAAGACGCGACAAACGATAGATCCTGCTTTCCTGACGCGCGTTAACCCTTCTCTATCCCCCGAAATAGACGACCCCACCTAATTCACCATGTCGAGAATGCCCTTTGGTGGTCTGGGACTGCCTGGATCCAACCCTCGAGCACCTCCCCGAGAAAAGCAATACTCCGATAGCCCAGGTGCTCCTCCTTATGGAAGCCCCGACCCATATGGAGCAAATCAAGGATACAGAGATAGGGATCCTCGGATACCTCCCCAAAGTGGTGGCGGATACAATCCGGCTCGATCGCCGGGAATACCTCGACAAGCTGGAACGGGCGGCTCGGCGCGAGGCCCTGCTAGACAGGTTCCGTTGAGGGTTGAAAAGGTTCCAGACAAGTCACTCTCGGATAGATTGATTTTCTCTAATTTGTGAGCGCTTTCCCGTGCACAAGTGATTATCATTTCCCCCTGGTTGCTCGTAGAATAACCAATTCCCGTCCAGATGCGCCGTGTCCCCAGAAGACTTTCCCCCTCCTCGCGATGGCTCATATCTGTATATTCTTGTTCGTGGCGGGCAACCTGTTGGTGAGTATGTGGTAACCGCACAGGCGGTGCCAGGCTATCCACAGGGCTGCATAAGTTTGTCCGACCCTCAGCGATCCTGGTGTGGCATCACCATGAGAGATACATTCACTGGTGAATTATATGATCCGTTTCAATCAGGTGGTAAGGCCTATCTTGGCTCATTAGACCTGGTGATTGGATTTGCTTCAAAAATAAAGAGAGTCGACACTCCGTACGACGAGGAAGAGCTCTCCAAAATCTTCATCGAGACCTATCAAAACCAAGTACTAACTCCTGGTCAACGGGTATTGATGAATGTTCGCAACATTCCCCTCGTTATTGATGTCAAGACGGTAGGGTTGGTAGACCTTGCTATGGCCTCTGATGAGTCTAACAAACAAGTATCCCGAGAAGGGTCTGCGAGAGGTATCTTAACGAGCCAAACTCGGGTGCTATTCCACCGAGACAGCACTGGCGAATTCAAAATGAACCCTTCAATGTCAAAACCAAACTCAAACGCAATCTTGAGTCCCGATTTCAAGTTTGAAGATATGGGTATCGGTGGTTTGGGCAATGAATTTTCGACAATCTTTCGCCGAGCCTTTGCGTCCCGTGTATTTCCTCCAGGCTTGGTCGCGAAGATTGGCATTCCCCATGTTAAAGGAATTCTTTTATACGGCCCTCCAGGAACAGGAAAGACTCTGATCGCCCGACAAATCGGGAAGATGCTGAATGCTCGACCTCCCAAGGTCATAAATGGCCCTGAGGTCCTTAACAAATTTGTCGGCCAGTCCGAAGAGAATATCCGAAAACTCTTCGCTGACGCAGAAGCTGAGTACAAAGAGAAAGGGGAGGAGAGCAGCCTCCACATTATCATTTTTGATGAGCTGGATGCCGTCTGTAAACAACGTGGCTCAGGGGCCGGTGGTGGCACAGGTGTTGGCGACAGTGTCGTGAACCAGTTGCTATCCAAGCTGGATGGTGTAGATCAGCTCAATAATATCCTCCTAATTGGAATGACAAATCGAAAGGACATGATTGATGATGCACTCCTTCGACCAGGTCGTCTCGAAGTTCACCTTGAGATTTCACTCCCAGATGAGGCCGGCCGACTTGAAATCATCAAGATTCACACCTCCAAAATGAGGACAAATGGTCTCCTCAACGCCGACGTCAATCTCGAAGAACTGGCAGCGGTCACAAAGAACTTCTCGGGTGCTGAGATCAATGGTCTTGTCAAAGCAGCAGCTTCATTTGCCTTCTCACGTCATACCGAGGTTGGACAGCTGGCTGCTGTTAAGCAGGACGTGGGAAATATGAAGATTGGCCACAGTGACTTTGCGAATGCGTTGACTGAGGTGCGCCCTGCTTACGGTGTTTCTGAGGCCGAGCTAGAGGAAGCTGTCAGATTAGGCATTATTCCCTACAGTACCCATATCAATGGTACCATTGAGGAGATGATGCGTGTTGTCGGCATGATTAAGGACGACCCGAACAAGTTTAGCACATCTGTGCTATTCCACGGACCTAAGTCATCGGGAAAGACCGCCTTAGCAGCACACATTGCCATGCAGTCTGGCTTCCCATTTGTCAAATTGATCACGCCTGCGGACCTAGTAGGATATAGGGATGACTTCGCTAAGAAGGACTATGTTCATAAGGCATTTGCCGATGCGTATAAGTCTCCAGCAAGCATCTTAATTCTTGATGACTTCGAACGGTTGATAGGATGGAACCCCATTGGAATGCGATGCTCTGAGACCATGTTACAGGCACTCACAACGCTCATCGTCTCTAAGCCACCCAAAGTACGTATTCCACAGGCTCGCATATTTATTTTACTGCAGATGAATGCTCACATTGTCACAGAATCACCGTCTATTAGTCTTTGTCACCACGTCCAGGGTGTCTATGCTCAAGATGCTTGAAATAGACATGGACTTTGCCAAGAAAGTAGCAGTTCCTCCTGTATCCAACTCAAATGAGCTCAGGACAGTGCTTCGGGAGTCTAGAGTTTTCGACCCTGAGGATATCGAAGAAGCAGTCAACATGGTTCAGCAGGGCGCGGGATCCGATAAAATCGGGGTGGGCATAAAGACAGTGTTAGACTGCATTTTCGAGGCGCGGGCCGGTGGTGGCCCCAGCTCTGAGATCATAAGAACATTCTCGGAGCTATTGGTTGAGAAGATACAGGAGATGCAAGGTTAGATTTCCACCTATATAGACTTGAAATGCATATATCCGAGTCTTTGACCGGGTTATCTGGCAGCCATTATACTTGCAGCAGATCGTCCCAGGTGATTTGTGCGTAGATCTTCATTGGTATGTGAAGGCAAAGCTAAATTCAGCTCGAGAATACGCCACCACGCCGACCATAATCATAAGCGGCTTGGTTTGTTGAAGTAAGGAGCCTTCCTAAGGGCGAAACGCCGCTGAAACTAGGCATTCAAACATTTTCCAGGCAATATGATCAAGAAGATTTTACTTTTATTCATTTGAAACCACATAGCGTCGTAGATTATCATACAGATGCTCAAAGCTCAATGTTCACGACCTTCAGATGTGTAGGGCGGCTGCGTTATCTGCGATCCACTGAGCACTCGTCGACCTAAAGTCGTCCTTTAGTAGCTTGCTAAAGCTGCTATAGATGTTCAGAAGCTGCTTTGACTCTTTCCATTGCGGCCATTTTGCAATGCCACTGGGGGTGCCGTTATTTGGGTCCATGGTGTAAAGGAATGAGAAGTAATAACTCTGAATGGCCTTGCTCGCATAGTTAGGCAAGATTCCATAGAATACCTGCAAGATATCGCTCCCATGGAATGTCCCTAGAATGGGGGTGCCATAGTCATAAGAAGCCAAGTAAGACCATGACGGCACGTCAGGGTTTGCTGCTGTCGCCGATTCTAGGAAAAGTCTCCGTGACAAGGTGAACACTAGGTCGCCGAGCATAGCGGCGAGACGTTTGAACTGAGGATACGGACTATTGAGGATTCCAGTGCGAAAGGGACTACCAGCGGAAAGTGCCGAGCTGTATGTTCCAACTAGATCAGCTACCTGCTCTCTCGTCGCCTTCTGGAAGAACACCGTAGAGAAATAGTCAATGAGATCGGCTTCTGTCGTTAAATTGGGCTGGAAGAGCGCGAAAAGTGTGCCCTCGTCCTCTTGATCGCCGATAATCATTGGTATCGGAGCGTATTGGCCCGTTTGAGCCAACACATCAGGACTGTCTGGCAACGCAATACCATCCGGTCGAGGGAGATACGACAAAGCGACTGAGGTGTAGCTGAGCGTACCCGGGACGCTGTTTGCGGCGTTTAGGAAAGTGTCATAGTCCGCATCACGGAGGCACTGAAGGGAATCTTTAGATCCAGAGCAACCAGCTTCCTCAACGACCTTGTCATAGACACCCTGGCAGCGCTCACAGTCTACTGGGTCCGCTGGTACGATGCTCCCGCTATTCATAATACCTGCACGGAACAGTTTGTTTCCTTTATAAGTGTAGTTACCGCCGTAGAGTGCCATTTGGTCGAAGACGGATATGGATCCCGCCGATTCTCCCCAGATAGTTACCTTAGTCGGGTCACCTCCAAAAGCAGCGATATTATCCTGTACCCATTCTAGACCCATACGCTGGTCCAGAAGTCCTAGATTTGCCGCCCCGTCTGCTAGAACTTCCTTCCCTGGCAGGAAGCCAAAGCCGCCGACTCGGTAGTTAACTGAGACGAAAATGAACGGCTTTCCCTGTGAAACTCCGTTTCGGATAAGACTGGTTGCGTCATACATCTGCGGACTACCCAGTTCGAAAGCGCCGCCGAAGATCCAGAAGAAGACCGGTAATTTCGCATTAGCTTTTGTGCCAGCTGGTCGTTGCACCCTCATTGTCAAGCAATCTTCGGTCTGTCCAGTGATTGTCTGGAACAGTGGTGTATTCAATAAATTTCCAAGTACCGACAACAGAAGATCTCCTTCAGTCGAAAAGAACATTTGGGGGCAAGCTGGTCCTAAACCTGTAGCATCGAATGTGCCGAGAGACTTCGTGCTTCGCTGTGGCGGACGAAGACGGAGATTTCCCACCGGCGGATCGGCGAAGGGAATCCCAGCGAAATTCTCAACTCCAAGAAGCGACGAACCGACCATCGTCCCTTGAGATGTAGCTACAGACACAGTAGCCCTTTCCTCAAGTGGTTGGGAATCGATCGGTACTGCGCCAGCTAAGCCGGCGAGAGCCAGCGGAAGAAGAAACCCCTTCATGTCGAAGTTGGATGAGGGCTCGAAAGCTCAAGGCCGCAGTAGAGCCGGAAGCGGACGGGAATGTGTCGGAGACGTGTCCCTGCCTTCATCAACCGCGATGAAGCTAGATGTAGCCGGAGGAAGAGCACCTGTCCTACCCGGTCTCCCTGCATTCCAACCATCTCGCGAGGGCGTTCCACTCCCTACTTATATATAAGCCATACTCGCGAGGGTTTGGTAATCCGCGTGACTAGGCGGTCGAGTTGTCCACCGCCTATCCGTATATTCGAACATTGCGGTGGATTCACGACGCTCAAATTAGGAAAGCTTGCGCAGTGCAGCGCCCTAGAGGCATCGTGGTTGGGCCAAGGGACCCATCGTCTCGAAATTGAGCGAAAGTCATTTCCTAAAAACGACATAGCTCCGCTGCGTACATCACAAGGGACAAAAAAAACAAAAACGGCAGCCCACCGCTGACCTTGACCATCCTTGGTTCTGCCCTTGCTTCTCTGGCTCGGGACTGAATCGACATTGAGATCCTAGTTCTGATCCTGGCTCTTGGCCCGAGCAGTCAAAAGACGTTACAAGGAATCCCCGCACGGCAAAGTGCTCGCTTCAAGGTTTCCCCATGGGGATAACCCCACAGTCAAGACGTACGTCAGGGCTGCGTTGTCATTGTCACGTTGGAGTTCGTCGCACTGCTCTTGCGATACACCAAACTGCCTTAGCGAACTCGGTGTCCGGACGGAATCCGCGTCTCAGCTGGCTCCGATGTGCTCACCTGGTCGCATTCGATCGGAATATATCCTTCATCTGTATTCGCTGCCGATAAATTGACTAAGCGTGCTTGGCGACGGTGCGTGGGTTTCCAATAAATATCCGTCCCCCACAGAATAGTAGCACAATTCATGCAGCCAAATCGGAGCCTTCGCTAGTCGCTCTACCGTTCCGTAATCCAGGTTCCAAGCAGGCATATATTACCTACAGTGATCAGCAGTATTAGTGTGACAGGCAGCTGGGTTCATGCTAGATACACTCGCGGGAAGATACATTTTGTCCCATGTAGTGGCGTATGAGGTAGATTCCCGTCGGTACTAGCACAGCCATTGGCGTGCCGCAAAAGGTCCGGAAGAGGTGACACCCGCCACACCATGTTCTCTTGGAGAAAAACACTGTCAGTAGATGTGCCGATACGCTAGAATCGTCCTTCTCCTCACGCGGCTTTTAAACCCTCCTGGTCCCATGATATTACCTAAGGTAATACGCAGGTAGTGACATGCCTCGGCCTGGGATTAATATTACTTGTGATTTCTCCGCTTCCTCGGAATTGGCCGCCCTGGTTCTTAGGCCAGCATGTGATTAGAACCCCTCGAACATCAATGGAACTTTCAAGTCAGATTCAGATTGTTGGACATAATTTTGCAGACACAACATGTCAAAAGGGGGCATGTAATGTACGTCTATACGAAGACGCCTCGGGTATCATAGATTATGCCCAATGTTCAGGATGTCACCGTAACTACACAACAAACGGCTTGCTCGGTTTCAAAAAAACAAAATATATGCACTTGCTCCGGTCCGTTAAATTTAGCAACAACATCCTTGGGGGTCGTAGACTTCTCAACATGAGTTAGCGAATACGTAAACAAATCCTAGATACGCTCACCTTCCAATACGAACTGGCCTTCCATTTAGGGGTATTAGGGGGCTTTGCAAGGCATATAGCCGAAGACATAGGCGACTTGCATATGTTGGGCGTACGAACGTGTTCGAGGCGTTCGGCCTATGTAAATTTATCTTGATTACCAGCTCGAATATCCGTTCAAACAATGCGGTGGTAGTTCTCGGAATGATTCAGGGGTTGAGGTAGTATTGCAAGGCCGTCAGTGGTACATTCGTGTAAGGTGGCGTTCCGGAGTGCAACAACACTGAAACTCGAGCTTGAATAATACGCCTGAAATAGTCATATTCATCAATACTACCAAATGTCTCACAGCCCCTTTAATATTTGTGCAATTACTACTCAATCTAGATATATAGGGCCTTGGAGCCTCACCGAAGGCTGAGTGGCAGGCTGCCGACTCCCGAGACAGCAAAGATGCAGAGCTCAGACTTAGCTCCTTTCATACATATCACATAGAAAATTCCAAGAAAAGAGTGCGCGAAACACTACCGTGATGTAGAATCGACAGCTTTCATGTCTTGTGCAATATTTATCTATTCAAGGTCTTCAAGCAAGTGGTTGCTGCTAATCTAATTGTCTTCCAAAAACATACATTAATTATTCAGCCCTTAGACTCATACCTTAGTCTTGAAGTACAAGTAAAGCTGATGGGGTGATTGATGCCACCGACGTTGCATAAGCACAGCCACTGGCCTTATATTAAATAAATTCGTTTGCTACCCAAACAGTTAGGCAAGATTAATCATCGTTTTATGAGATGCTTGTATGCTCACCTTCTTCAGGTTTATTAGTATTATTACAAGGGTCAAGATAATCGTATATTCCTGCCTGCCAAGGTAGTACCTGGCTACTGGCTCTATTGTTTCTTCTTGTTGAGGCCTCGGTTTCCAAAGGTTGAATATGAGTATCCAGTTCGAAGAGCTCGAAGTGATTCGCCGAATAGAATGTTGTGCCTGAGAAAGAAGGAACCTCCGATCTCACCCTTTCCTCAGAAACTACGCCAGGCGTCGTTACTTTATTCTTTAACCTTTCGCGTTCCGGGCGACACAGATAGCTTGACTCGAAAACAGGCGTTGTAGGCGATGAGGTAGCTGTAAGTTCGTACTGAAACCTCGGCCGCTCGATAATCGTTTTTCTGGTATTTCCAATTCCCCCAGGTTTAGGCTCTTTTATAGTATAACTTTCAGGATTGGGACTCGCAGCCATTTCATCTTTTCTTGTCTCATACAGTCGCCTTTTTCGATGTCGTCTAATAAGGAAGGCGCCTAGTAAGATGAGAATCGAACCAACCACTCCGCTACCAAGGCCAATTGCGACCTTCGCTAAGTCAGACAGCTCATGCTTCGGCATTGTTTCGCTAGAGACGTTGCCTGAGTTTGAGGGTGACATTCCATCGGTATACGAACTGGGCATAATGAGTGCGCTAGTTGGGAACGTCTGCCCAGATAAGTAGATGGCTTCAACGAATATTGCGGTCACAGCAGTTTCAGCAGGCTTCCGAGGACTTATGCTTAATGTGCCAGGGGTAGGAGATGATATATCATTGAGAGACCTGATCTCACTATGGAAAGCTGTGGTCTCTATCGTCCTTTTATCAAACTGCGTGATACCAGTAGCAGGGGCGATGGTATTCTCTGGTGCACATGCATCGGAGATTTGCGGCGCCATTCCTCTTGTTATACTACTCTGGCAGGAGTCTGAGGCCCATTTGAACCCGCTTAATAGATATGTTAACAATGCAAATATGCGGGAGGGGATCATTATCTTACAGAGGGCAGCACCAACCGCCGCCTGGATGGACGGCGGTTTTTGCCATTGTCATCCCCAGGGGGCATTCATTCTGAGGAAATGTCGCAGTGGGAACAATCAGGGGAGTGCTCGTGATCATGCATGATAACGTACTTCCGAGTGTCCATGTAGAATGTGAGTTATCATAACAAAGGGCGGATGGAAGTATTTGAACAACACAAGACTCTAAATTCTCGCAGGATGATAGTCGAACGTCTGAACAGGGAGTGTCCGCGATAATTAAAGTTGCTAAGAAACTTATATGTTAGAAGCTCTGAATGATAGGAAAGACTTAAATAATTCTTGCCAATCTTAAAGCACGCGGAAATGACGGCTGCTCCCAAATAGAAAACAAGAAATCCCAGAATGCGTACCCATGGACGAATCTCCGGTCGAAGTTGAAGTTGAGAAAGTAGTCGAAATGACGCCACTAGCCATGGTGAAACTGTGGTCTTCGTTTCCCAGGAGCAAGGTTCGATGAATGCCAACGCGCAATCTGTTAGCACTATAGATGGAAAATTCTCACAATCTGCTTCCGAAACACTTAAACGACTTGTATGACTGGTCATTGCAGCAGGGTGGCTTATTTACATGCTTCTCGTTCTGCCTTACCGTCTCCCAACACACATATCAAATTCCTATAGCTCGGCCTAGCTAAGGGGGGGTAATTACCACGCTGACTAGCAGAATACCATCCTACAAAGCCGATTGGTTTCATGATATGCAAGCCAACTCTCTCAATATCCACCAGGTGGCTGAATCTTGGTTCCTGGTGCAAGCTGACAAGGTACGTTGCTGCACAGTCGGCATGTTGCTAACGAAACTTGACCGTCTCAAGGCTGACGTTGCACTCGCGGGGACCCAAATGGAGAGCACTAGCGCCGAAAAGAAACGGTGGCTACGTCAAGCATTTCTCATTTGGGAGTCGAAATTCGATATTATAAAAGCGCGCTGCAGACATGCCTTTCAAACAGGAAATATTATATGTTGGCGCTGGATTGCACCTAGGTGAGCTGGGCATTCCTACAGACTGCATCCCGATTCGATCACACCTCGTATACTTACTGAGAAAGGAAACGTGGAGGCGGGTGGCATGTGTCGCGCTCCTCATGTCACATAACGTCGACACCGTCTCGAGCAGACGGCAGTTCCTCTCAGGCACGTCACATCGTACATCCAATCCACCCTGCGTTACTTACTTCCCTACTTGGACAACAGACATTTCTTCTTCATGGGGCCGGATGGCTGCTCTGCCGACCGCCAAGATCCGGTACATCCTCTGATCGGCGACCTCGAGAGCCTCCAGACTTGATTTCAACTATTGACTTGAACTGCATGTTCAGAGAAGATAAGTCAAATAGCAATTGGCGCACCAAACAATCTTATCGGCCCATATCATTTCAAGTCAAGAGGCTCGTATGGTTCGCGGCCGTAATTCACGTGCAAGAGTTGAGTCTGGCCAGGTCGCTCCCGGGGGTTTGAATGGGGTTCCAGCTCGCTCACCTGAATTGTTACATTACGTATGTTGCTGCAGGGGAGTCAGTCCCAAAGATGCTCAAGGTCCAGCTCTTAGGCCAATTCTTGGGTGCCCCTTCTTGGGCACAACGTATTGACCTTGATCTCCCTTGATTGGCTCGTTTGAGTAGAACCACTCGGCGAGGAGGTGGGTTTCGCTTTTTCAAAATGCGCCCCACCGCGTAACTATTCCGCCCACGGCGAGAATCATCACTCGGGACATTAGACCTGCCCGGCTTATTCTTGGTTCTCGCATCATTCAGGATATAGGATTAACCGGCTCCGGCAGACTTGGTAACTAGGAGATATACCCAGATTATATGGCTGACAGCTTCACGTGATGCTTCAAAGCAAGTATTGAAATGAAGTCAGTCTGCTTGACTAAACATACCTGAATGACGAACGTTACAATTCAGGTTGCCGGTACTAATATGCAGTAGGCGCGCTAACTCTAATTAAGGTGTACGTGCTTCGAATTATGGGTTAATTACCCATGCGAAGAATTCAAATTTAATTAGAAATACAGCTATGTTCAGCACGATATGTTTGAGATATCTTAATGATGAGATTTCTACACTTATACCTATTCAGTTAACGGGGGATATCGCAATGCTATCAATTGTTTTGACTTGGTAAAGGGGGAACTAAATCTTCAACACATGGTACACGCGTACAGGCTGAACATACAGTTTACCTTGCACTTCGGCCGTACGAAAGGCCACTGCAGGCTATCCATGATCTTCAAAGACAAGCAGGCAATATTGGAAGGAGAGATTATATAGACTTCGCTTCATGAAACAAGCCCATGAGATCTAGACGGTCAGGGCTGGCAGACCAGTTGTATAACGACTTGAGTTAAGCCACGAGCGCCAAGAAGAAATTGGTTGATCGAGGACTCCCGCAGCCCTATTTGATCATTGTAATCTGAACGGCTTCAATTCCAAGCCCAGTCACCTGCCCTTGTTATAACACAATTCAAAATAGCCCTCTTTACCTAGTAGACAAACATGTAGCCCAATTTCAGACCACTAATCGTTCTAGCATTTCTCACTGTCAGCAACGACCAGTGTAATTTTGGTACATACCAGACAGTGTAACGTGCGCACACGACTAAGGGCGTATGCAGCGCAAAAGCCCCCTTCGCGGTCTTCATGAGACATTTAGCCAATTGTTCAAAGTGAGATTGTACAGACCTCGCTTCATGAAATCGACCAGCTAGACCTAGGCGGTCACAACAATCAGTCTAATAATATAGAGTCACAGTCAAGTCACCAAGGCCAGGAAGGAATTTGATGGCCAAAGACCCTAGCAGCCCTGGGAGATTATTGTAATGTGAATAGCTTCAATTTCAGGCCTAGTAATTTGCCCTGCTATACACAGCGAGTATACAAGACTATGACAAATAATCGATGTTCACAGACCGCTTGAGTTTGACTTCATTGGGAGATGTGAATGAGAACAATATTAGTATTTTAAAAACAAGGGGGGAAAGCTAGGGAGTTGCTAAGTTAATAACATGAGTTGGACGGTTTCTTGAGACTTATCTAAAAGGTTAGAGGTCCTATTAAGGGGTATAAAGCCTAGCAAGGATAACTCAGTTTAGTATAGGTAGAACCTCGATAAATGAAGGTTTGGAACACAACAATCGGAAATACTGTATCGATACAATTCCGATATGTTGCAAACCCTTTGACAAAACAACATTAGCTTTAGCACCTCAGCCTATTCTTTCATACTAAATCGTAGTTATTGAAGAGGCAATTATCATATTAATACCTAGTCGCCGTGTTTTCCTGCCAATGAATTCATGCGTTACTTAGGGTCATTATTTGTCTAACCTCTCAACCCCAACCAAGTCAGTCCAAAACACCATCACGATAATGTTCCGTATTACAAGTGTCCTGATGACTTTTACTCGTCATCCTTCACCCCCTCACCGAAATCGCCATTCGGTAATTTCTCTTATCATCTCACCCCCTTTACGAAAGCAACTGAACAGGGAAGGTCAGGTCCGGGTCCACTGTAGTTCCATTCGTAGTCATGGCATCCGTGTATCCCGCATACGCAATGAGCTTCTTCGCGTAATCCACGACAGAAATTACGGTGAAACCCTCGTCAGGGCCGAACTGGCCGCTCCACTAGAGCATTTGGGTTAGTGATTGATGATTTCTTGAAAATGACTCGCTAAGATTCGAAAACAGTGAGGAGATACTGTTACGTGGTTCAACATAAAAGACATTCCGTATGCTGGAAAGCCTGCCAGAAGAGGAAATATAGATAGGAACAAGATGTTAGCTCCGAGTGTCACTCACGCCGCTGGTAATGGTGAAAACGCCACACGTGGCCGGGCCGCCGCTCGACTGGCTAGCCGGCTCCGTCTTGGTGGCGGCTACGGTATAAGTGCATGCCGTGGCTTTTACACCTTCTTCGTTTGTATTGATGTCGAAGGTCCATGTGCAAGAGTCATCGGCGGTGTCGCAGACCCGCACAAGCTTTTCAAGTGTCCAGTTCGTAGAGGCGGACATGGATACTCTTGCCGCGAGGGCGGAGGTTGAGAAGAGTGCGAAAAGTGTGTGTGTAAGCTGCATCGTGGTGAGATATGTGAGATGTTATGGATGATAGACGATGGTATGGTCTCAGATGAAGCTGTCCTATGTGAGAAATTTGGTCTGATTTATATAATTCCCAGGTGGCTCTTAAGTCCTTTGTACTAAGTTGTGATCTCACAGATGACGTTGAGAGAGATACTGCCAACAAAGAGAATATGTAGAACCGTGACGTTACCACGACTTTCCCCTCTTATACGCATGATTCTGAACAAATATTACCCAACGCCTCCGCACCTCGGCAATACGGCCTGTCCGGTGCGTGCCACCAAAGGACCAAATCATCGTGAAAACACCCACAAGGTTAGTCAGGCATACAACTCTACCACCAGACCGGCAGTCTAACGACCTCGTATCGGTGTGTCCCGCTGCCATCTGACTTTGGGGTCGGGCAGAAGTCGGGGGTGGCGCACTGGGGTAGTGACACGCAGAGACCACGCTACGACAGGGAGAACGACCCTGAAACCCGGCTCAAGATCGTCATTCAGCGGCCAGGGGAGTTCAACCAACTTTTCCGATTCGACGGGAAACCGCCGTTGGGCGGGCGCATGGAGACGGGATCGACAATGCCAAGCTCTCGTATTGTTAAACGTGCGTGCATCGCAGGCCGTCTTCTCCGCACAGACTACGACATTAACGGCCTCTCGTTTTTATACCCCTCTTAATCGATGAGGGCGCAGTGTTGTATATGATTACACGGTTTCCAAGTAGCCAGCCGAGATGCGCTTAAGCACCGGGATCTCGTCCTGAGGTCGGTGTGATCTGAATGCTGGTACTATAGCAGGTCGAGTGTTAATGGAAGTCTATGCGCTACGATATTGGTACCGATGGGAGTTTTGATTGGTGATATATTACTAGTTTAATAACGGCGATGGTCATTCCGGTAACTCATTTTTCATCTCTATACCACAATGACTATGCTTCAGTACCATGAAGGTGAGGAGAATCCGCAAGGCTGTATCATAAACAGACAGCTACGAGACGACTACCCCTGCGAGTCGCTAGTATATGAACGTTACATGTATATGGGCAGCGTGCTCCAGTTCAAAGGTGTCACTAGAGAATTTTATGCATACTCTATCTATTTGTACTCGTGTTTGAACGCGATTCTATACCACAATGCCTCTAGAAGACCAACCATTCTTGCCTTTCCAAGCCCAAATAATCATGAATGCACCGACCCATATAGACACTGTCATTGCCCAGAAAGTCGCCGCATAGCACTGTTTGCCATAACAAAACACATCATCTCCTGCCTCACCACCTCCAAGCAGGGCCGATTTATGGGCTCCTGCCTGGTAGACTGCAGAATATATGACACCCCATATCACAGAGCCTACCGCTGGTGTCAATGCTATAATACCAAAATTCGTGCCAAAGTTCTCGACGCCCCATATCATGGTGATGATGATAGGCGTCAAACTAAATACTGCACCATAGCCTGCACCAATCGAGCCAGATACTATCCAGAAGCGGTTGGCATGTTCTTGTACAGCACCCGAGGCCAGTACTAGGGATCCGATTGAGAAAGTCAAAGCTGATATAACATATAAAATCACACGGGAGACTTGTAACTTCCGTCGTAAATTAGGTAGCGAATGTGTACTTCCGGTTTGAACGTATTGGTTCTCTGGAGTCGGTGATAAAAGGTCGCTCAGCGAGGCAACCACTAGCCGTGCTACTGTGCTTACTGTCGCCATGATAGACACGTGAGTAGCAGCAGAGGGTGGCTTTGAATTATGGTCCGGTGAGGTTAGAGTCCCAATGACAGTTCCGAGGTTGTTGATAAATGATTCGCCGGGTCCAATGATGAGCCAAAAGCTTATGGCAAAGAGCCACATCGTAGGGTCAGCCAAAAATCTCCTCGTCTCAGCATTAAGAAGCCAAGACTTTTTCAGCTTCGCATACATGTCACCTCCGTCATCCTTAGATGGGTCGAGGGCCACGTCATTATCATCGTCCTCGTCTAGATTTTGAGGCTGTGCAAGAGTGCCGTAGCTCTGATCCGTTCTTCGACGAAACACTTCGCTACTGTCGAGAAGCCCGCTTCTCTCAAGCTCTTCGACAGCCCCATCGATAAGATCCTCCTCATCTACAATTCGTAACGTGAAGGAACCCAAAATCCCAACAGTGACAAGGAGAACAGACAAAACTAGGAAAAAATGGAATACGTTTACGTCCCCTTTGGTTCCATCAGGCTGGACCTCATAGAGAAGCCGACTAGCAGCTTGGCTCATGATCATGCCACTCAACCCGAATCCCGCAATAGGTGCAACAAGCATCAAACCCCGGTATCTCCCTCTACCGAAGTTCTTCGCGCAAGTTGTGACTGCACCCAGGTAAAGGGACGCAGCCCCAACGCCGATGGCCACAAACGCAAACAGCATGGGGGCAAACGTAGTCTTATGACCAGCGACGTGGTTTTCTGCTTCTTGTACGCCTTTTTGATATAGAGCGGCGGCGAGAGCGTACCCGCCGCCGGCAAGCACAGCAGAAATGAGCGACAGGAGACCTGGTCCAAAGCGGTCGCACATGTAACCGATGATGGGAACCGGCATGTACATGGCTATGTTCATGGCGCTCGCGATGCCATTGATCTGGAATTGCGTATAGTGCAAGCGCGACTGGAATAGATGTCCGTACAATGAGAAGACGGTAACAGACCCGGCAGCAAGCGCACCGACGATTGACGATACAAAAGCGATGGAGCGCAGAGCAAGGGCTCGGCGGCGAAGATTCGTGTTCGGAGATCCATCGCTGATGGAACTACTGGAGCTGGTATCGGAAGCAGAAAGACTGAGGGCCGAGGACGAAAGGGATCGTAGGAGAGGTGTGTGGGACGAATTGGTCGCCTCGTTGGCCATGATGGAGAGCTTGATTGTAAGAGTGTTTCTCAACGATCGGATGCGCGGGAAATAGGTTCAAGAAAAACACAGTGCCTCGGTCTCTAGCTAGGCGATGGTCAACGGGAGCGTATATACAAGTAGTGAGATCAATATGGCGTCAAGAGGCATATACAAGAGGCGGCAGCGCAAATAGAGTACTTCAATACGAAAGAGTTAACTAGGGACTGGATGTCGCACAGCGGTGCGAGGAAGTCCAAGTGAACTAAGTCGTCATGTCGACAAGTCACCCGACATCAGACAGATATCAGACACCAGACACCAGACACCTAGATAGGTAGATGCCTGTTTAACGTGGAGCAGCTGGGACGAGGAGTTGGGGAGATTGGGAGTGAAGAGGGATGATGTCGACAGATAGGAGGCCACGCAGTTGCGTTGCACAGCTGACGTTATTAGCTAAACCTATGTACCTCTACCTACCTACCTACTGTATTAGATACTATAGTACCTAGGCGGGTCAGGCGCCTTTAATGCATATCTAACGGTGCCTAAGTCACTAGAGGTTAGGCAGCTACGGTATTTACCTACCCACATACATACATAGTACTAACCTACCTATATGTACCGGTACTTATCTACGTATATATCGAGTACCTTAGGTAGGTAATATGGAATTCCTCCAAAATGTTGATGATTATTCGAAATAGAGTGATGAGACCAGCTCATATCATCTCATATCCCGTCTTTCATATGATAAACTGCTCCATCATGTTTCAATTTATAGTCTGGTCTGTTCCTCACATTTCACCAAGCTAGTGTAGATACCTAAGTACCTACCTAGGTAGTCTATATACGGAGTACACAGGTAGGGCAAACATGAAACTGCTCAATACCTACTTAATATCACTGGTATCTCCAGAAGATGCCCTTCATCGAAACACGAAAGCCACCATCATATCGATTCCCATTTGCAGCCTACTGAGTTTCATTCGTCACTATGAAGCATAATCCGAGATACGCCTTCATTCGGCAATTCGTCTCTGGCCACGGCGCGTTGACACGGGAAGAAATCAGATATCTTAGACTGCTTCTTCCGAGCTACCATCCTGACTTCGTTGTCGAGTTACCTCTAGAAATTGTCATTTTGATCGCCTTGCAGCTAACACGCAGAGACTTTGCCCGCTGCTTGAGCGTGTCCAAGGCTTGGAGAGAGCGGTTTTTGTCCGACCCCGTCATGGCGGCATATACGATTCGCCGCTGGCCGGCATTTATTGACGGTGCAATGAATCAGACCAGATTTCTCCAAATTCTCTCGAGATTAGATCACAAACTTATTTGGGCGTCCATTATGGGCAACATTGCCCCCGAAACCGAACTCGTTACTTGGGACGTGACCGCTGGTTACCAATTAGATTCGAGATTTCATCATCCACTAGACAATCCTCCTACGCCATACACACAATTTCGTATGGGTGAAGATCATCAAGCTCTCACGGCCTTATATTGTTCTGGGAAAGTAGCGTGTCACTTGTGCGGCTGCATCGTCGTTATTGACGACCTTAAATCCAAGACGCGAAAGGTCCTAGCTCCGCCGAGTGGTATAATCCACGGATTATCAATGAAGCTGCAAGCACTAGGCTCTAAACTAGTCGTAGCATCAATGGATCGGACGATGTATGCACTAATTTCCTACAACAAGATTTGTACTGATGTGATTTCAGAATTGCTTGGGATCATGTCGAAAATAAGGCGTATGAAAAATCGCTACCTTGTCAGAGTCTTAAGTGCGCAACTTGCGACGACAGAGTTGCTATTATCCTTTATGGCGGAAATGTAGTTCTCTGGACACCTGGCCATGCCATAGTCCAGTTGGACGTCTCTCCTGTCATCCACGAACCTAGCATTCCTCTTTCCAAGGTCAAACCACGGGAAACCCTCCAGGGTGTGTTCTTCAACGTTCATGACAAGAGGACCTTATACCTAGCTTCTGCCTCTGTCTTTGGTGACGAATTAAATGCTAGGCTTCACGTCACAGTCCAGGAATTTTCATCGGCAAGCCACATAGGCACGTACTCGTCCGAGTTAGCAGACTATGAAGGACCCGGGGCTTGGAACCAACCAACCCTTGAGCTGTTGGAGTACGAGTTCGATCTAAGCTTCATCATCTTTGGGGGCCGATGCATGACCCGTGGTCCATTCGTTTACACATTGTTCGATAAGATTGAACGAAAATTTACTACCTTTGATCCAAATAACATCTGGACTTTCGATGACAATAGACCAGCCTTACCACTTCGAAAGTCCAAGAAGGCGGCTATTGATCTGGACTTTGCAGTCCGCCTTGACACTAAATCTCTATTTTATCAAGTAAATGCGTTGAAATAGATGGACTTTAATCCCGGCTCGCAGTCTTGAATGCGGTCATCGCATGTATGATAAGATTTCGTAAGACCAAACTTTATCTCAAACATGGCAGGCTAATTGATAGAAACTCTCTCCTTTCAAAAGGGAAACTCCATATATGGTTACAGTTACCATGTGGCGAACACCCGTTGTTTACATCCGTGCCAAAAAAAAAAAAAAAAAAAAAAAAAAAAAAAAAATCAATCGTAAAGGTTAGATTAGCGGCATCGGCCAAAGACTGACAGCCCCTCTATCCGAAACGTCACTTAATGTACTAGTATTTATGCTTAACTCTACAAACAGCCAACAGAGCCGATGCTCTCATCGTTATACTGCGCGCTCCATCGATTCTATATGTTTGCATTCAAATCCTTTTTTAGTCACATTGTCGCGGGTATCAAGGCTCGTGCTCTTGAAAGGTGGGATCTCGAACATACTTGCCGGTCTCAGGTCGTATGTCAACTTCGAACTTAGATTGCAATCGACTTTTAGGTGGCAAAATAGTGCACTTGGTTTGAAACAGATCCTGTGACTCTTTAAGTGACTCGAGTCCCGTGTTCTCTGTAATTTGAAAATCACTTCATGATCGTTCCCAGCTTGTGGTTCTTATGCAGAAATTGGACCGAATCATTGATCAATAAAATCAAAGGCTTCGCATGAGATGTATCACAACTAACTGACCACGAACTCCCAAAAGCCATCTATAGATCATACCCCATTTGCACAGCTTAACATACATATATAGAAACAGGTGCGATCGTTTATAGCTTAGCAAGGCCGGCCTTGACGAACAGAGCCATAGCCTGGCCAATACCAATGAACCAGATTGGGGTGCGAAGACCAGCTAAGTTGCGGTTGCCGCCCAGGAAGATGTACACGTAGTTGTAGACGATGCGACTGGCGATGTAACCGACGCTCAGCGCGTTAAGGGCCAAGGGGCTGAGACCGGCGCTGTTACCAGCGACGACAGCAGCAGCGAAGATGGGAAGACCCTCCAGGCCATTAGAAGTAGCGGCCTCAGCACGCAAGATTTGGGCAACGGTCTTGGAGGCCAGGACTCATCAGTGGATGTTATTGCTTCATTATGATAAACGAACTTACGTCCTTGTCCAAATCGGACTTCTCTAGCCTAGATGCAAAAGTTCTGGGGTGGGCTGCGTCGAAATAACTCTTGCCAGGCTCCTTGAAAGCGGACTGGCTTCGGGGCCAAAGGGCCTGTAATCGGAGAATATAGGTTAGTAAAATCACTAGTTACTACTGCGGCTTCTCTTCAAGCAAGTGGGAGACGTCTAGTCGCCCTTATGACATGACTGCTTCAGCGATGTCGCGCGTAACGAAGTTTTAGGCATGGTATCTAGAAAACATATTTCTTCTCATGACATACAGCAAAAAACGCCACCGGTATCTATTAGGCAACGTTGGTTAGTATTTTTGATGAGCTAGCATAAGACAGACTTGAATACATACGGTGAAGTAGGAGATGTTCTTCTCGGCAAGGAAAGCTAGAGATGCCATCTTATCGGATATGTATGAGTTGATTGGGATGAATATGAATAATTGCGATGTAGGAGGTGATTGACGAATTCCTTGAACGTCGAGGACTTCAGCCCTCAAGGGACATGCATTCAATTAATATAACTCATAACTTGTCCTATGCGACCGACCCAACAGCGCAAGACGTCAGTCTCCATTGGGCTAAAGGAGAGCGAGATCCACTTGCCGAGAATATCAGCTCCCGAATTCCAGTTTTGCGGCGACTAGGTATTACTGTACACCAAACATTCCCCGATAGTCTACGAACGTGAATGACTAATTTTTATGTCGCGCGCCAGCGGAAGCAGTATTGCGGGTTGATGGGATACGTGTCAAGCGCGATGGCGCGAACTGTGGAGAGGAGGCTCTGAGAATACCAACATTATCCGTTTTTGGCGGTTCGCGAAATAGTAGGCGTCAGTGACGAGATAGGTCTTCATGTTACCTCTGACTCCCAATTACTTGCTTCGTTGATTTGCAAGCTGGATTGGCAAGCAGGCGCTATTGGCGTCTCCCTGCCATGCCAAGGTCACCATTTATTCATGCAATACCACTCTGTTTATACGCCCAAGGCTACTAGGCCACAATTCGCGTCACCTATGCTCTGAATTTATAGCTCTACATGATGGACTGAACTCCTCACCTCTTGCTGTATTCAGAAAAACGTATCCCACATTCAAAGCATTTGGAACAGCGATCCCGTAGCAATGTCATACTTGGACTCAAAGATAGACTGGTACAACTTCACTTCACAAGAATCGCAGCAAGTGATTACAGAGTGGTTTCATAGAGCTAAGACTATAAGCTATGGGGTATCATGATACATTCCGCTGCCGCCAAATGAGAAGTGAGGTCTGAGTTGTGTCCGAATTTTTACAATATGGGACTGATAGAACTCGTGCGACTATTCCCGCTCATACATACTCTGTCGTGTTCCAGATCCCCCATAAATCGTTCAAGTCTGAACCCAATAACTCAAAATTGAAATCAGGATTCGGTATAAGCAGCTGACTAGGATCCGGAGGTGGAATCCCCCAAGGTATAGATAGTGGCAAGCCGTCGCGATTAGGCGGCGTAGCCCCCAATTGTGCCGTAGACATTGGTGTGCTAGTTGAGTATACACTCATGGCCTAGGTTGCGTGTTAGGTTTAGTGGGAACTGGTCGTCACTATTAATTAAGGTTAAAGAAGAACTTACAACATTCTCATTGTGCTGAGTTGAGGACGCCTGTTGGGCAATACCATTAGGTTGCGTCTCCTGCTGCCCTTCCAGAGGTACTTGATATGAGAGAAGCTTGTAATGTAGACTAATGAAGCGTTCGGCGGCATGGGCTTTCGCATCTTGAGAAGTTTTCAGATCCAAATGGGTTTCAAGTAGCCCGTATGCGGCACACATGCTAGAGTAGCCCCAAGGATCATTGTTGCCGCATCTCAAGACACGATCTTCCTTCAAAGCGATGCACTTTTCAATCAGTTGGAGGGTCTCCTTATTATTTGAGTTAATAAGTGAGGTTGAGCCTGTCAAACTGTTAACCTTAGGCTTCTAGGCATGTCCCTTATACACATACCTTTCGGTTGGAGAAGTCCCACATGACACAAGTTCATTGCCGCACTGATTGAGTCCTCGCGAAGAAAGTATAGAGTTCGGATACCTTTCTGGAAGAGACGATCGTGCATCATAACCAAGTCACGCGCAGCAGTATAGTAGATAAACTCTGATGTCTGATACTTGGAATGGCTCTTTCGTAATTTGAGAAACGGTTGATGTAGAGGTATGAGGAATTGCCTGAGCTGGATATGCAATAACGTATACGCAAGAGACGGCTTATGAGAAATACCAGATCCTTGATCGGATTCTAGATCCCAAGCGGGCAACGCGTCAATCTCATGGGTGATCATGTCAGTGTATTGGTGAACCTGCTCCCAATCCAGGTCAACTGGAGGGCCTGTTAGAATCTTGCATATCTCCAGTCGGACTGGAAGACTTTGGCGACTGAAATGAACATATGACGAGAAAGTGTACTCTGATCGTGGCCGTGAAACGGGGAGCTCTGCAGAGTCTGAGCTGAAACCATCATCGTCAATATTTCTAGGGGCGTCTGTCTCGATGTGGACCTGACTAAGCAAAGTTGGAACCCTTAAATCGAATGATGTCTGCAGATCAAACTCAACTATTGTTGACCAAATTCGCTTTCTCATCTCTTTATTATACGCGCTGATTTCGGGGGCGATGGTGTCAGGATCTTGATGTAGCCCTATCGAAATCGCATTATGAACAAGCCCACCAGATGTGGCCCAGAATCGCTTCTTCTTGATGGTATTAACCTTCTTTGCAAGGTACAGAAGGCACTCAATCTGGTAATGCACCAAAACACGGTGCTTGTGACTCTGTCGGCTGGTCCACGCGTCACACGCCTTAACCCATTTTTCAACCATAGCATAGGCACTCGATTTCACTCCAATGAACTTGCTGGAAGTTTGCATGCCTAAGCAACAGGATACTGAGATCATCGATAATACAAGAACGGTAGATGAAGCGGGTCTTGTATGATTGGGGTCCCAGAATGACTCGTATTCTTTCCTAAAAGTCGGAATGTGAACAATGCGATAAAGCTGTTCGAATTGGTCCAAGTAAACCGCGAGCAACGAGTCTGTTTCTTCTTTCGTGGGCAAAAGAGCTTCTAACGCGGGATCAGGTTCGGCAAACTTCTTTTCGCGGTCTTGATGTCCTTTCTCTCGGTCCTTTTTCTGAATGTTCAGAGGTCGCAACCATTGATCTGCAGTTTCTTTCATAAATTGGGATATGCCAGTGATTTCCTTGAGTGATGACCAAGCATTGTGTGGGCCACAATATCTACTCCTGAAGCACATTGCATTGTATCTGCTCTTCATCCGCGCAATTTCATCTGGGTTCATGAAAGTAGCGCTTGGGTGAGGACAGAATGTCGGCGGCGTATCTTTGGCCACATCTCGATTTGTTGAAGGCGAAGCAGCGACGGTGCTACCATCCATCGATGACTGCTTGGTCAGAACACTCCTTAGCTGAGCAACTTCAAGCTCTAACTTTCGGATACGCTCATGATCCCGTGCTGTGTCTCTCAAAACAACAGTATCGACTAGTGGGCGAATTGGGGGTTGATTGTTGTTTGGGCGGCGCCCCTCTCCGACAATAGGCACAAAAGGGCTTTCTGGTGGAACGAATGTGTTCCTCGCCGCGGTCGATGCTGTGGCTGCCGGTGGACCGCCGGGTCTTGGCTCATAATTGCACCGCTCAGGAGTTCCGGATTTGACACAGCGATCACATGGCAGCTCTCTTGAGCATGACAATTTCCTCCGTCTACACTCTAGACATGAAAGCCGCACTCTCTGACGCTTTCTTGTCGAGCCTTGCTGATTGTCCTCAGGCTCCGGGCCGTCGTGATCGTCATGCTCTTCGTCGTCCACATGACGCTTTTTTGCAGTATCGCCCGAGTCTTCCATTTTGCTCAGATGCGGTCTCTCACAACAGGATATGTGAAGAGCGACAGCGACATGACCATCGTTGATGAGAGCCTAGATGATGCAATTCAATCTGATAAGATGACTGCATTTGTCAGAACTGCCTAGCCTAGCCACATCGAGTGTCTGGTCGGTGCTCGGATCTGAGACTCGGTATTCGGCATTAAGAGCGGAATCCGAGCCTAACATTACGTAATGTCTAGCTTAGCAAGACAGCCAGAATGCAGCCTACTGTTGTTATATTTTACTCGCATAATTACAACATATCAGAAGCACGCTTGAAATAACAACCAATTGAGATGTAGAATTCAAGTCTGGATGCGACGGCGTCCTGCAAGCAATTCGAAGTCCAAATTTACATACTTAAGTACCTACTTACCTAAGTATTTTAGCGCTAACTCGCTACCTACATATGTGTCCAGTTCAAAATCAGACAGTATAAATGCATATACCGATTTATCAAACACATTTATGTAATAGCCCAGATAGCGATAACGACTGGAGGGAGGAATGGCAGCTTACCTAGCACCCAGACTTTGGGAACCTGTAACTTGGTCTCAAGTCCAGCTATTGGCTTCCAATTACTGTCCTACCACTCCCAGTACTAGAATGCCAAAGCGGCAATGTTAGCCCTTAGACTTAGCCTGCTCGTAGGCTGTTTCCTAGGTTCATCAAGCGCCGAAGTGATACCTGGCAGAGCGTTTGATCGATTTATAAGTATATGGCTTGAGAACCAGGTTAGCATCATCAGTCTTGAGGACGAGCGGTGGCATCTATCTTGGGCTCGTTTATTAATGCTTTACGGTTTTCCTAGGACCTAGATAAAGTTGTCGCAGATGATGCATTTGCAGACTTGAAGAGATTCGGCATTCTTCAAACACGTTATTATGCGCATACGCATCCCAGCCAGCCCAATTACCTTGCTGCCATCGGTGGAGATTATTGGGGTTTAGATCACGATGAAGTTGTTCGAATCCCCAGTAATGTCTCTACAATCGTTGATCTACTCGAACCGAGCAAGATATCGTGGAGAGGCTATTTTGAAGGTATTCCTGGCCCAGGCTATATGGGGGAGGCCAGCGTAGGACTGCCAGATAACCAGTCGCCTAACGGCACTTGGGATTACGTACGGAAGCATAAGTGCGTTTTTCGTTGGCTGGCGCTGATGTAGGATGTATGTGATGGGCTAATTCGGTCGACTAGTCCCTTTGTCTCGTACGATTCGGTCAACAATGATGGGAGTCGACTACTCAACGTGCTCTCGTTTGACGACTTCCAAGACGACTTTGCTGCCGGGATCGTGCCGGTAAGACTTCTATGCTAGCGCATCTCCAATGAGCTTGATCCATTTATAGGAAAAACTGCTAACGTTTGGCATATAGCAATTCGTTATGATGTCTCCGAACATGCTTAATGATGGACACAATACATCGTTAGATTATGCGACGCACTGGGCTCGAGAGTTCTTGAAGCCTCTCCTAACCGATGGCGCCTTTTCAGAGAAGACGCTTATACAGTTGACATATGATGAGACGGAGGATTACACTCAGCCAAACCGTATTGCGTCACTGTTATTGGGCAACGCTGTACCTAAGGCCCTCTGGGGATCTACTGACGACACATTTTATACCCATTTCTCTATCTTATCTACGATGGAGAATAACTGGGGGCTGCCGAATCTTGGCCGATTTGATGTGGGAGCTAATGTTTTCAAACTCGTTGCGGATGTGACAAAATACACTAATTCCGACCCTCCAAATATTTCTAGAGTGAACAACTCAGTATCATACCCTGGTCCCCTAAACAGGAATCACTCCATGAAGTTGACAGCATTCCCTCCTCCAAACCTGAAGCTTGAAGGTGCCGGTGGGCGTCCCATTCTGAAAGAGATTGCGCAGACCTGGAAGTCTGTATCGAAGTCGGAAACTCCCTACGATGGCAGTGGTGCCGTGTATGATGGTGATAACTTGCCCATATATAGAGCTCAGGGGTAGATTCTTCCTAAACTTAGCAATCAAAGTGTACAGTAGATCTGTATTCTAGAGCCGCCAAGGCTACTTACTAGTATAACTCTGAATTCGTGATAGCTGCATATTCCCCACTTACAGAAACAGGCGCTTCACTTACTTGGTAAGGTATCAGTTACACGATTTCAATGACATCGTTTACATATGTACATACCTTTGTCGGGATTGATTTCGTGAATATCTACTTTCTCGTGATTACCCTTCTCAACCCTTCTCAGATACCTATGCAGCGACCGTTTTTGTTTCAAGCTGGATGAGGATTCCATGTGGAACATTAAAGTGCCAGCTATGCGCAATACTACTGGTGCCACAGCTACGAGCCTTTTCACGGCTCTCATTCGAACCCATCACATCACGAGTCGCAAGAAACTCCAGCGCGTCAAAAAGGCAGCATCACAACATCAGCTGCCCTTCGTCCTTATTAGAAGTGGTGGATCACCAGGCATCATGTATGCCGAAGGCGCTGAGACTAGCGTTAATGCTTGGGTAAGCTTCGTGCGAAGCCTTCGGTACAAGGACTTCCAGTGCCCGCGGAAACCAGCAGAGAACAGCGTGTTGGTGCCAGCCCACACGACTCTAGGCAGTTTTGAAGAAGTTACATCGATAACTGAATTTGGTCATCGCATGGAGCAAAGGGGTCTCGGTTCGTGGTGGAAGCTTGCAATGGGATACAGCTCACCAGACTAAGCCCCATTTACCGGAACTGCTCACACAGGATCGAAGCAACATTGTCGGTTCATCAAGATAGAAGCCTCTAAGTCAAATTTGTCAGCCAGCGACTCCCGTATTGTTGACTGAACATGGCAGCGAGCTGTATTCCTTCAACAACAGATCTCGATCTCGATCTGTCCAGATCAGCTATGGCATAGACATGGCAGCGTCTTCTCCTACATCTCAGGATTCGGCCCGCGTAATGCCCAACTCAATGAAATCAACGTCCCTAACCCACCTGCCGGCGGCCTACGCTCCGCTACGACCTAGAATCACACCAATCTATATTATCCCCAAGCTTCATACGCCAGTCAAGCCGGTGCTGGATTCGTTCTCTCTGACCCGTGGGTTGGGGTTGGGCGCAAAACCTGGGGTATTCAGCCGGCAACGGCAGTTTGCACCCGTTCATTTGCGAACCGCGCAACCAATTACATCCGTGCTGGTTATTGATCTCGCTCTCGTATAAATAGCACTCGGCCCTACTCGGCCGACATGGCGTATAAGGCATATGTTAATTTTGCTGCTGCAATATTTGCTCGCGAAAGGGATATAACTCGAGTTGCACATCCCATTCTAGGATTCGCTTCCAAGCACCAGGTCTGCTCACCCCTAGCAATATCGCACTCTTGGTCTAGTATCCTTGTTAACAGAATGAAGTCCACAGCCTACGCCATTGTCTCGGCGGCTCTCGCCTTCCAGGCCTCGGGCCACTCTATCTTCCAGCAGTTATGGGTTGACGGTGTAGACTATATAAGTCTTCCTCTGTAATCTTGCTCGCGGAGAATGCTAACTTGTGGTGCACGGCTCCCAATGCATTCGTATGCCCCCAAATAACAACCCCGTGACCAATGTCAACAGCAACGACATCCGATGCAATGTTGGCGGTACTAGGGGTGTTGGTGCCAAATGCCCCGTAAAGGCAGGATCCACGGTCACGGTTGAGATGCACGCAGTACGATAGACGAGCATATATACCTGGTCAGCTAGTATTCGCTAATCATGCGACAGCAACCCAATGACAGGAAATGCTCCTCGGAAGCCATCGGCGGCGCCCATTATGGCCCTGTCAATGTGTATCTAAGCAAGGTATCAGATGCCACAAAGGCCGATGGGTCAGCTCCGTGGTACAAGATCTTTGCGGATTCTTGGTCTTCCAAGGGATCCGTGGGCGATGGTGACAACTGGGGCACCAACGACCTCAACGCTTGCTGCGGCAAGATGGACGTTAAAATTCCTGATAATACCCCATCGGGTGATTACCTGCTCCGTGCTGAAGTTATTGCTCTTCATACTGCAGGCCAGTCCGGTGGTGCCCAGTTTTATATGTCATGCTACCAGCTGTCAGGTGAGTGGCCCTTCATCGCTGCTGTCTCTATTCCTGGAATTTCACGAGAAGGACGTGTCCGTATCGTGCTCTACGTCCTTGGAGTGTAGAATAACAACCATTGACTATTTGTGTACTAGTGACTGGAGGCTCCGGATCTGTCCCATCAGGTGTCAGCCTTCCCGGCGCCTTCAAGGCTTCGGATCCTGGCATTCAAGTAAATATCCATGCCAAGATGAGCACTTATGTGAACCCCGGGCCGGCCGTCATAGCCGGCGGCATCACCAAAACTGCTGGCTCTACCTGCAGCAGTGGTTGTGCCAAGACTGTAAGTAGCCCTCGCAGTTCATTTCTCTTCTCGCCTTGGAAACTTGGAGAATAGCAGGGCTCTCCTATGCCATGATAATAGCCCCACAAACGCCCTATGGCCTCGATGTACTCTCATAACACACCCAGAAGTGTTCAAGCTAATCTCGTATGTAGTGTGCTGCTGGCAGTGGTCCAGTCGGGACTGGCATCGCGGCTCCCGCTCCCTCTGGTGGCTCTAGTTCTGGCGGTGATTCCGCTTGTGCTCAGGCGGCTTTCCAACAGTGTGGTGGACAAGGATACAGCGGCTGCACCACTTGCGCTGTAAGACCACCTCAATATATGTGTCGCGAAGAAAGAACTAACCGTTTAAATAGGAGGGGCTCACTTGCAAGGCCGTTTCTCCCCCCTACTACTCACAATGCAGCTAAGCTGTCTCCTAAGAGTACAATATCACGCTTGATTAGATCTGCTACGGCTATTGCCTAGTAAACAGAGCAATAGAATATCAATCAATGTATACTGTCGAGGTTGCTGGGTTAAGTTAATGCACCCAAGATAGTAGCTAACGACGTGGCTAATATCAACACGTAAAGTAAATTTACAAAGCACCGGACCAAAGTGCAAGTATCCCTCCCATCTGCCGATGTGACAGGAAATAAAGTCGTGAGAGCCTCCATTCTTAAGTTTTTGCCTAGATGGCTAGCTACTGAGTATCAGGGAAGGGATCCGGTGCGTACTATTATAGTCGAAAACCGAAAGCAAGCCGCATCGTCCTAACGCATTAGCTTCGCTGTTGGTTTCCCATTATGACATGAAGCTTCTACCTCCGCACGTAGCTAATAGGTGCAAATTAGGATATCATTGAGTATTGGAATTACGTGCAAGTTATTCCTCTCACACATATGTAGATGTAAATTGGCCATTTGCGTTTGGCGACTATCACATCCATACTTGCGGCTTCAGCGGTAGCTGCCACCTATATCACACGCGTACATAGTAGAGTTGCAAACCTCGGCCCATGGGATACCGTAGATAGCAGATTCCCGCTCTCGCTGAAGTTAAGGGTCCCTTGCTTGCGGGAGGTCATCTACGCTAACCTTTAGTGTAGTGATTTGGGGATAACCAGGGGGGTAGCTTTATTTCCCCACCACGTAAACTCACGCAATATCTTGGCACAGGGATATTAAGCTGTTTGCTTCGTTTGTTCCGCCCCGACAGCTCTCTCTAGAGCAAGCAATTAAGATCCGTTCACACCTCTCCCGACGAAAACCCTTCTCAATTGAACTACTACCCCCCCACCCACCACGATGGCCGCCAGCGATCCGAGAGCGCGCATCATGTCGCACATGAACAAGGAGCACGACGCCGATCTGAGCCGGTACCTGCAGGCCTTCAACGGGCTCTCGGCGTCCGCCGCGTCCTCGGCCAAGCTGACGGACCTCGCCTTCGACACTCTGACCATCCAGTCGCGCTCGGGCGTGCACTCGGTGCGCATCACGCCGCCCATGAAGTCCTTCGCAGACGCCCGCGTCCGCCTCGTCGACATGGCCGAGCGCGCTCAGGCCAAGCTCGGGCTCAGCGACATCCGCATCGATCGCTTCGAGGGACCACGGGGCGCGGGGCTGGTGTCGTTCGTCGGGGTCGGCTTCTACTTCGTCAGCGCGGCTGCGCTGGCGCTGGGGTTCCTGCGCCCGGGCACGACGGCGTGGGCGGCGCTGGACGGATATTTCCCATACCAGGGCGCCGAGGGCTTCGTGTGGTTGGTGAGGATGATTTTCGTGCCGATGATCGCCATACATCTTACCGAGGCATGGTGGATGGCGCAGAGCCGGCTTAAGAAGTTCAACGTCGAGACGGGCAGCGCAGTGTGGTTCGCATGGGTGGTGGAGACGTTCTTGGAGGGGTTTCCGTCCTTTCAGCGTTTCGACGCCATGGTGCGGGAGGAGAGGAGGAAGAAGGATGCTGCGAAGCACTAGATCTGACGTCTTGGGCTGCGGTGTGACTTTTTTGGTGAGACCTGCGCTAGACTTGTGTCTCATCGCCTTGGGATGCATGGGGACTGGTCTGGGGTTACGACTGCATGTGCATGTAGATTCTTGATAAACCGGACCCATAGAAGGCTGATAACGACGGAATGATTCATGATAATGGGCGCAATACTTTGCCTGCTACAACTACCTCTCTGTAGCCAATATATTGTATCCACGACCATCATTTGTACTTCATTTTGAGATTCATCATGACATTCAACATTAGGTAATCTTTCTGTCCTATCTGAATAGCATGAAGAAATCATATCTTCGTGCAATGATAACTATGACCACGTTGCCCTGCTATGTATGACACAGCTGCCAATTGCGTACTCTCACATATGAGTGACGATTCCTTGAAAACCCAGAAAGTAACTCTTCACCAGTTTTGCAGTCCCTCCACATCACAAAAATTATGACCGGAAGGTCAGTACGCCAACTATAACTATCCTTTCACTTTTCTTCAGGCCTTTACTTTAGTAATCAGAATTTCCCAACCCCAAGGCCTACAGATGATCTCTCTTTGCATTGAAGCTTGCATCAGCCAATGGTGGTCGGTATAGAACATGTGAGATCACTCATCATATGACCCCCATTCGTTGGCTTCGTCACGGCCCAGGCCAGAAGGCTCAACTCGAGGCCCCTCATCTTGATTAACTTGAGGTGCCGGTAGAGCTGACTGAGGTGGACTTTGATCCTCACCAACTCCCGAATCATCACCATCGTGATATGCTTCTTCGATCAGTCGCCCATTCTCACCCCGTTCAGCCCTTTCAGCCCGATGTTTGTAGGCTGGATTTGCGTTATCCCTTTGTCCACGTCGTTTGAAGTAGACAAGGTGTGCCAACTTCTCCTCGTTAGTTTATGTTGACAATCACTTGATGCAAATATATTTGTGACCGGGGTTACTAGTATAGACTTACTTGGATCATGCCACACAACACAGCAACTGCGAACTGTAGACCCGAAGTACGCTGCATAGATGCGGACCAGGGGCCATCACAAGGTATATGTCTACCGTAGATTTTCTGACACTCTTGTTTCGGCCAGGGACGGTCAACAACACTGTGAAATCCACAGCAATCGAATGCGTTCTGAATACGCTCAATGGCGCGCCCGTCGTGCTTATGCCATAATAGCTGCCAAGCGCCCTCTAGTTCACATTTCAAGGGTGCACCAGGCGTGAATCCCTGGGCTGCCAGTGTTGCAATAACGACAGTAAGTCCGCCTTGAAGAATATGCAATGCAGGCAGCAGAAATTGCTGAACATTTGACGACTTGGTAAGGCGATTCAGGATAGGCGTGTAAAAGAGATTGGCGACGGCGAAGAGAGGAAGTAGAATTGTGAGTACAGTTGTTCCCGTCGAGATGGGCAGTGACAGCGTGCTCGAGGTGATTTGCACATAGCTGTGTCTGTATGTTAGATATAACTATCTGAGAATTCGTTGAAGGGGCCGGTTTACATGGCAATTCCAATCAGAGCCACCATCAACTAAGATATAGCAGGTAGGTTAGTTACTAGTCAGTTCTTCTTACTCATCCATCTGCCATTGATAAGAGTTCAGTAAACATACAAGAGGGAACGCGATAATCAGTTTCGACATCTTGAGAGTTAAAATGACGCAATCTTGAGTAGACTGGGTGTTCGTTCCAGTTGGCGGTTGTGTACAGATTGTGTTGATATCAAGGAAGGCACGCCGCGATATTGACAAAGGTTGGCGTAGCTTGTAACTGAGAGGCGACTCTGTTGAGTCTACTCTTTTTCTGGATATTATCTGCAACGGGCGGCAGTTCCGGTAATTGTGATGATCGATGGCCGATGAGACACAACCTATCTAACTTGGATAGACAATCTGTATACTGGAAGTGTAAGGCAAAGGGTAAGGCGGGGAAGAGATTAGGCAAACGTGACTGAACCCTATTTCACAGAAGTGCAACATGGAAGGTACGCGGGGATGACGTGGTATGTGCAAACGGCCGTTGACGCGTAGAGGCGGCCAATTGGCGACAGGGCGGTAGTGGTACATGTTCACGGCACCCTCTTTGACACCCTCTTTGGTTCTGATATGCAGCCATACACAAGTACTTACACAGTAGGTAGTACTCAGGGAGGAGGCACCTATCTACCCAATTAGCTATCATCTAATCATGAAGCTATTTTGTAGTGTCAAAGTAGCAGTGTAAAGCAAAGGTGGGAGCTCAGGTATATTAAGATCCGTTTCATTAACTTCACTTCTTGTTGTTCATTAACTGTTCAATGTGATAACAGCTGTTGAACCAAAGCGGTTTACACTTCTGTGAATGACAGCCAGGCGTGCCTCTATCCTTACCTACCGACAAGTACTGGAACATTGTGACAGTGGCTGAGGTTTGTTTCTCCTACATTCTCAACAGACCAATCCCTCCCCGCTCTAGTTGCCTAAATACCCATACACCCAATGAGCTCACCTCGACTTTGCACATTGGAGGGGGGGTTTAAAGACAAGCCACACATGACCCATTTAACACCTTGCTCTTCTACATGAAAAGGACTCCCGCAATCATAGTATCTATTCACTTTTTCTTTTTCTTTCTTCTTGGTTGGGTGATTGAACGTGTGGAAGTAGGGGCAATACAATATACAATGATCTTACAACCAGGATAACCTAACCCAATAGTGTTCATAACCAGTCTGTCTAAAAGTGCTGTCTCCGTATTTGCAATGCGCCAAAAATCCAGACCTCTCGAAATCTTCGACTGGATAGCTGCTCTTTCCAGCAAGCAAGCCAACTATCTCAAAAATCATCGTTGCTTGGCTTTTGCGAGCGCATGCCCTTAACGGTCAGCCACAGCGCTGAAACCAAGAAGTAGAATGCACCGAATGCCGCGTATCCGGCAATGCCCTTGATCGATGGGTCCATTGGCTGGGTGGCCTGGAAGATGAAGAAACCACCAGCCAAGGAGGACTGGCCACCGCTGAGAGCCTGGGCCCACTGAGCGCCGGCCGTCTTCCAGCGTCGCACCGCAGCCCCGAGTTGCATGAGACCCGAGCCAATGGCCCACGCACCGTAGATGCCGAGAACCCAGTGCATGCTGAAGAATACCGCGACCAACACGAGGACCGTTGTCGCAAGACTGACCAAGAAGTTGACGGCCTGGCTGTGGTTCTGGGCGAGTCCACCGCTGTGCTGCGCGTCGACCAAACACGCGGCGGCGTCCCATAGCGGGTATACCACGAGCAACACTGCAGCGGCGACATAGTACGAGTCGCCGGCCGCGAACGCGGCAGCCACCCAGACCGCGGAGAATGCTACACGGGCGAAGTAGTACTTCTTCAGCCAGTTCTCCTGGGCGACGGCGGGGTCCTCATCCGCGTCGAGCTGGTCATATTTCGCCCTCGCGGGGATGAACCTCTCGAGATAGGCACCCACGTTGGATGTCATGCTGGGCTTATGAGCTGTAGCGTGTCTGGGGAGAAAGGAGGGCTTCCCGAAAGTTTCGTTGCGCGAAGCCTCTAGAGAGACGAATCGTCGGTTCATGAATGAAGATAACGTCGATGAGATGGTTCCAAGGAGTGAGCGCGAGAGAGAGGTTTCAGAGTGAAATTTGTTCGCTCGTTCGCTCGCTCGGTAATTGACTACGTGAACTACATGCTTACAGAAATCTGTATTTACGTCTGACATTCATGAAATGTAGTCAGTCCCCTGACGAAGCTGCTTACTGTGTTACTATTCCTGGACATTGATGCTGGGTCTTCCCACCTCAAGTCTTACCCTTTAGGGCGAAGAACCCCGGCTAGAGCCAATGATGAGGCTCTAAGAGTCGCTGTGAACAGTATAGCTCGTCTCAATTGCTATCGCAATTTATCCCCTTCATGCCGGAGGCTTCGGCATCTCTTATATTTAAGCTGACGAGTCTCGGACCTTTTCCGATTCATCCCATTTTGCGTCGCGACACTTACTGTGGTAGCAAGCCGCAGCACTTCATGCATTCTCACGCTAGGATTGAGCTTCCTGATTGTTTGTGATAATGACGAGGCTCGCTACATATAGAATGCTGAAATGTAATACCGGTATTATGTGGAGTCATCCGCCAAGTAAGCACTCATAGGGTCGTTCTAGGATACCTGACAACCTAAAGGTCCAGCGGTCCCTCGTCTAAAGAGTGACATCCCGAGGCCTCAGGCGCGCCAGTTTCTTTAGCGTAGATCTGTAGTTGATGCTCTCACTGAGATGGTGCACTATACAATTGGAGAACTATTTTGGTAATTACGATTTGTATAAAAGCGTCAACGCCAACTGCCCTTAAGTACGTTTACCCCGGATACAGTATGAGATGGCTTCATTAACTCATTATACAATTGTCGACAGGTAACCAATCTTGCCGAGAAAGTCAACACCTGATATGTCACGCGTAACTATTTGCGTATGTGAATCTGCCCAGACTATGTGCTTAAATACCTGACCTTAACTCAGCAGCTCGGCCTTGCGCTTCTGAAGCAAGAAATAGTACTGCTGCATCTCCACAGGCTGCGTCGGTTGCCGTTCACCGGTGAAGTTGCCCTTACCATGGCCATCAAAATGCAGCTTCCATGCTAGGGGAAGAGTGAAGTCAGAATTCATTCTTAATGAGAGCAAACAGGCGAAAAACCGGGAGGGGTGAGCTTACTGTTTGCGTCAAAGGCAAGATATGACCAGCTATCGTTGAGATACGCCTTTTCGTTGCCGACACGAATCGTCCGGACTTGTCCCATCTGGCCTGGTGCGGGACGGAGCTGCCTAAGATCCGCTGCGAGTCGTACCAGGCCGACAACAAACGCGAGAGCTAGATCCTTACCCAAGCACTCGTGCTGCCCGAAGCTGAATGACGACACGTCGTTGATCTTGCGCTTGGGGTTGAAAGTCGCTGCGTCTTCGACTTCTGTCTTGTTTCGACCGGCCTCACCCTAGAAGCAGGTTAGCGTTTTTTGAAAAGGGAATCACGAGGGCGGAAAAACTCACAAGCAACATGACGATAGCGTTACCCGGCTGCACCTGTTTGCCCTCCAGCTGTCCTGGCGCGACTGCAACGCGCATATTGCGCTGTGAGCTCGTGAGGCGCTGAGCTTCCGTCACGTAATCGTGAATACCGGCATCGTCGCCCTTGAGTGCAAGAGACTGAACCTCAGCCCAGATCTTGGCATTTTCGGGGCGAAGGAAGAACTCTAGCACTTCATAAAACTAGTTGGGAGATTAGCATCCTAAAACCTTCCTGATTGGGGGAGGAGCTAACCGTGGTGACGGGGGCGCCAATACCGCCAAAGGCAGTCAGCCAAAGGTTGTCTGTGACGCGCTCGGCAGAGTTACCCTGGGCCAGCAACTCATCGATGATCTGGTATCCGCAAGAGCGTAGCGAGCCTTTCTTTAGGTAGGCTTTGCGCGAGAAGTTGTTAGAGATGGCCGAGGCAATGCCCAGTCCGAGGCCTCGGCCGCGTACTACCTCGTCAACAAGCTTGCGAGTCGTGTCGGTGATGACTTGGGCACCCTCCTGAGCTCGCCTGCGGCGATTCCAGGCCTGAGCCGGGTCATTATTATTCACGCCCCAGATGCGGATATTCAAAAGGTGGGTATAGAACTGGGTCTCGCTGAGAACGCCGTCCGGGTTCTCCTCGCTCTTCAAGTCGAAGTAGAAGAGGTCGGAAAGCAGTCGCGCGTTCAAGGGAATTGCGATGTCGCGGATGATGTCGATCTGGTTGAGGCCCTCCTTGAGCGTGAACGTCTCCTTTCGGATAAGCTCTGCTCCAACACGTTCTACGAATTCGTGAATGACGTTGTGGAGATTCGGAACCTTCTTGAAGGCCTTCAACATGTTCGAGCGCTCCTGGAAATTACTCTGTGTGTCGCCAGCCAACTATGCAGAGTACAGAGTCAGAAATCACTGCTTACAGCCTCAACCTGTTCATAGAGTAGGAAGGACCGAATAAAGTACCGGATCATGCGAGAGAATATCAAAGAAATAGAAAAGTAGGAGGAGACGTACCATAAACCAGTCGAAATTCTTCTTGCCTGGGAACAAGGCGTTCAATGGTGCGACCCATGGAAGAACGTATTGCTTAGGGTTGCTGAGCACCTCTTTGATGGCTGCGCTCGTGGTGACAATAACGGGCGTCGGTGGCGGCTTGGGATCATCCAATGTGAACTGTGCCAATGTGCCGATCTCTTTCGCAATCGCAGCATTAGCCTTCTTGGTATACATCGGCTGCATGACAGCAACTGAATTATACGGGAACCAGCCCGGCAGACCACGCTGTATTAGCTTGTATAGCATCGATCCGCCCATGGTCTTGTAGTCTTGCTGGACTTCATTGTAACCCCAGCTGGTCAAATTTGACACGGTGAAATCAATCGTGTTAAATCTATCTGAACGCACGAGGGTGACAGCGTCAGAGAGCACAGCTCTGCCTAGCGTATAGGTAGGACAGATGCCAGTGCCAGTATTCCTTACTGGCTTGGTGTCCTCGATCATCAGGCCTGGGTAGAGTTCGACCATATCTGGAGACTACACAATGGGAGTTAGTAACTGCTGCTTGTTAAGGAAGAGGGGAACAAAAGCCACATGGATACGTACAGTGTACAGCTGCTCGAGAATGCGCGCGATCTGCGGATCAGAATTGATGTCGCTGAACTTCTCCCATCGTTTGAGTCCGAAGAACTCCCGGAACTCGTTCAGGGATGCAACCTGCCACTTGCGACCCTGATTGATTCCGAGAATCTCGACGATCTTGAGGGCCTTGGGGATCATGCGAGCGCCAAATGTGCCGGCGGGATCGTCCATCGCTTCCTTCATTATGCGAGCCAGATCCGCGTCCTTGAACTTGCCGTCTGCTTGACGCTCTAGCCCGTCAAATGTGCGGACACTGGGATCTTTGGGGATGCTCTGCTCGAAAGTGAGGAGGGCTTGGCCAAGCTCAGTCCAGCTCACATTCTTAAGGTCTTCTGGGTTACGACCAGGGAAGAGTTTCAGGAAAAAGTTGTTAATCCAACCCTCATCCTTCTTAGAAATGCACGAATGGAACCGATACAGAAGGTTGAACTCGACGCTGACTTGATTACCTACACCCCGGGGGACGCCTTCTCCGTCGTATTGCTTAGTGATGTCAACACGCGGATCTAATGTCCAGTCGCTCTTGGAGTGGTGTGTGTTGGTAATGGCTCTCAAGTAGTCGTGTAAGCTGATGTTGACGTATAGGCCACCGACAATGAGACGAGCTGTATTGAAGAGGTCGTGATCTTGCTTCGCAACTGCCTTGGCCCTGTCTTCTGGGCTGGCGTTCTCCGAACAAGCCAGAGTAAAGCGGCCGTTCTCGTTTATCTTGAGCAAGATATCAACAACATAATTGTGGAAGCGGTTGTATAGGACCAGCATGACATTGACTCCAGCAGGCTGTCCAAGCAGACGTTTCTCATGGAAAGTATCGGGCTTTAGTTTACCTTCCTTCATAGTTCGTATCTCCAACTGATCGCGAAGACTAGATCCATAAAGAGGTGCCAGGTCTAAGTAGGATGACACATCAGATATGTTCATGTCTGTTCGACTAGTCCGAAAGATGTCATGAATGATGATCGATGCGTGATAAAATAGCATGGATGAAACACCTGCTGGGTTTTCTTTGAACGTATCGTCCTCGCGAGCCATCAGGAGATCAAATAACAGTCCAGGATCAGGCTTCACACCATGAAGCCGTTTGGTATTTCTCACTGACTTAGCATAAGGTGTGCCGGCCTTGCCAAGATTTGGCTGCAGTATGTTATTGAAACTACCGTCAGGCATACGGTAGTGATGGAGCCCATCAGGGGCTTGTGGAACTATCTCGCGTAGAGTTATATCGCTGTCCGGAGCTTTGAACTCGATGACATCGGCGGGCTTTGGCTTCGGCACATTGACCGACGTTTCGGGGCTTACGACTTCATACTTGACATCGCCCCCAACGTAGCTTAAAGGCGGATGTTGCAGATTGTCCCAGAGTGTATCAATGAGTTTGTTTGTGAGGTGGGTTCGAGCAGCCGATGTAGATGGCAGAGAAGTGAGAATCCCAATCAACAGCTCAGTTGTCCTGCTACTTGTTAGTTCCATCTTGTTTTCATATTTATGAGTAATGTGGCTTACCCTTTTTTGTCGTCTAGAGGCTGCCCCGGATTTTTCAGTTCCTTGATCAGTTCAACGATCTCTGGAATGGAGGCCTGACTACGAAGGCCAGAGTAGTCTTTCAACAGATCTGTCGCAACCTTCACCGGGTCTGAGAAGAAGTCAGCATCTGATTGTTTTTGTGGATCTCCATAGGCCTCGCCAGCCTGGAACTTCTCGGAAGCCATTTTCTGCGCCCGTGATTTGGCAAACTTGTTCACATAAGAGATACAGCTCAGACAAGATGTGCGTAGAAAAATAGATATTAACTTCTTCTCAGCTATATTCACCATGCCTCCCTTTATACCCCGCCGTAGCTCCCAATAGCTACCCAGCTTCTATATTGAACGATGATAGTTATTGGCCGCAAGCCATGAGCCCCTCACGTCGTTGCCAGCCGCCAACCCAGAGTCATGTTTTGATGAGCTGGCCCTAGGTTGCATGTACACCTGCGCATTTGGATGCATGCTTTCCATTGAATAAAGCCTCTAAGCAGCCACAAAGCCTGATACTCATAGCTACTGACATTAGAGAGCAGGACCTAGACCTTCGGTTAGTAGATGCTGCTTTGCTCGGCATGCACGAGGTTTGCACTTTCGAGCTGACTTCCATGCATCCTCGACTTCACCCCAGTCAATAGCTTCTAGGTTGAAGGCGGTGTCACGATCATAGTGAGACACGATTGGCGGCCGGTGTGTCTGGCCTGGAGCTAGCTTAGGTAGACCGTATTAGCCATACTCAGATGAGAATGATATCGGGGTATCTTTCTCAACCGACGCAGTATATCGAGAAGCGAGAAGCTGAGCTGATGCAAAAGCAGGTAAGCGAATGGCCTCTGCAGCGGGCTGTCCGGCTTGAAACGCGAAGGTTGGTGTAACGAGATGAACAAGTCTGCATTAGTCATCTTAGTATCTCCAAAGGCCCTAAGTTCGATGTTTACACCATCATGACACTAGAAACAATAGCTATGAAAATACCATGGTCCTCCGAGAATAGTATATACACCTTGAAGCACAAGAGGACTCGACTGTACTAGTAGAAAACTGGTGTGTTTGACCAGTAGTGACACGGGCTGGGATCTTCGTCGCCCAAATTGTTACGCGGATATGCAAACCGGTTCACTTAGAGATCATGCACAAAGTATTACGAATATCGAAGAGATGGTTGGCTGGCTGAAGCCCGGCGCTTGCCGCGGCTGCATGAAGCCTCGCATGCCCTGATGTACCTTGGCGTGTACATTTCGGCGACAACACGTAGTTCATAGGTACTGTAAGGATGTTTGGGGGCGCACTACATGAGCAGATATCGATAGTCCGGTCATTGAGTTCATGATCCGATCACCGCCTAGTCTTCTGGGCCGCGGGTTACTATCTGCCTGCCGCGTCACTTCTGGACCGGTCTGGTATGGAGCGCTGCAAGCGCAAAGGTCGAATTGGGTGGTTCGCCGATGCTTTAGTCTAGACTTGGCCAGCTGAGTATCCATCGTCCAGCCAGAATGAGCATAAAAGTAATCCAGTGCGTCCTTCAATGCAGCACCAAGCTTCTCAAGCTTCGCCAATGACAATGCGGCTGGCTGAGGTCTCACACCTCGAGACACCCCACGGCCGGGCCGTCTACTACGAAGTATGTGAGCTCTGGGGGTTTCTGGGTGCACAGCGCAACACCTTGTCTAGAGCGGGCGCCTATCAACGTGATGCCTTCTGCAGCCAGCCACCGGAACAGGAAAAGCAAATGGCAATAGTACGACGGCTAGGAGCAAAAAGAATATGACATGAACATCCGGGGTTACACGTGTACATGGAGGCGACAGACAGATCGTCGGGTTATAAGTTCGGTGACGACAGAAGGAAGGCCACGCAGATGGGCGGAGGAGAATGGGCGCATGAAATCAGTTGTCTTGTCTAGAGCATCACTGTTGTACCGTACAGATAGGTCGTGTTTAACACCCAAAGTCCAGCTCGTCCCTTCTCCTCCTTTCTTGTTTTTCAATCTTCCCGATGCCTTTCATTGACGATTCAAGCCGTCATACGAACGGGATGAATTCCGCTGCGCCCGCGGACGTGGTCCTCGAGCCGAAGAAACTGGTGTTATGCTTTGACGGAACTGGCAATACATTCAGCGGCTCCAATGCCGACACAAACGTCGTGAAGATCTTGAACAAGCTAGATCGTCATGCCCCTCGCCAGTTCCACTACTATCAAAGTGAGCCAGGCTTCTACAGAAATCTGGGCCCGAAACTAACAGAGCCAATAGCTGGTATTGGAACGTATGATATCAATGAGAAGTCGGTGAACAAGTCATGGTTTGGTGAGATGCGTAGCTCCATTGCCATGACTATCGACCAAGGCATTGGTAATACGTTCGACGCTCATGTGATGGCTGGGTATCGCTTCTTGATGAAATACTACGACACTGTAAGTTAAAATGTTAGTGGAATTGCGCGCCTATTGCTGATGGCTGACTTAAATTTCCTGGATGAAGGATGCCAAGATCTACATGTTCGGCTTCAGGTTAGTACTCGAGCACTTGCTATACCCCTTTTGATCTGTCTCGGGGAATCACATGCTAAAAAATACTTTTAAATTGCAGTCGAGGAGCTTTCACGTAAGTTGTATCACCTCTTATTATAACCTTATCAGCTTTGAGAACAATCCATATGTTGTCCTTAAGATTAGTTGTCAAATCAGATGGACGGCAGGAAGCTAAAGATTAATTTCATAGTGCCAAGTTCTTAGCCCGTATGGTCAACACTGTAGGACTGCTGTGCAAAGGCAATGAGGAAATGGTTCCTTTCGCCTATCGTCTCTATCAGCGCTATCTAGCAGGCGAGGTAGAAGACTTCACAGCTCAGCAACTAGCATGTTATGATGATGATTGTGCTTCTGAAAATACAGATGGAGCTAATCCCATGATGGACGATAACGAAGCAGGTGATCACTCACCTCATGGGCACAATTTTGAGCTTGCGCATAACGAGATCACTGCTTTCAGCAATACATTCTGCCGCAAGGAGATGGTAACTTTCATGTCCGATGACAAGGAGGTGACTGAAGAGAGGAATATCAAAGTGTACTGTACGTAACCACTGGTGTCATTTTCCCCCTGTTCTAGTTACGCCTGGAGGCCATATTTGCCTCCTAGGGGCACAATTGTGTCTCGGGAGTACGCAGGACTCCCCAAAACTTTTACCTGGAAGAGTAATTACTGATTCCAGCGGTTGCAGTCCTCGGTATCTGGGATTGCGTTAATTCAGTTGCACCCTTGGAGCGAAAGACGCCCGTTCCTGTGCCTGTCAAGGGGACTGCACGATATGTTCGGCATGCCGTCGCCGTCGACGAACGTCGAGTCAAGTTCAAGCCAGCCCTGCTAGCTCAAGACATACGGGCAACCGCCAAGAATGACGATGAAGACTTGAAGGAGGTTTGGTTCCCCGGATGTCATGGGGACGTAGGTGGAGGCTGGCCGGCTGTGGCTGGGCATCCTCTTGATACCAACGCCGACTCTGCCAAGTGGACTGTATGGCAGAAGATCAGAAACATTTTTACTACACGCAAGCCAACTGAGGCTACCAAAGATGTCCGAACCGACCCATTCCAGATGAGCGATAGTGAGTATTTCTTGCATTCAGTTCTTTCATCCGACAGAAATCAATTCAGAATTGCCAGAGGCGACTTCTAGATCTGATACACACACAAAGAGTTCGCTAGAGATGTCGATGATTGACCATAAATGTCGTAGTTCCGTTGGCATGGATGCTTCGTGAGCTAGAGCTCGTCGGTCAGAAGGATCCGGAAGCCGCCATTCAATTCTCAAAGAACTTGGGCGGCTTCAAACGTGCATTCCAAAAGAGAAAAAGGGAAGCCTTGACAGGCGTAATGCATGACTCCCTTAGTTTTGGATACGGGACGGGCTTCTTCAAGGTGTTATTGTGGAAATTCATGGGTAAGCCCTACATCTCTTCTCTCCCTCATCATCCCTACTGGCGAAATTCACGTGAACACTAACAATGTGTGAATAGAGGTGCTGCCTACCATTACAAGATGGGAGATGGAAAAGAACATGTGGGTCAATGTTCGCTTTCCTCTCAACAATGGCGCGCCGCGAGATATCCCGCCTGACGCCATTCTACACGAGTCGCTTATCTGGCGGCTGAAGAATAACCCAACGTACTCCCCCAAGAACAACAACGGCGGACACTCGCCGGCTTGCCTGAAGCATAAGGGGAATGTCGCAGCGTTCGACACGCTCGACGAGTCGAAGTCCGGCCCGGGTGCCTTCGGTATTGCCTCGCAAGTGACACCTGACCCCGACCATCAGGCATACATCTTCGCCAACCTACCTCAATCAGCATAATCACGCAAAGACCATGTATACGAGCGGTCTGCATGTGCGCATCATACTTATGTTACCTTGTACCACAATCTTGTATTGTCGGCGTTATCATTCCATTTTTTAGGAAATAATTTGTAAAGAGTATGCATTTATGATATCAGTCAAATAATGATGTGCAATTGAAGCGCCGAATACTCAAGTGTCTCGTTAGACCCGTGACATCCACGTATGTTGTGGATTGGTGTCCTTGAGTGTCATAAATATCAATTGTACCACTACGTAAGTACTACAGATATTGTGACATATGTCATGTAGTAACACCTTCGTATTTGAGGCGTATCAATTATGTTATATAGGAGTACAAGTCAGTCTGCCACGTACGTACGTGACCGCAGCATCACACGAACTACGCAGTTTCTCACACATAGGATATTTCGCTTCCACTTTACGTATCTGGCCACGACTACCTTACACGCAAGGCGGAATGGACCTAAAGAGAGCAGCTTGTGTCCAACTGAAAAGCTATTTCTTCTGTCTAAAAGGGCACGGTTTTCATGACTCCTTTATGCAGTATTCCAAGTGCAAAGCCTTTACTGGATTTCAGATAGTTACCGCCGAAGCTATTAGAACATGTTCACATAAGGATTGATGCAATATTTTGTCGCTCTGTCAAGTCCATTGCCCCTAATTAAAATTGTGATACCGGAATCGTAACGGCTACCGACGATGCTCAGAACAATAACTGCTCTAATTATTTGCTTCCTCTTTACCCCTGCCACCGACTGTGCTCCAATGGAACTCAGAGCAGTGCAAATAGCTGAATTAACCACTGGACACAAAGACGTTGCGGCCGAGATGGACGATATCTCTTATTGCGGTGGCTTAAACGATCCGACTATAACAACAAGTAAGCAACAGACCGTTTGAATCCAATTGACCATTCCAATGACCTGATATATTCCCAGCCGGCGATCGACCGGAGGGTCCCGGGTTTTGGATTACCAACCGTGATGACGTTCCAGAGGCGAAGTACTTTCTATATGAGAACAGCCGAGACAATCATCCATGGAAGTATCTCACAGTAAGTCTTTCCGCTGATGAACGCATGACAAATGTACCTAACCCGACGAAGATCGCCCCAGGAGCCACAGCGTTTGTATCGGTCTGCAGTACTTGGCAAGGGCGCATCGTTCGCGGTATCCCAGAGGTCAACTTAGACGGCGAGGTCCATAATCTCGGTACATGGTTCAAGTCAAGCGTCGCGCCGAACGGCTGGATGTGGGGAGACATTAGCTTTCTCGAAGGTTGCGATGGCGGAGGAAGCGTAGCTAGTACGGACGGCTCTGATGTCGTCCGCGAATGCTACGAAGATCTACTCGCTGGCGCGCCTTCTTCAGCTCTTGTTATGAAGGAAACGGGGACTAAAGTCCTTGCCAAGTTAGTTGGGGACGCGCCAAATCAGGCGGCCAAGGACTGGGAGGCGTCGAAGTGCAGCTCAGCTGAGGTATGGATCAATAGTAGCAACGATGGGCCTGTTATCAAGTCTACGAACGGGAGATTAGCTTTCACCTTCTTCAAAGGAATGGCCTAGTTAGGCGTAACGATGTTTGCCGAGACGAGTTAGCAGAGCATCAGCGTCTTTCGGCCAGGATGCCTATCAAATAATTATGAGAAGTTTCTCTAATCTTATTTGCTCATGTTGCAATTAATGTACCAGTAGTGGGGAATTTATTAGGGCTCATTGGTTATCAAAGTTACAATTCAAACGAATCACTATTTGTCAAAATTATCCTCGTGACAAACTACCGAATTTGAGAGTATAATCTGGGGAAGGTCGCTTATAGCCACACAGAATGCGCCCCTACTGTGTGAGTAGCTCTGAACTTTTACACCTTCTGACTTCGAGTACCTTAAGATGAGATGGTGGATTGGTTTAAAAAGATCACAGGGCTATTTCTTGATAGAATTACTGCTGGAATAAGAAATTATGATGGGCGCAAACCCTTGTTATTATTATTTTATTTACTCTACAGTACTCCTGATCGAACGCGCTCATTCAATCTACATGAAAATGGTTAGGTTTGTCGTAATCGTCGTTGCGTCCGATAGGACCACTCTAAACGAAATGTGCAAAATTTGTAAAATGTGCATGAAGTGAATGTTACAGGCTTTTTGAGAAAAGCAAATGCACTCAAGTCTCATCTAGGCAACTTGCACTGATGCCGTGGCTTGTGGTGTCATCTTGCCAGAAGATAGATGCTGATGACAAGGGTTGACGATTGTTCCTAAAGTGGTGACTTTTCAGCTTCGGTTGCTGACCCATGTGTGTAAATACGGGTACTTTTAATACGGTAGAAAGATGATTGGGTATCCTGTACGGCGTCAGACGAGAGAACCGCGATGTTCGCATTTTAACGTACCGAAAACAACCATGAATCGCCCTAGCCCTTTCCACTACCATGAGAACCAACATATTTCCCTTTGATCCACCAATTAGTACGTTGCGTTGCGCGCATAGCTCTGGATCCTCGTTGCTACGTGAGTCATATTGGATAGATGTGGGAGCATGGGATCTGTAGGGGCACGGCTGCTGATACGCATGAACAGTTTTTCCACGCGCTCAAGGACTGTAGCCATAATCTTCGGGACCACCTCACGCACGGCTGGGTCCTGTAGGGAGTCAATTTGGAAGTCATTGGTGGGAAACTGGGGGTTACAAACAGTGACATGGGGAAGGCTGCCGTAGAGACTATTTAGAACCAGCTCTACCCAGGTGACCCTTTCTCGAAGGTGTGGCCCGTCGAGCTGTTCAGCGAGAACCGAAGCAACGGAGAGAGAGACCAGAGCAGGCATATCTCGCACGATTTGTGGGTCAAATTTGACGATGTATTCGTCAAAGATATCATGCTGCCGAGGAAGTTGGATCCAGCGAATCAGCCCCGTCTCGAATTCGCCCCGTTCCATGAAAGGCGCAATACTCGAGATCAAATGCTGAAGTTCAGCATCTTTGGCATTAGAGTGATTACTGTTTGGGTATGGAACGAGCTGGTTACTATGGTTGCCATGGTTGCTGGAGGTTGCTGACGGGCTTCCATATGAAGCGGCCCGGTTTGATACTGGCTGTGTCGGCTGAGGCTGGGGTTGGGGGAGCTCGCGTTGCTGAGATATGCGGAGCTGCATTTGCACAAACTGTTCCTGAAACTGTGTTTGCGCTGCAGCCATCTCACCAACAGTGTCGGACAATTTGGACACGATAGCGGTGAGCTGGTCAATCTTTTGAGTGTCGACAATGTGGCGCTGTTCAAATTCCTGGATCTGTTCCGCTGTTCGACGCTGGACATCTTGGATTAACGAACGCGACGAAGCAACAGCCATATCGGTAAATATAGGTGTGATGCTGGAAACAAGCGTTTCACGGAACGACTCTTCCATGTCCAAGGCCACGTTGGCGGCGAGTCTCTCAGAAATGGACTTTGTCAGATCTGCCTTTTGCAGCGCATGGGTGACTGCATGAGGAAGTGTTTTTTGCAACTGGTTGTTAACCGAATGCGAAACCTTCCCACCGAGCTTGGAATCAATTTGGGTCTCAATGGTCTTCGTTATGAGATTGCTGAGATGGGGAACAACACTATCCTCGAACTGATCTGTGATTGTTCTGGAGAGAACAGCTTGAGTATTCTCATTAAGCACCGAGGATACAAGCTCCAGAAGTTCTTTTTGACTCTTTGCATACGAGTCCGAGCGATTGCGGAACTCAGATTCAACTTTGCCACGATGGTCCCTCAGTTCATGTGTAATGACTGCAGTTAATTTCTCACTGAGACCACTAGAGATTTGTCTCACAGCAGACTGAATTGATTCGGTCGACATCGTTGGTGGAACCGAAGGCGAACTAGTGGCTTTAAGCTCACTATTCTTCGAAGTTGGCATGGTGTCATTACGAGACACATTGTTGCTAGTGTTTGCCTGTGTATTTTCAACAGCAAGTTTCTCCGCCGCAGCAGCAGCGGCGGCAGCAGCCTTCTCCCGCTTCTTCCTAGCCTTCTTCTCAGACTTATCGAGTTGGTTAACAGGTGTCACAGGCGCTTCAGCCTCTTTGCGCTCAGCCTGTAAGTGAGATGCATTAGACTCGCCAGTTCGCTTATGGGTTTCTTGACCCGAGGTCGACGACGTAGTGTTTGATGCTGCGATTTCCTTAACGGCGGACCGGGTTGCAATCTTGATAGGTGCTGCTGGCTCATCTACAGTATGAGATTCGGGAACGATGGTGTTTGGCAGCTCCTTCAATTTTGAAATTTTGACAAGCCCAGCATCGGTGGCATCAACACCCAGAACAACCTTATTGTCCTTAGACCAACCCAAGTCGGCTTGCTTGATAGTCACAGCAGTAACACCTTTGGAGTGCATCGCATAAAGATCAAAGAGAGAAGGCTCTTCACTAGAGGACGAACAAGACGGGCTCTCTAAGATATCCAGACTTCGGAGCAACCCTTTATTGGCCAACGAGTACTCCCGTACACCACTAATGACGGCAGTGGAATCTGGCTCCGGAATAGACGAGTCCTTTGCGACTAACTTCTGGATGTAGTCGACTTGTGACAAACCCTTAATTGTGTATTTCGGTGCCGACAGATGTAGGAAGTATACTGAGTTGCGAGTTGGGTGTCCTACTACGATCATTCCTGTAGCGGGGTGGTACATGACGCTGCATACGGCATCTGACTCTTTGCTATGGGGCAGATTGAATTCTTGCACAGGTTTTCCAAGAGCAAGATCCCAGAGTTGAAGCGTGTGGTTCTGCTTCATACCGACGATCATATAACGTAAGGCACAACGCTTCTGGTAAGGTCGCTGCTTATCCAACAATAACACTGAGGTTGGCCACGCTTTCTCGCCTTCTGGCGTCGTATTGAGAGTCATCAGCGGCTCCTTGATCTCGAGTGATGTGTGGGCTGGCATAGGGAACCGAACATCAGAGTTCATATCGACTGCGGTAAGGTCTCGTACATCCCAGAATTTGACACGACCAGATTTGTCTAGGGAGACTATGGTCGTATCGTCCTGGCTAAAAGTGAAGTCTTTGCCCGCCTTCCCAGTATTGATCCGGAGAGCGCACTCCTTTGCAAGTCTTTCGGTATCAACAAGGCGATCATGACCAGGCTTGAATATGTTCTTTTGCATAACAACAGCGGGCCAGACAATGTTGATGGTTTTTCCGCGGCCAACAGCGAAATACTCTGGGTGGGTGGCGGAGGTTCTTGCGCGCGTTTTGAGAATACCACCAGGTGCATCACCTTCTTGCGTATTTGCCGGAGGGAGAGCAAACCCGTACTGTTCCGGATGAGACTCTTCGAGATGGTCTTTGCCCCCACCTCGAATCTGAATATAGTAGACGGTCCCACTAATACCAGTCCCAATAATCGATTCCTCAGGGGGGATATCGCCATCATCTGACGTATATGATACAGCCACATTGAACACACGATCCTTGGTATCTGTGAAGAGCTTTGCATCTTTTCCATCTTCTTGGCGAATCACGCGGAGGCCACCAGCTTTGGACATACCGTACGCTATATACGATTCAGTAGCAGCAACCAGGTTTCTATCGATCTGGTCAAACTCCTTCTTCAATCGTGCGATGTCTAGGATTACTTCGTCCCTGAATTGGGGCCGAGGTTCGTCGAACGAATCCTGCATGGTAATCGAGATCCATGGCTTCATGGGGAAGTTATAAACCTTTACAGGTGCGGGGGGTTCCTCAATGACCACAATCTCATCAGCCTCAGCGCTTTCCCAGCTATCGGCTACGGGGCCATGAGCAGTGTCCTCGACAATGTCACGAATGGTTTGTGCAACCTCTGGCGAGTAGTGTGTTTCAAGTACTTCGGCGTTTTCTTCCTTCTCGAGTTCTTTGCTGATATCCCTAGCCGCTTGCTCCGCTGATTCTTGAAATTCGGCGTCAGTCCTAGCATTCATCATTTCTTCAAGATCAGCCGCAATTTGCGCCTGTGCCTCATGTGCCTCCTGTGCCTCTGCTTCCTCTTGCTCGGCGCGTGCCAGAGCATCCCGAGCCTCAAGATCTGCCTTCTCAGCTAAGTCTGTGATGGCATCCAGAACAGTTTCTCTGTTTTGTTTATGATCGTCCTCCTGATCAGGCTCGTGTTCATAGAGAGGACCTGAGTGAGAGGCAGCGGCATATGGAGACTCACGACTTCGACCGGTATCAGAGGAATAACGCTCAGGTCGAGGTCTAGGCTCGGTATTAAGGACCGGGCTATGATAGGCTGACGATCGCTTATGGTCCGACACATTCCCAGGGGAAGAGATGGCACTAGCAGACGACTTCTGTATAATTTTAACAGTAGTAGCCGCTGGAAGCTCGGGTGGCAACGTAGTCACAGGTCCAGAGCTACCCGGAGTTGGTGACTTCGAAGCTTTGCCTTGAGATGAAGCTAATTCTTCAAAGGGATTGGTATAGTCGAATCTGCCGGACTTGTGAGGTGCCTCGTGATGGCTATGCTGAGAAGGCGGCGATTGATATTCATACTTCAACTGGGGCGATGGTATAAACTGCTGTGGCAGAGGAGTTGAATCGTGAGAGGCATTATCGAAGAGAGTGTGCCGGGGTGGATACTCTCTGTAGTGATCCGCCGACGAGTCATTGGCTGACTGAGGAGTCAATGTAGCTGGCTGGGATGATTCATTTGTGGATGGCTGATCATTTTGAGCAGGTTTGGGACGATGCAACAGATTAAGCAAGTATTCCTGAGTGTTGGCAGGAGGCGGACCGATATTCCACGAGTCGCGAGCATTGTTCTGTTGCTGGTGTTCTGCCCGGGGGCCTGGAACCTCAGGCTGCATGTTGCCCTTCATAAGGGTGGCAAGCAGGCCTTGAGGGTCAGCGGGTATGGGAACAGGTGCGTGTAGAGGAGGGGGATTACTGTTGGTATTAGGATGTGTTTGATGAGGCGAAGAGCCGTAGGACGGAGCATGAGTGCTACCAGCGGGTGAACCTTGCGAATGAGGCTGAGAACTTTGTCCATGCGCGCCACTGAACTTGAGCAGGTTCAGCAAGTTGGCACTCTGCTCGGCGCTCGAAGAATTGGGCGGCATGGTGCCAATGGGAGGCAAGCTGCCGATGACGCCGGGCGGGTGGTGGGAGTGAGGATGGCCAAAGCCCGTAGGCGGCGTTGGAGCAGCTGGAGGAGGGTAGTCGTCTAAACCGGTGACAGGCGATTCGTCACCACCTTGACCATAGTAGTCGTGCGGGTTGGTTGCTTGGTTGTAGCTGTGGAAGCGCGACAAGAGGTCGTGGGCGGCGGCAGAGACTGGCAGAGGATCCTCGTTGTTTTGCGTTTGTGCGTTTCGAGCGGCTTGCAAACGAGCATACATAGCCTGCAGATGGTGTTGGGAGGTGTGCTGGTCCTCGCCACTAGGTGGGTTCAGACTGTTGTAGCTCGCCATGTTGAGAATTGAGACGGCGAGCCGGCCCACTTGAAAGACCTGATGCGCACTACGGGGGCGTTGCGTGGATGGAGCTGTGCGACCTGACTTAGGTAGGTAAGTCGTGAGCTCAGTGTGAGACTAGTGGAGGTAGTGCAGGGGCAGCCGACGAAGCCGTCGACAACAACAGCAACAGCAACTACAACAATAACAACAACAGGACAAGAGGAAATTAGAGGAACGATGCGATGCACATACAATTAACCGCTCGCTAGGCGAGGGGATCTGGGTTTGATGGCGACCGTCGATGGTCACTATGAAGAAAGCGGAGTGGAAAAAAAAAAGGAAGAAGAGAAGGTCGGGAAGAAAAAAAGGTGACGGCTAATGGGGTGAAGCTCCGAGCCCAACGAAGAACTGAGCCGATCTGCGCGTGCGACTGGGAGAGTCTTGCTTCCAGCCTCGCCAAAATTGTCTGAATGGCCTGGGAGTGCTAGACAGCTGGCGCAACTTTTTCTTGCCAGGTACCTATTAACAGGGAGATCCGCACCTCTAGAGCGAAAACTCTAACAACCTAGGTAACCCTTCCGGGATTGTTAGCTAGGTAGGTACGCCTGGCTGCGGGTTACCGGCAGCTGTCAGGTGGTGGGAAGTGGCAGTGTCGGGTGTCGGGCCTATCCAGGACAATCAATAATGCAGGGAAAACCACAGAGATATCACAATCTGCTTGCTCGAACTGCACCAACACGCACCATAGGTCATAGGTGAGGACAACAAATGATAGCAGTTTAATAAGAAGGAAGGAGAGAAGGACGAAGGAGGGAGATGCGAGGTGGAAAAAGATAATTCTACTGGATTGCGGGCAGTGTACCACTACCACTACCACTCACTACCTACTCGCAAGTGCAGCGCGTGGTTGGTGGTTGGGGCGGTTCCATGCAAGTATGAGTTGGCGCAACCCGAAATAGGCGTGGTGTCAAGTGTTGAAAGTCGAATTACTTGCCTCAGGCCTACCTCCTCCTTGCCCTATCGACCGTCAACGCACCATTACTGGCACCATATTATAGTACCTAGTGCACCTACTCGTCTATATATACATGTATGTACCTACTGTACTTACTGCTGTCTCGGGAGCCAACCGGCGAACTGGGTTGCGTTACGTTGGCTCTATCTGGTCTGATCTGGCTATAAAGGTGCGGGCATGTGTAAGTACCTACATATATCATACCTACTTCGTAGATAGGTATATATATTGATATGATATTGACTATATACATATCTGTAGGTACCGTACTTGTGCCTACCGCACATATAGACTTGTTAGGCACCGAAGATTGAGAATCGAGGATTGAGAATTGCTTCAAGGTTGAGACGAGAGGCCTATCAAGCAATGGCCACTCTTAGATGTTCAGAACAGCTTTTGGGGTAGGTATGTCTAGACAGGTACACTCTCCATTCTGGAGTGGGACGAATGATGCCTTAGGCGCATGTGCATGTGAAGTGCAAGATCTAAGCAAGTACCTACATAGGTAGATGTACACGAGCTAAAGCCCGGTTACGAGTATCCTAAACCATATAAGCATACTATGTACACATCTTAAGCATACCTCTAGGTACGTGAGTAAGTAGGTAGGTGTCTAGGTAGCTATGTAGAGTAAATGCTGCCTGCTTGTAGCAATTATTTCATCTCCATAGGTATCTCTGTCCATAGGCAGGCTGTTGTACGTGTATTGTAGATATGCCGCAGATGTTATTATACCTGCCTTTATTTAGTGGTCCCTCAGTGCCCCTCCTCTTCTTCCTCTTCGGTAGCCGGTATCGAATACCTACGAAGTAATACATTAGGTAGTATGCACAGTCAATGTGGCCATTCCCCTTTCCGTACCACCCCCCTTGTATTTCCTGGTTTCATCAGGAAAAGGCTTTGTGTAGGTAGTCTTGACTTGATTGGGCTTGCATTCCTACACTGCCATCGCCTCCTTGGATAGTCCTGACTACCGCTGTGCCGGCTTTGCTTTTCAAATAATCTGGGGTGACGATAGGTAGCGCAAAACTTCGGTACCTAGGTACATAGCCGATCCTGTCTCCAGCCTGGCCTGCCTGCCTGAATGTGCCGCCTCAACTTCGAGGGCCAATCTTCGAATTGTACATGTCAATAGCAGCTTATCTATTGTGACTGCAACTGCTTCACAGCATTTACCTCTCCTTACATCGCGGCAAATCCGTGACAAATTCGTGACACTTCCCTTCGCTAGTCGACCGAGATCTCCTCTCCTCCTTATGATATATTTAGCGCCACGCCGTGTCATTGTTAATCTAATTCCTTCGCATCGGTGCCATCGTCAGCAATCGGCACTACGTCAATCGCCCTCAATCACTCCTTGAGCCATCCCGTCCTGTGAAGCGCCATACATCCTGTATATATTCATTCTCTATCCTGGGAGGGACCTAGTAAATCGAAAAACATTCAGCCAACCAGTTCGTCGCATCACAACGCCACCATGTTCTGTCTGAGGAGGTAAGTCTCTTTCACCGACATGCGACTCCTCTACCTCGTTCTTACACCACGGAGCATCCATCACCATGTTGACTGACAACGTCCGCGCAGCTGGATTCCACTCCTTTTCATCCCCGCGAACGCCTCGCCGGCTTTCATCTTCCTGTTCTTCGTCTGCACATACTTCTTAAACCGGCCCTGCGTATACTGTTCTATACTACTGCTCATCCTCTTTGTAACCTCATGCTACTGGTCCGATCGCTGTTTCTTCGAGTTCAGCAGCAACTGGTTCGCCCCACGGATTACTTCGACTGCTTTCGAGTCTTGGATCGACTCGCATTATCCTGCCAACGCCAGCACGACGACAGCCGCAGCGACCGTTGCCGCCGACCCCGCAACCTTCAACATTTTTGATAACTCTACTATGGAGTCGCTGAACACCACTGCCAGCGCCCTTGCCAGCATTGCCGCTGATGGGATTGCGCGCAAGAGGACCGAATGGACTGGCCTGGGTATTGAGTGGCTGAGGAGTCTGCTCGGCAAGAGGGAATGGAGGATTGAGTGCATGGATCTGAACATCAGACTCTGAATACGATTTGATAAGTGATGTGAGCAGCATATGACAGGTCACATTTGAGGCGGGGAAGGCCGCTCAACTGCATGCATCGGCGTTTCATTTTTTGGCATAGATTTGAGGCAGGAGCAATACATCTACGCCCTGTGTGTGTATGAGCCATTGTACGTTCAATATTAATATAGAATGAAAAGATAACACCTTAATTCTGCAGCATGTGTACAGTCCTTCATCATCGCAAACCTCAAAACTTAACGCACATAAAGCTCGTCAGCCAGCAGGTTCGAATGAAGGGGAAACCTCAGATTACTGGATCAAATACTGCGCTACCTACAACGTTTCCCCTCAATATAAATGCTTCAGCCCTTATATGTGATATTCATGCTCTGAATCCAAGGCTTCCAATATCCCTCAATAGTGCCAGGATCCCTCCAAGAATTCCAATCCGTACTCGTCAGTCCCCAAGTATCTACCAATCCCTGCGTGCCCTCGCGGATGCGGTAACTCCCAGCCAGCGCCCAAGTCATCCAACTCACGCCATGCTCGATCGTGAAATTCCTGACGCAATTCTGCAGAAGATCGTCGTACAAACTGCTATCCTGCGCATGTCCGAACTCGGAGAATAGCACAGGCGTAAGCCGCGTTGCCTCGGGACAGTCGCCCGTGAGGGCGCACCCGGCGGCGTTGGGCTCGATGCCGAGCGCGTTGAACCCGTTCCGGTATAAGCCTGCCTCGATGATATCGCACGTTCCCGTGTCGATGTCCTCGCTGCCGCTGTATAAATGCATTTCCCACACGAGCTTGTCTGCCCACGGGTGCGCGGAGAGGTCGAAGACCACGGGATCGCGCCTATATGCGTCGCGGATCGCGGTGCACTTGTAGCATGGAGCTGTGAGGAGATTCCTCCCTGCCGTGAGAGCCGACAGGTCTTGGTCGTACTGCATCCCGCTCCACGTGATGAGGAGATCGCTGTTAGCCGTGTGAATGGCGTCGGCGCCGGCCGTCATGTTACCCACGAGGGTAGCCCAATTATAGTAGAGATCGGTACGGTTCCAGCTCTCGCGGAGTTCATTCCGCAGGGACATTGAGACGATGTTTGGGTGTTGTTTGGCCCAGGTTGCGACGTATGAGAGTCCGCGGAGCCAGTTTGTAACGGGGAATGAGACGTCGTCAAACCAGGCGTTCCCATCTACATGACTGCAGCACCATTGCGCTTTGCCTACGTGCACGTCAGGGTGGATGAAGATGCCTTTCTTGAGTGCCGTGCGGGCGATGTCTGGTCGGAGATCTAACATTAGTAACAGCGAGTCTGCTAAACCAAGGTGAAGGTCTAATGCGTTGGGAACCTTTGCCACTACGATATAACAAAATGGAAGTGGGAGAGGCCTCCTGTATACTGACCTGACCAGATCTCAAACCGCGTGGTTTTAACAGTCCACCTAGGATTCTTCGATACGATAGCCTTTGCAACCCTTGTCCCATTCGTTGAGCCCAAGGCAGCTATCAGCGCATCAATCATGGGGACGTCATGTCCCTCGCGATCGTATATCTCGTCAATCATCTGAATGGCATAGCCCCTTCACAGCATATAAGTATAACCTATATATATAGAGGCCCACGATCTTGGGCAACAAGAAAGAGCTTACATGCGGATGTAATTAAACCCAACACTAGCTACATCGTCGAGGATGTCGCCAGCTGATTTCCACTCCAAGCCCTCTGGAATCATTGTCTCGCCTTTCACATGTTAGCTCCAGGCTCTGAATCTTGACTGATCCTAGGTGGATGTACACGAGGTCTACTCACCACTCATAGGCCAATTAACTCCCGCCCAAGTCACAACATCTCCGCGATTATTAACTACGTGCCGCCCCTTTGTATTAAACGGTGCGTATGGCCATTGCCGCGACGAATGCTGCTCGATACTTGGTGCAGGCGTTGCAGACGTCAAGGAAAGCCCCGAGAGGAATGTACATATGAGAGTAAGGAGCCTCATATTCATATTTCGTAAGCCCAACGACATGTTCAATGTCAAGTTCGAGGGGCTTTAATCAAACGTCTGATTGAAGGTCCAGGGTTTATATACTCCTCACCTATCGAGCTAGATATGCGCTCCCCATTACCACTATCACTCACTTAGAGGTATTCCTTGTTTTTAACAAGACTGATCCCTCACCGAGATTCTCGGTGCCACTAATAAGCCGAGAGTAACTTACCTCTCAAACATAATGACATATAAGCCAGGATCGGCCTCATATCTTCTCCTCATATCATGAGAAGGGTTAGACCGAGGGCCAAAGACAAGAGTAAGGCCCGCTTCACGACATGTCTGTAAATGCGCTCCAATCGGCTGCGTCTGGCAGGAACATGAGATCCGCAGAGGCCGGGGCAAGACATGGTGGTGGGTTGGGGTAACACTCGGGCGAGTTATTAAGTAGCCTTACCAGAGCTCAGGAATTCAGTCGCCTCCATCGTACAAACCTGGCACGATGTTCCCACACATCCAAATGCACTCCGCAATCTTCAGCGGGGTAGACTTGGCAGGAAAAAGTGGTGGAGATTCATACATAAATAATTTGGACGTTAAAAGGGGCGAATACATTGCAAGTAAGATTCTCAGGTTATCGAGTGAGGATGAAGGCTGTCTAGCTGCATCATGCTGAAATGTAATTGATTGTGAATTCAATATCTTTTACTTCGTTTTCGTATGCGAGGACACCAATGTGATGCCAATAAGGAATACAAGCTTCGATATGAACCAAAGACGCCGCGCTCAGCTATTTCTATCACACACAACATACAATATACAATGCTCTTTTCTACCAAAACGTCATTCCCTCTTCTATATGGTGTAACGCTTGGATTTCTCCAAGTTATAAGATTTATAATTTAGGCTGGATAGGCGATGGTGGAATGTTTGACGCTTCCTGGTTAATAGTAACCTCACCTGTTCTCTGGCCATTGCCGAAAAAGATGACCTGGACGGTTAAATCATCCCTAGCACAGTGTTAGTGCACATAGATAAACATAGTCAACTTAGCTTACCTATATCTCCTAGAGAATGGTGACACGAGCGTCAGCAAAGCGCAGACTTGCTCTTCGTTCTTCCCGCCAAGCGCATTGCGGATGAGATGTGTTGCAACATTCTTATCTTTAACGACAAATCTTCCCTTGTCATCTGGTGAGATACCCCATTGGCCTAAGCGAACGGGTGTTTTCTGACCATCGGGCCCTTCTTGCTGTTTGGCCTCTACGGGTAGAGCCTGGCTGGAGCCAAATATTTTAGACCATACTGACCCAAGCTGGGAAGGAGACTGTTCCGCAGCTTGCGACTCGATCCATTTACCAACAAGTCCGACAACTTCCTCGTTTGTCAACATTTCCCAAAGCCCGTCCGTAGCCATCACCAGAAAATCACCCTTGTCAGGCTGGATTTTAGTTGTAGTCACTACAGGTTCAGCTGTCACATAAGGTGGCGTTTTCAAATGTGGTGAGGTGTGTCGAGCAAAAAAGGAAGCGCGAAGTCGTTCAGAAATATCCCTACTCCACTTGTAGCTCGCATCGCCGAAAGCTCTCGTGGGCTCTAAGCCACCGAGGACTCGACCATTATGGACAACACGAGTTTCGCCAGGGTGGGCTTTGCGAAGGCGGGCTGCCTCATTCGGGTTACTTCCAGTCTGGTCTTCAGAGAGGGCCGTAGCGGTCCATTTACCAGAACTGCTCCGTCGACCAAGTACAGCTCGGGAGTCGCCTGTACAGGCAACTCTTAGAGTTTTCGAGCTGCTGTCATAGAACGAGAGCAGAGCACACGACCCCGAAAGAGCCGGTCCGAGCAGCTCAGCTGCAACTCTCTTGGAGTTAGACTTTAAGACTTTCTCCACACTATCATGGACAATATCATTGTCTAAACGGGTAAATCCAGCTTTCATGGCAGCATCAATAGCTTCAGGCGACGGCGCCGTGCCCAACGTTTCGGCAGCCTTATACGTAGTATTTAATTCCCGGCCAACATAGTTTATTAATGTCTGCCTTAGCTTTGCTGATGTGGTCCATCCCCTGAGTGCATTGTTAGCTTAACCTGAGCAAGGATCGGTAAAAAGGCTGAAACCTACGCATGGCCGTCAAAGACGCCCCAAAACATCCAATCATTGCTGGATTTTTCCTTTTCTGAACCCACTTCCACAATCCTTTCAGCGTGGTCATCTTCGATGGGGTTGTTACTTGCTAGCTGAACTATGTCATATCGCAAGACGCCTTGTCCCCTGTTGACGAGAAAAGAAGCCTCGTTCTGTCGCAACTTTTCGGTCGCTTGGTCGGGTGTTAGCATCTCCAAGACGTTTCTCCCACTTCCGTCGACGTTTTTGGAAATAGGGCCTTCGCCAACGAAAGTGCCGGTATGTAGCTCATCGGCACCCACAACAAGAACGTTTCGAGTGGGCGTGGCGTCGCTCGCGAGCCTTGTGGGTGTGGTGGAGAGCGCCCTTCCGAAAGTCTGGTCTAATGTATTGTTTCCCTTGTATGTGTACCAGGCGCCATACCCCACGAGGCTCGACAACAGCGCAACGGAAACGCGACGGATATACATGGATGATCGAAGCGGCTCGCCTAGAACATAGTTGGAGCGGGAGGAAGAGAGCCGAGTTAGGGTAAGGTTGGGATGCTGAGACAAGAGAAAACGTCGCGGTCGGCCAGCGCGAGGAAGACTGCGGGCCGTGTGTTGACAAGTCGTCCGAAGAGATCTAACGGCAGCGCGACGCATTGGGAAGTGTGTTCGCTTGCCAGTAACGAGCAAGCATCTGCACTTGATCGCGTGATCGTGATGATGGTGGAATAAAGGAAGTGGAAGAGAATGACAGGGATGTGTAAGTAACACTACCTGCTGTAGGTAGGATCTTGGAAGGGTCGAGACGCCCGCTTAGCGTATTTGTAGATTGGCACAGGCGTGGGGGAGGGGTTTGCATGGTACCTGTAGGCTGTAGGTGTAGGTGTAGGTATAGGTACCTACCTCCAGTGGTACAGTTTAAGTGGTGTAGATGCCGAATTTACAGGTGCTTTAGGCATGTCCACATTCAAATGATCGATGCACATGCGTATAGGTAGGTAGGTAACAACCTCTCATCAAGCTTGAATCCAACCGTGGGCTTTCCCCCCAAATGATATAGGCTTTTACAAGACAATTCTTCTCAGGGTAGTGTCATATCAAAAGGAGAAAAGAAGACGGTATCTCTACGGAGTCTCGTTCGAGGCTACTTACCAGACATTAAACAGCAAACCTCAATCATACCCCTTCTGGGTGCTCTGATGTCAAATATCACCTGAGATACTATCTCAATACTGCCTTCGCCCTATCTAGATCGGAGAAAGCCTTAACCAATAAATCAACATGACAGCACCGGAAGCCTCACAGAGGGTGGCCGACATCCAGCGGCGAGCGGCTGAAGACCCTGAGGTTGCATTTAAAGCTTTTGACACATACCCTTGGCAGGCTGATCTACTATTTAATGTAAGTAGATTTCATGCGGACGACCTCTTATCAAACCTCTCGAAATGTGCATTAAAATGGGGATAAAAGCGCAAGTTGACGGCTGCTCTATATGCCGTGGAGCCAGAGGCCTCACAGCTGGCCGAGATCGCACTTCAGACTCGTATCGAGAGATTCGCGGAGCGTATAAAGGTCCAAATAGAGAAAGACGCATATAAACAGTGGCTTTCCAAGTCAGGAAATCTGCAGCCTCGGATTTTCTCAAATCAAACCCTAGCACAAGAAGCGGAAGGAAACGTAAGGCATTCATCCCCATTCTCATGTGTCTCATCTCTCACATTCTTTCATTTTTATGTATACGCCTATATACTCCTTCGTTATTTATGTGCATTGCTAAGCCAAGGTCAGGTACCGCCAGAGCAAAGAAGACTCGCTATCCTTCATGCCGAACTCGGATATCCTCCATACCCAGAGGCGGTAGATCCCTCGGTCCCTAGCTGGCAGCGTCAAGCGCCCAAGACCGAATTATTCGTCCCAAGGACCGCGCTGCCTTCCGATCCGAGCGGGGAGGCGACGCCATACCCTAAGAAATTCGAGGAGATCGTCAAGTTCCTACAGACGGGGCAGGCAGTTCCGGGCATCCGCGAGATCCCAGACACTGTCATCGAAGATCCATCAATTTCAACTCACGGCGCTATGCAGGCGCCGTTGAAACCGTGGGAAAGGAAAAATGCAGCTGCCGCTCCAAATACGGAATAAACCTTTAATAATACTTCTGGCTATAGAACAGTCCCAAAGTCAACAGCCAGTAACCAGAGTATCCATAGCAGTAAATGGTATAACCCGCCGATTAATTCTCATGTACCGGCTTTAATGCTCTTTCTAGTGGTGGTTGGCCGGCTATGGTGTTTGTGTAGTTGGTGTATTCAGGATAATAGCCCACGTGGACAGTTTATGGTGATTATTCATTGTTCGTCTATATCCATCTTATCACTGCCAAGTGAGTTGTTGCGCATCCCCATAGGAGCCTCCGGCGCAGAGGGAGTTTGCATATATGTAGCTGATTCGTTTGCGGCTTTTGGGAAATTGCCCTCCTTCAATTGGCGCTCAAGCTTAGCTCTGCGCTCGTCTTTCTCTTTCTGAACAACTCCTCTGTGTCCTTCGAGCTGATCGTCCCATCCCCATTTCACAAGGTTGAGCACATGCGTCAGCGCTTCGGAACGGGGCGTCTGTCGCTCATCCACGGCCGTCCTGAACATAGCACTACGCAGTGTGGCGAGGTCCGTATATTCCGGGTCGTGAGGCCCTCTAGGCCGCGGGGGAAGTTGTGGGCGCGAGCCCTCGCGGCCGCTCGCAGCATCTTGGCTAGCCTCTCGTAATATCTTGAGTACATCCTCCGAGTCCTGTTCGAGAAGCCTCTCCTCAAGAAGCAGGTCGTTACCCGTCCTATTGAGCGGTTCCTTGACCGTTTGCTGGCTGGTGCTATTCTCCGCAACGCGCCGGACGCGTTCGGCTTCTCTCTGCAGCATAAGAATCATGTTGTTCTCGACGCGTGTGGCGTGCCAGTCGAGTGTGTCTAACCCGGCATCAAGGCGGGCTGTGGGATCATCTGATAGCGGCGGCGGCGTTTTGGTGAAGTCTCTATCAGTTGGAACAAATATTGATGGAGCAATGGTCGTCAAACGAGGTATTTCCTCTGCGCCATCTTGGCTAGGTATGCTGTAGGCAGCCATAATTCAGTCCTTGTTCTTAATTTGCGGTTGATGTAAATATAGTAGACCACTCCAATGTAGGCAGGTTATAAAGTCCTTTGCTGTATACCAAAATGGGGTATGATGATGCCGGCCAAGCTTGGTTCATTATGTACGAAGCCGTTGGAGACGTGTTAAAAGTGACAGCTCTTCGCGATTTATGCTATCGTGGATTGATGTTGCTGGGCGTAGTGAAGCATGTAATGACAGCATGGCCTATAGAATGACATGGGTTGTTAATTGGAGTGATGTCCCATTCACTCACCCATTCTGTAATTATCGATAAGTTGAGAGCCGTCGAAAAAAATATACCCATTCAACACAATGACAGAGCACAGTATAATATACATGTCAATTTACTAGGTAGTCTGGGATATCTGTTGTATTGCTATGTATTTGAGGTCCATGTTCCGGTTAGGTACCAAAGATACCTCTCTCATGGACCACGCATGAACCATTCATGAACAACCCCAGTGCACGCCACTTCTCGACAGTCCAGTCCAAAAGGTCAATAACCATTCTTTTTAGGTTAAGAAGAAGAGATTGAGCCATCTTTCTACCATTTTAGCGATGCCAACCAAAAGGGCAATGCATGGAGAACCAGAAGGAAGTTAAGCCGAAACACGAGGCAATATTTCAGTATATTTCATTATCATTGTACAGGAGAAAAGATCCAATAGGTTATATGCTGGGTCTATTGAGCCTCCCCAATAACAGCTATATTCAATGCAGAGCGTAGCCGCATGGGCAAAATGCTTCAAGCTAAGAAGCAGTACTCCAAGGGACGTACATTTACATATTGTATAATATATACCCTCCCTGACTTGAACCGAAGGGAGATCAGTCTTGGCTGGTAAGAAGTTTCTATCACCAACCGGCTGGTTTTCCTAGAGCTTTACTAGTCAGAATCTTGATAACCCAAGAAAATCCCATTCTTGGATATATAAATCTGACCATATACCTCTCTGGAGAGAGCACACCAGCATCACATCACGTGTCAAAATACAATGCACTTTCTGCCTTGTCAACATGCTTCCAAGTTCCCGCCGGAGTTTCTGAATGGGAGAGCTCGGACGAGATTGGTCGTTGTCGGTGGTGTGCAGGGCGAATAAGCCTCCGAAGACGCCACAGATCCACCTCTTTAGTAAAACAATTTAGCCTCCACGGATGAGGCTTATTATCACCTAGACGGGAGCATCTTTCCAGCGTACTCGCGCACTATTCGAAGAATTGCTCGAACCTGATCTTCAAGTCGTCGATCCTTTCGCTTCCGCATCCATATCAAGATAAGAGCAAGGATGAAGACGTCGACAGCAAAATGCTTTACGATAAGCAATAGTAGCCCGCCAGCCCGTGCCGGGATACTTTTCTCTTTCTTTGTTCTCCATTCTCGCCCTGTTGTAATTTGTTCTCGCAATGCTGCTATCTCCGCAGATAAGCGCATAAGTGCCCTTTCGACCTTACGTGACCAACGATCCCCTTTCTTAACGTAATCTCCTTCGCCCTCGTCCTCTTCTCGATCCCGGTATCGATGTTCCGCTGCATCATCCTCGCTCATCGGGCTTAATACTTTCATAGGACCCTCGGTTCCGCTCAGCGGTTGTTGGAAACGCTGTGGTTCCACAAAGGAGGAGCGATCCTTTGGTGACGAATTTGATGACGAGGGGCTATTGCTTTTGATCTGATTCCACACGAACTCGAGCTCGCCAACAAGCTCCAGTGCGTCTCTAGTAGATGGGTTAGTCAGAGTCGTGTGTTCCAGCAGAGTACCTCGCCACCATATGCATGAACCACCATAATAAATAGTGAGATGATAACTTACGGAGTATTGGCATAACGATGCATGGTATCGATGAGGGCCTCAACATACCGCCTCTTAGCTTCGGTACGACTGATGCCACTCTGAATATTCCATGCATCCCACTTATCCCTCTCGCGTTGCAGTTCGTCGGGATCTAGACCGTTGCCTGGCCGTGGTCGCTCCATCACGCCATCCACATCACCCTCCATTGCTTGTTTGTATAGGCCATATAGACGTAGCCGGTCATTGGGCGGTGGTCGTGATGCTCCGGTTTTGGGGATCTTCTTGACAGTGTTGAGTGCGTGCACAAACACGCGGTCTGTGATAACAAATGATCCGTCAGTACGTGTTGACAGCACAAGCGCCAGGGCCCGGGAGGTATAACTACCCCAGCTAATGCGGGCCAACTGAAATAGCAAAAGCGGAAGATATAGATCAGTGTAGTCAAGAAAGCAGCAGGTGCATACCGACTGAGTCCGCCATTGCGAGCTCGTGTCTGAGCCGCAAGTGCGACCACGACGCGTACTCCCTACTCCCGCTCGAATGCCGCCGTCCTTGATTCGGGGGAAACGAGATTCGAGGCGATTGTCCAATTACGCAAGGTTATTGTGGTGTATTCTGCTCTTGTGTAAGGGGGGGTTCGGCCGTTGCCGGCTTGCCGCCCAATTGCTACCGCAAGTTGATAAGAAGTTGATAAGAATTAACGAGACGTCATGTATTGCAAAGAGGCGCTTGGACCCCCCAAGTCTGTGGCTTGGTATCTACTTTGTAGGAATAAGTCAATAATGTACAGATACGGAGAAAGAGATTGAGCGGGATAAGTTTGGCGTGGCCAGAGAAGACATTAGGGGCGAGTGCAGTTCACCATGCCTCATCGGCTGGTTGAGCTCAAATGCGAGCGCTCAGTAGGTAATTGGGTGACACTTAGGTGAGGCTCCAGCTTTTGCCTCGGCGTCAACAGTGGGCGGCGGATACCCCTAGCTGCAACGCTGACTTGCTGGCGAGTGGCTACTTATGGGACCCCTGATTCTAACCCCCCGTCCCCCCATTCTTGCTGGGGTTAGCGTAGATAGGTATCTCCTAGTGGGGCAGCCGCCAACACTTCCCGAGGCCGCGTGCAGTACTTGGCGCTAAGATTATCTTAGCAGCACGTGAAGACGCCGATTTTTGTCCGACATTGTTAAACTCAGTTGAAGAGATGCATGTTAGTAGGTATCTACCTATGTTAGGGATTTCAGGTTAGGTATTATAGTTCCTATCTCCACGCTACTGTGACTGAATTTCCCTTCTTGAGGAGAAAAGTAGGCGATTGCGAGCGTAAATATTAGGTAGTCTAGGGTTATTCCTAAACTGGGTACCTATCTAGGTAGGTAGCAAGCCCAACTTTCAGGATGATGTCTCTATCTATCGCCTTGAGCCACATACATAGTAGACTGCCTACAACATTAGACCCTAAGAGGGAATGGGAGGCATGTCGATATCGAATCTAACATCAGTGAAAAGATGGTCAACGACGAGTGTTGGCGATTGCAAGTGAGCGTTTCCATGTATCATATGCTGTCAGCTTGCCGATGGGCCGTGGAGTCATTGCAAAAAGGCTCGTGTTCGCCAGCATGAACTCCTTTAGCTCCTCCATTCTCAGCGCTGCTATCTTCTTCCTCTCTGTCTCGTGCTCCTCCATGTCCTTGCCCACCGTCGTAAACTCTTGGAAAAGCTCCACCTCCCCGATGGTATGAGTGAAGGCAGATCTACCAAGTCCACCATTCTTGCTCATGGCCTCGGCCTCGGCCTCGGCCTCAGTCACATCGTCCATCACAATCGTCATTTTCGCTGAGGGGGTTGTACCGTCGGCCAGCTGTGATACCTCCCACGATCTACGTTTAGTCTGGAGATCGGTGACTACCTGCAAGTCCTCCAATCTTGTCTTTGATCCTGTAATTCTTAGGACCTCATCTGACACGTTCTTTTCCCCATCGATCTCAACAAATTCTGAGTCGTTGAAATGGCCGCCGAATCGCAATTTGGCATTCCATTGTGCCTTGTGGCTATGCGAATATCTAAACATCAGCGATTGACTCGAGAGTAAAAAAGGAAGAAAAATATGCTGTGTGTAGGTGTGTGCACAATAGTCATAGAGCCTCACAACTCTTTCTACTGGCCTAGAAGATATCGACTGATTGAATGCGGGTATCGGGATTCTCACCTGTGATCTTCAACTGTCGCGCTACCAGGTTTGGTGGCGGCCTCGCAGCAGTTATCGTTCATCTCTTGAGAAGAGCTGAGAGGGAAGTATCGAACATGCCGCTGCCGTACCCAGAGGCCCAGGGCGCTTAGTTGCTCATTCTGGGTGTCGTAGTAGATATCACGGATTATCTGGCCTGGCTGCTTGACAACGGTGAAGGAAGGACCACCGCTTTGGTTATTGTAGACCTGACGATATCGTGCTTGGGAGTGCGCCCATTCCTCAGACAAGAAAACAGAAACAAATTTAGGCCCGAGGTTGAACTTGCGCTCGACTTCCACCTTGGATACAATACGTGTAAGCCTTGGAGCACTAAAGGGAGCGCCGAGCTTTGGCCCTATTAGATGCATCTTGAGATTCGCCAACAGCCTCGAACCATGAACAGGTAGGGAAACAGAATGATTCCTGCGCCGTGGTATAGTTGGAAAAGGTTCTGATGTTAAGCTCAGGACAACTTGAATGGCTGAGTTGTTGTTTTTTTACAGCAAAGATTCTATCACGGCAAGCCGCAATTATTTAAAGTACCTACCCACCTCAGCAAACAAACATTAGGACATGCACCGCCAGGAGGAAATAGAAGCATCCAGAATCGCCATTCCAGACTACATATCAGAATTCGATGCACAACAACTAGCACAAAGCAATCACGCACCAAATTATTCATTGCATCTTTTGTCAATTACCTTCAAAGTCTCAGTCGACCTAGGTAGCTATTTGATTTAATGAGACAATCAGACAACCAGACAAACGCCCTCTCAGTACCGAAGTATCCTGCTCTATCGCCAGCTTTGCCTCCATGCCCGGTGGTTTGATACCTGATGGTGGCACTAATTGTCTTGTTGCCCTACTCGACATTCCTATACGTAATCGAAATAACTTCCTGTTGACTTTCTGGCAATAGAAGCAGGAAGGAGACCGGAGCGAGAGATGGCTGTCTGGCTCTACTAGGAACAAAGCAAATCCCAAAGACTACTGTCTTGTCCACATCATGATCGTAATGCTTCCTCACCACGACAATCCCTTAGAGCCGCACACCTCTTCCGCATCTTCCTCGACCGCTTTGGTCCAATCGTACACACCGCCACGCTCATTGAAGGCACGCTGGTCCCAGTGAACCTCGCTCAATGCCCTCTGCACTCCAACCTCTAGAATTGACCGTGACTGCTTCTCAGGCCCGGTGCCCTTGTCAAGGAAGCAAAGATACTCATCAAGGAGAAGGTAACTAGAAGCCATGACCGAGTTTGGCTCAGGTACAAATGAGGCAAGGTGTCGATGTTTATCGCAGAATGCCTTGAACTGGTCATCCGAGATGAGAAGCTTCTTGGCGTTTCGCTTTCGCTTATTCACATTGACCTGGTCATCCGAAGAATCATTCTCTCCCTCGACGTAAAGGACTTGGAAGACCTTCCATCGGAAGGGGTCAAGTTCTTGTACCATGTCTGCCATGTCTTCTTGCCAATTGTGCACGCAGATGACCGTATTCAACTTGAACTTGATACCCAGTTCACGACACCAATCACGTATCTGGAAGAGCTGTTTGACGTTATTGCCGGTACCGCGACCAATAGCAATGTTCGTTTGCTCGTCGAAACTGTCGCAACTGACGCCTAGAACGTCCACCGACCGTCCATGCTTGTCCATCCACTTCTTGGTTACCTTTGTTCCATTGGTGATGATGCTCACACTTTCGAGCCCCAGCTCTTCTTTGCAGAAGTGGCAGAGCATAGCCAGCACTTGCGGGTAAAGGAACGGCTCGCCTCCAGCGAAATTGATTTTCCGCACTATGATACGTTTAGGTCAGAAATTATCATGTGAAGCCAGTTTGTGGTCCTCCCGAAATTCAATGAAAGACACCCAAGGGCAAGATCAATCTGCAAATGAGCACCTGTGCTCTACAAATCGCTACATCAAGAACGGGGAATGCCCGGAAAGTTACTTACTGCCTGCCTTTTTAAGGAGCCTGAGCCCCTGCTTCATCTCGTCTTCCGTGGCGACGTGAGAGGACTTTTCAGTGTGGAAGCAAAATTGACACTCCTTATTGCATTTACGAGTGAAGTGAAAGTTGACGGAGACGGGAATGATGTCTTTGCTGTTGGTATGATTCCAATAGATCAGGAGGGCTGCCATTGTCGCAAGAGCAGTGAAAATGACTGCCATGGACGCAGTCCACGAGAGATGAAGGTTTGACATCATAGTCAATCGTTCTTTGAGCCGCTGTTGTATCCAACTGGAGACAGATGGCATGGAAAGAAGAAGGTAGGAGAGAATAAATACTGGAAGACTTATGGGAAACTCGATGCCTACTTGTGCAATGTTTGACCCAAATTGGATGACTGTACTTGAAGACAAAGGACCATCAAACAAACAAGAGTGACATTTGGAAAATTCTGATAAGTTCTGGAATAAAAATAGGACAATAATGACTTAACGGACGTTTTCTAGGGGCAACCAACCTAGTGTGGCCGTTAATTGATCATATTACCACACGTACTGTTTGCAGTACCGAGCAAGCTGATTATTCCTACAGCAACCTCATTCATTCGGGAATCTTCTATCTGTACAATCATGTTGCCTAGTGAAAACAAATGATGTTTGTATTTGAGTATTCTGATGGAAGCCCAAACGAGTTTCAACAAAGCTTGTATACTTAAATCCTCCTCTTCAAAAGCACTGGCTAGGCATTCGAAATCCATGAGTCTACTTGTAATACACTTCTATGATACCCACAATGGACAGCACCATGAATCCAGGTAACAATAAGATTGTCTTCGTTCTTGGGCCTCCAGGAAGTGGCAAAGGCACGGTTTGCAAGGAGGCTGTCAAATCGTTGAAGCGTCCTCCTCATCACCACCTCTCTGTTGGGGACTATCTACGGGAACTCTGTGACCCTACGACGATCCAGGCTGGGAACGACATCGATCACAACAAGATTCGTGATTACTTGCGAGATAACAAGTTACTACCTGCTGACGTGCTCATCCCGATTCTCAAGGACAAGATAAATTCTACGCCGAATGTGGATGTCACAGAGACTACTTGGTTGATTGATGGGTTCCCGCGTAATATGAAGACTGCTCGCGCGTTCGAAAAGACAGTAAGAATACAAGATAATCTCAGGGGGACGCCAAATGAAGGAGAGACTAGACTAATGCCTTGGGTATATTAGATTGGCATGCCCCTGAAAGTCATCGTTCTCGAATGCAGCCGTGACGTCGCCAAACATCGATACCTGAGCCGAGCTAGAGAGCAGATGGACGATGAGGAACGCTTTGATAAGCGATACGATGGCTACATCAAGAACATGGAGGCTATTCAGAAGCACTATAAGAGTAAGGGTGTTAATATGGAATCGGTAAGATGTTTGCCGCTAGGAATGTTAACTCGGTGCTGATCATGCTTTAGATTCCTGCGAACGGAGACAAGGTGAAGTGCCTGGGGGAATTTATGGCCGCGTTACCTGGGGTATCTGAAGATTGAACAAGCGAGAAGACAAAGGTATTGCGGGAGATACGAGATACGCTGCTAGTTGCCAGCCAGTGGGTGATGGATTATAAGCCATGTTTAGGTTGTACTGGTTGTAGAGTGTCACTTGGACCAGCAGATGCGGAGTTAGCTCAGGTCCTCACGTGGAGCCTAAACAACCTTTGATCGGCATTAACGTTGACATTGAACTAGTAGGGCATGGTAAAGCCGTTGTGACATTTTATCGAAGATGAAAGTGACTGATTTTGAAATTGTTCTATGTCCAGCCTATAGCTACTCAATGTATCGATGAATCTGTCAAGTCTAATATCTCTATTCTTGGTCTTAGAATTTCGGGACGGCCTCATCTGACATACTTTCTACTTATCTAACCTCGGAATAGCTGGCTGACTTGACATTAACAACGCTGCATAGAACGACCCTTAGTAGACTTCTCACACCCTTCGGAGCTCAGTGAGACGCACAACATATGCTGGAGGGCCTGTGTGGACATTTGGAAATATGTATCAATCTATCAGGAAGACTCTATGTAGGTAAGTAAGAGTGCTTGACAAATGTGTAAGTGAAGCTTGTGATTGCCAAGTTGCCGGTGTTACACAATGTTGCATAGGTGACATGATGGCTTCACTCAATGTGAGAAGGCAGATGAGTTATAGGATACGTCTTCAAGAAACGGCTACGTCTAGGCACATTCTTAATGCCAGCTGGTGCCTTCACTATCGAAAAGCATTTTAAAAAAGCTTCAATATGCCTCCTCACTGATTGGAGATACCCAGAACCCCAATTGTAGCGATATAGCAACCATTTTCAGCCCCTGAAATCATCCAATTGGGTCCCATAGCTCAGTTGGTTAGAGCGTCGTACTAATATTATAAGTCTCTTATAACATTAGTGATGCGAAGGTCGTGAGTTCGACCCTCACTGGGACCAAGATACTTGTGTTTGGACGCTGTCATATTCGACAACCGATATTTCTTTTGTTTTGGGCGGAGTTATGTTAGGTATAGTATGGAATGGTAGGTATGTAAAGTATGTGAATAGGTAAGTACCTAAGTACGAAGAAGCTGTGCGGTTGAATCAAAGGGGCTGCTTTCCTCACCTTTTACTAATGAGGCCTAATTCTACCATGCGTCCGCTGACCTGGCTTATATACATATTATTTTGTTACTAATCGATTATAAATGTAACGTACATTTGGGGATGCGGATTCCTGGGGCAGAGGTCAACTCAAGTGGTAAGGACCGCTACTCTAAGTGCCTGGTCCGACTGGTTGTGCCCCCTTTACAGTACTGCATCTATGGCAGAAAGTACCGAGAGGCCTATGAGCAACAATACCAATGAGAAATTGATGTGCTCATATATGTGCTCAGTAGTCCTTTGATCGGGCACAGACGGGACATTAATGATCTGAGGCAGATATTGCTCTCTTTTACTTATCCAAGGGCTTTTCAGTGTTGGCAAGCGTGGCATTCATGTCATCCTTCAGCTTTTGCAGTCGCTTGATCAACTTCTTGTTCTCCAAAGCCTGAAGTGCTGCTTTTTCGCCTGCATCCTTTTTTGAGAGGCCGCTTCCGTGCCCAAGCCTGAGATTTGTTTCGCCCAAGCCATTGTAATAAGCCGCCACGGTGAACCATGGTAAGCCTGTATTCTTGTCCTTCTTCGGTTGGCCCTCATCTTGATAAGTGATCTTTACCGTCTTCGTTCCAATGGCTTTGTTCAAGACTACTTTCGGTGGAAGAGGTTGCGCTGAACTACCACCACTAAACTGGCCCTCTCCTCCGACAGCGTTAGAATAGCCCTCAACAGCAGATTTCTTGTGTTCGTCACGTATCTCTCGCTGAAGTGTAGTGGCCCAAACTTGCTTTAGCCATGTAGTGACGCGCGAGAGGCCGCCAACATCACCTAGGATGGCCGCGGCCATGTAGGCTTCCAGGAGGTCGCCAAGAATCTTCTTCCGTTCCTTTTTTGATGCCGACGTGCCAGCGCCTGTCTGGGATGGCCTGCCGCCAGGCTGGTATTCAGTGGGCAACCTAGCTCGCTTGTCGAGGTTGTATCGTACGGTGAAATCGGACAACGTCTCGTTCTTTACAAGTCGTTCGCGAAGTTGCGAGCATCGCCCAGCGGCAAGATTGGGAAATGTCTGATATATGAATGCGGATGAGATCAAATACAGATATGCATCCCCAATCCACTCAAGCCGCTCATAATCCATCTCCCCGATGCCTCTCGCTACGCCGGCATGCGTACGTGCTGCCTTTTCGAGAACAGGGTCCAGTGCAGGGGGCAGCGGCGGCTGCGAATCTGCATCGCAAATATCTTGAGACGTCCATTTTGTGAGTACTGTAGGATTAGGAATCAAAAATCCCGACTGCGGGTGTTCATTGGAAGAGTCTTGTTGCTTGTCTATTTTCTGGACCTTGTGAGTGCTCTCTGATGCTGTGCTCACACTGGAAGTCTATAAAGGGGCGTTAGAGATACGATGCGACTTCTGAACGGATTATTGGAGAATGCACCTCATCATGAGATAATGCTTGCGTCGCAAGGTGTATCTCATTATTATGTTGCTTGAGAGTTGAGAAGATTTTCTCATGTGAAGGCGAAGTGCTGTACTTTCCCAATCGCTCCAGGTCCTGCTTGAGAGACTGAGCTGCTTTTAGCAGGTGGTCTGCATGCTGCAATATCAATGAATACCGAGAACCTGAAGGAACTGTTGAAAATTCATCGAAAGACCGTTTTGACATAGTGATCACGCCGTCAGAGGGGGTTCCGAAGGGCTTGGATTATGAGTTAGCAAATGATTGCCTGTGCACAAATGAAATTGGAGGCTTCGAACTTGGAAGAGTACTCAGGTACATAGGCATAGATACCTGGTACTGCAGGTACCTACTTGCCTTGGGGATACTTAAGGTATTAGGTACTAGTCCGTACCCTTGCTGCGTACTGCTACCTAAGGTAATCAGGTACCTACTGGACGGAGGCTGTGGAGCACAGGCCATATGTGGGGACTCACTTCCAACTCCATCAAACTTTCGGTTTTGGTTATCGTGCAGTTTGCCCATGTGCGACGACATCGTCTAGCCATACAGATATCGAGCCGCACAGCGATTCAAGATGGCGGCCGTCCCTCGTGCACGGCTACTGGACTTGATGAAGGTGAGATTGTTTCTGCGTCCGTCAATCTCTGCTTCAAATTCTGACCTGCAATTCAGGTCCAGTGCCAGGTCTTCTCGACTACCTACAACCCCGAAAGAATACGAATGGGAAATAAGATTCTTCGCCAAAGGCTTCGAGGACCGTCGCTAGCGAAATATTATCCCCCGAGGGGCCCCACGATAAATACATTAGAAAAGGAATTCAGGAGCCTGGAACTAGAGACTTTGGATGAAGAAGAGGATGATCGACAAGAACATCTAGCAGGGCAAGTCGCCCTCGTGTAGTCGCGTTGCACATTGCGTGGGAATGCTGACAAATTTTTACAGCCGGAGGCAGCGTGGAAAGGGCGCGCCAAAGAAGAAGCGCACAGCACCAGGTATGGTTCTTTGTCGAGCCCCGCGAATGACCCCGACACTAACGCTTCGGTGAAGAGAAAAAAGACAAGAGAGGCAGATAAGACACTAGTTTGCGCCAATTTAACCCTTGTATTATCGACATGTATAACATTTGCAACGGCCACGAAAGATTGACAGGAAGAGCATCGAGGTAGGAGTCGGGAAGGCGAGAATCTTAGCAACGATGGAATCAGACTCTCCAGACTAAGCTCCTCTGTTGAACCGTCAACCCCAATGGGGGCACTACTTCTCCTACTTTTGACGCGCAACCTACGAAAGTGTGTCACATTTCTAGAGCTAAATTGGCCGCATGTGGATGGGATGACACCCATGAACCGTATCCCAGCGTCAGCTGCGAAACTAAGCAATGGATTTACTGCTTAAGAGTCTACGTGATGCAGTTGTCATGAAAGTTTGCGACTCGTTTAGGGGTGTTTTGAGTGGTCATATAGAAATTAAGGCGGACTATTCTGTACTCATATGTTTCTTCTGCAATGCACCAACCTTCAAATTGCGGCTCTCATAGTAAGGCTTTCGATATATCCAACATTTTATGCACCATCTCCTACTACATCTTCCTCAACTCCAGATGACGGAGTTTCCCTTTTGCCCTTATTTGCACCACTGCAAAAGGCCACCTGTCACCAATAGGTGATATGCATTACCTCCTCAATCTACTAGGCAGGTTTCAAATCCGAGTTGCTTACTTGTCCAAAAGCACGGAGCTTTTTGAAGTTAAATAGAATAGCTTTATGTTGAGAAGCTATTCCCCGTACTTTTAGCGGGACATTTTCAGGTCGGTAGCTGGAAGTAGCAGACGAAGTGCGTCTAGGAGGACATTTCCTGAGAGGCCATATGGGATTTCACTTCTACTTACAACTTAAGAAACGAATTTTCGAGTAGTATACCATTTCCCCTGCACACTTACATCCACCTGCTTAGCATTGACATGGCTGGTAATGCGCCTCTTTCCCTATCCATTGCCGTCAAACATGGTGAGTATAAGGTAGGTAGGTATCTACGCAGTCTAACCACACCCAAACAAACAATGTCGAAGTATTCTAAAGCTACGTGGTTATCACAGATGCAGATTTGTGTGTGGGTGGCTCATCTCCAACCACCGTCGTCCATCGCGCTTTCCACACACATCTCCCACCCCATGGTGCACGATGCCTCGCAAGGACATTACACACGCCCAATACTTACCTACCTTACCTATCTTCACTTGCCTTCCATTACTTACCTTTACTTGTCTTCTGTCATAGATACCTGAGGTATCCTCATGCCTGCCTTTGGCACCATTGCTGCAGAAGTAGCGCTTGACCTACCTACCTACCTCCCTCATCCCACCCCCCACACGTAACTTGAGGTATATGTAGGTACCCTCAAGTCCCCCTACCTTCGCAGATGTTCACATCTTACCTCGTACCTCATAGTATTCTCTCTTTCCTATATTCTTCCTCCTTCTCCGTCACCACAACCCCTCCATCACGACGTCCTCTCTTGAAATCCACCTATCCACCTCCTTACCCGTCTGCACCGTCGTTCATCCTACCTCCTCACCTCTCTGCCTGTTAACATCTGACAAGGTATAGCAATCTCCCCAATACAGGCAGTCACTTCCCACCGTCTCTATCTGCCGACACCAACGGCCTCTCTCCTCGCCTGTCATTTAACACTTCCCGCGTCTAGGTCATACAAAACTACACCATCTACCGGCGTCTAGGTTGGTGAGGCTGCTTCCGAACACCTGCCTCGTCTAACAAGTTCTAGGTTCGGTGCATCTGCCATCTACCAGTAATCTTCCGAACCGTCAGTTTCCAAAGATATACATCGGCGTACGGCTACTGCCACGCTCATATTTAAACACCCTCTTTCGGTCCCGACAACCAGTAACCATCCGTCACATGTACTAGTAAGCCCCTACCTCGTGTTGGCAGGTAGCAAGCACATCTTGTTCGACTCAATACGGCCGCTCCTGACACCTTCTCCCGCCTCATCTCAACTTGCATCCACCCGGAGCTGGCTTCCTTACACCTGTAATTATCTGAGCTCTAACTTGTCATATTGTGGTCGTCTAATCGTTTTGAACGCCGCCTGTTCGTGGTATTCCGTCTTTCGTCTTTTCATCTCCACTCCATCTCGCATCTCCAATATTTGACCACAACTGGTCACTGGCCAATTCTGGCATCTCTCACTCGCCACATGATCTAATCTTTGCTATCCTGGCATATCTTTCATTTGTGGATTTTGCGTGGGTAACTAGAAAATCAGCTGAAAACCCCAACAACCCCATCAATCACAGCCTCTGCAAACGTTTTATACCCAGTCTAGAATCGAGATTTGTCCGTTCAACCCAGAGCTGCAGTATGTCTGTGGCCCGCTCAACTGGGTCTCCGACTCTACGCCGCACTCCGGGGTCCAAGACAAGTCAGATGGACGAAAACACCAAGGTCGGCAAGGAGGATTTCTCCATTGCCGCTGTAGGTGACCAACTAAAATCCCTCCTTATTTTTGTAAGTCTCGTCAGAATACCAAAGATATCCTATGCCACCAACTGATGCCCATAAATTATTTTACCCATATCTACATTAGACCACAGACCATTTGCCTAGCACCGTTAACATCTGTCCTTCAATCATCTTTGAGTTCTGTTTTGCCTTTCATTGAAGCCAACTAGTATGTGTAACAGGAACCGAATGGCCAATCCTCGCAGAAGAGACCCCACGGGGTTCTCTCAGCCTCATCGCTAGTCAATCAAAGCTGTCCTAATGTCAGTTTTGAAAACGTGATTTGGTTACATAATTGCCTCCAGCTGACATCTTTGGAACAGAGTGCTCAGCCAAACCTCGAAACATTTGGTACTTCTGAGATCCTGGAATCGAGTCTCACCAATTCTAGTCCACCTAGGCTGGCTCGACAATTATCCGGCATTCCTCCTATTGGCAGCGGTCTCAACTACTCGGTAGACGCTAATGATGGACTCAAGCTTGAACACACTGCAACCAGCAGCTCAGTGCCGATAACCCCTGCCACCGACATGTTCGGCAATGCCTGCCCCATCACTCGACCAGCAAGCGCTACGATGAATGAATCTGCTACCAGTGATGAAGAGGTGCTGCGACTCAAGTTTGAGCTTGCTCAAGCCCAAAGCAAGATATCTCGTCTTGATCAGGAACTTGCTTCGACTCGCCACGGCCACGTAGGCTTGAGTCAGCCAACCAGTGTCTCCCCGGTCGAGAATGGATTCTCTAATGGGCATCAACAGGCACCTCCTGTGTCACGCCCTCCAAGTCTCCATCCTGCCAACACCAATACTCATTACATGGGTAGAGAGGGCGGTCGCCCTTGGCCTGGCTACGACGACAGCCGATCTGATACCAGTGATGCTTTGTCCGCGACGGGCTTCAATAGTTCACGCAACATATGGGGCAGCCTTAAACAAACACCAAGTGCCGTTGGCCTAAGTGGCCCCCCTCCTCTTGGGATGCCGCAGAATGGACCATGGTCTGGACGAGCTGCAAGTCACAGCTATGTCGAGCCTAGCATGTCTTACGACCCTGCTACCGCCGACAATTTCAGGGCAGAGCGACTTACCCCAGATTTTGACTTCACCACTAAACCACCGGGTAGTAGACGAAATAATCGTTACGATGCTCGATTTGGCGGTCAAGGCTTCAACGGCACTAGCCAAAGCTATAACACCCAGCCTGGCTATTGTGCATACCCTTATCCTCAAGGACAGTATGACCCTGGTGTAATCACATCTGGTGGCTCACAAAACAATATGAATACTGGAGTATATGCTAACTATCAGTCACCGCCTGTCGGTACCTCCCTGTCCCCACTGGCTAGCGAGTTCACTTCCATGTCAGGTAGTGCTGGGCCGTGGAAGTCCGAGGTAAGTTGAAAACCCCAAGATCCAGTGAAGATGCTCTGGCTAACTTTCATACTTGTAATAGCCCACTTCGACCGAAGGACAAACGTACTTGCCTACCACGGAGCCGCTAAACTACCGTCGACTGCTAGATCGCAACGTCAATTGCAATTGGAAGTATATTGTCGACAAGATCGTATGCAGCAACGACCAGCAAGCTTCTATCTTCCTTCAACAGAAACTCAAAGTTGGAACTCCAGATCAGAAGTACGAGATTGTCGAGGCTATTGTTGCTCAAGCTTATCCTTTGATGGTCAACCGATTTGGAAACTTCTTGGTCCAGCGATGCTTTGAGCACGGGACTCCGGAGCAAGTAATCAAGATCGCAGAAGCCATCAGAGGATGTACCCTCACCTTATCTATGGACCCGTTCGGTTGCCATGTGGTCCAAAAGGCTTTTGATTCTGTTCCAGAAGACTACAAAGCCATTATGGTTCATGAGCTTCTTCGCCGTATTCCAGAAACCGTTATTCATCGTTACGCTTGTCATGTTTGGCAGAAGCTCTTTGAGCTCCGATGGACTGAGTCCCCACCTCAGATCATGAAATATGTAAACGAAGCACTCCGTGGAATGTGGCACGAGGTCGCTCTAGGCGAGACGGGGAGTCTTGTGGTCCAAAATATTTTTGAGAATTGTCTCGAGGAAGACAAGGTCTGTATTCCCACAATTTGATATTTGATGTCGGTATTGTAGAACTAACAGCCACTCAGAGACCTTGCATTGAGGAAGTGCTCAGCAATATTGATATCGTCGCTCATGGACAGTTCGGCAACTGGTGTATTCAGCATATTTGTGAGCATGGAGCGCCGGCTGACCGCAGCAGGGCAATTGATCATGTAATTCGCTATGCTGCTGAATATAGCATGGACCAGTACGCCTCCAAGGTAGTTGAGAAGTGCTTGAAGATTGGAGGAGCAGAATTCCTGACGCGCTACCTTGACCGAGTGTGTGAAGGTCGGATCGACCGCCCTCGCATTCCTTTAATCGATATCGCAAGCGACCAATATGGTAACTATCTGATCCAGTGGATTTTGCAACACGCCAACCCGCAACACAAGGAAATTGTGGCTGCTCACATCCGCAAGCACATGGTGTCTCTTCGCGGATCTAAATTTGGCAGTCGAGTCGGTATGCTATGCACAAACCCCGCCATTGCCACACGGCCTGGTCCTGGCGTTGGACCTGGTGTTGGCCGTATGCCCGCGGGGCCTCGCTATGGCGGCCGTGGATTCCAATAATCACAATCATCTTTAAAGGAGAATTTCACCCAGTTAAGTTTACGATAGTGGTTACTCGTTGCTCTCCGCCAGCTGTGGTCTCGCAGAATGTCGGGGTCCGCTGCTTTGCTTTTCATCCTAATAAAAATTTCGTGTTTCTAATAGTCAGCTTCCGAACTACGCACACATCGACAAATTTCAGCTCAACTGTTGCTCAGAGCGATCAACATATGACAAGTCGCACAGAAGCATCATCTGGAACAGAGAATTTACGAATCATAAGTCTACGACATCCTACGCTCAGCAGGCTACTGCCTTGCCTGGGTGCTTTGGACACATCATGGTTATGGATGTTGCAATATGGCATCGAATGTCCGGAAATACGTGACCACTCCACCCATCATTGAGCCCAAGGCTTACTCACCTTGGTCAGTCTGGTTAGGGGTCCCATTTTCCATTCACTCCAAGTTCCATACGGCATAATCACGACGTATCGTCTCATATAGTTGCGTGGATGGTTTCCCCAATCTCAACCGCGTAGAACATTCTGCAAAGAATAAAGTACTCTGTGTTGGTCATTGGAGAATTCAGGTTGCAGTTTTTCAAGTGGTATTACATAAAAGAAAAGTCGTTGACTTGACATGGGAAAAATCAGCAGGTCTAAACATAATGAGGGAGAACAGTTCCCATGCTCTTGTATTTTGTGCTATGAAGAGGCAGTGTTACATAGGCTCTAGTTTGTACTAACTCAAAAGTTTCCTTACATGCCCTCCACGTCTAGAGTAATCAAAGATGTCTCGTTTTAATTTGATAGTTTAATTCATACCTTTCTCGTTGAGTTATACCTAATTCGTCATACGGAGATGGTCCCCCAAAGTAGTGTTTTGAGAGAGATCTCTGGTACGGATGGCATTTACGCTGAGTTGATCTGCTCTATTGCCGCGCTTACTTAAGAGAGCGAATCTAATTAATCCTCTCTACTCTGAGTTGATTAGCTCGACCACGAGCCTGTACTCTTTGCGCCGTTTTCCGTATAGATTCGTTTTCCTAGACATCACACTAGTATCACAGATGTTTGTGGCGAAGAAAAGAGATAACTTTCAATGTACGATTCATCTTCTACTTATGCTCCCCTAGCCACTTGACTACGTACGCCCTTAGCCATCTCTGTGTAACTCCATCGATCGATGGAAATAACTATGTGATATATGTACATTTACTACACATAGCGTAGTGCGCTCCCACCATTCAACCTGGCGGCGACAAAGGGAAATAAAATGTTCAAAAGCCCCTTTCTATCCTCCCTTCCATATGGAATTGACGGGCGTTTTTTCATAGACGAAATACTGCGGCCATATTATCCCGCATCTATAGATTCCTTTCGCCGACTTGCAACTCGAATCGATCTCCGGCGTCTATTTATATCAATTATGGGCCGTAGGCAACTCGTCCCATTGGCCTATCCTCAGTCATACCGGGTGCCATCAAGTTGTTGTCGGGATTGCTAGTTGCCTTTGCGACTGAACAGCGAGCCATTGTGGGTGAACTAGTTCATGGAATCAGTATGCATTATCAAAAGTAGGTTTATCAAAACTTCAGCTTACCTCCTAGAAATAACGTCTGTGAAGTAGAAATCCTGTATGACCTTCTTCAGAGGCTCGCCAGTCGGCTTCGCGCCCTTGTTCTGATCTACTAGCTGTACTTTGCTGAGCTGCTGGAGTGATGTGGGCTCGACGATATCGTAGGCGGCCAGCGCAGGGCTGATCTCAACCATTCTGTCTCGCAGCATGGCAACATCGTCATACGGAAGAGGGGCGCCGAGGAACTCGCTAATAGCGCGGATAATTTTCCAGTCTGTGCGAGCAGCACCGGGCAGGGAGGTGGCAGCACGGGTCATTTGCACTCGCCCTTCGGTGTTGACATATGTGCCGGCCTTCTCTGTGTAAGCAGCTCCGGGCAAAACAATGTCTGCAATTTGAGCTCCCCGATCACCATGGTGGCCTTGGTATACAACAAAGGCGTCTTTAGGAATATCAGCATCAGCAAACTCATCAGCGCCGAGTAGCCAGATGAATTTGGGCTTGGTCTCAGCGACCTCAGGTGAGGGTGTTGTAAAGCCAACCTCAAAAGCACCCGCTCTTGAAGCTGCCCGCTGCAGGATATTAAACCCGTTGTGCTCCTCGGTCTGGAAGTTAGCAGCATTCTTTTCAACAAATGATCCAATCAGCTCGTAGAAAGCCTTGGCATCGGCATGGTCTGTTACACCGGAACCGACGATGATCATAGGCTTCTTCGCCGATTGCAGTTTCTTTCCGAAGGGGCCAGCAAGAGCTTTCTTTAGAGCAGCGAAATCGGCACCGAGGTGCTCGAACTCGAAGGTCGACTGCCAGGTTTCACCAACAACGCCAATCTCCAAGTCTGAGCGTAACCATTGCTTCCGGATACGGGCGTTTAAACCAGCAGCTTCGTGTCTCGGGTTGGTGCCAACAAGAAGCAGGCAATCGACATCCTCTACACCCCAGATCTTGGAGTTGAAGAGGTAGTTAGTCCGAACATCGATACCATGGGCAATAGGCTGACTTCCAGAGGGCATATCGAGGGCAAGGTTGTCGTGACCAAGTTTGTTTGCTAGATCTTTCATAGCCACCATAGACTCAACTTCCGTCAATTCACCAGCGATCACCTTGAACTCATTGGGTTTGGGCGCAAGGTGCTGGTAAGCGGCACCAATCTCAGTCAGGGCTTGTTCCCAAGTAGCAGGCTCAAACTTGTTGTTTCTCCGAACGAGAGGCATCGTCAAGCGCTGGGTCTTGAGACCATCACAGGCGAATCGGGTCTTGTCGTTAATCCATTCCTCGTTTACGTCGTCGTTTAGGCGGGGCTGGACACGCAATACCTCAAGGCCACGGCTGTCCACACGAATTGCAGATCCCAAACCATCCAAAACGTCGATAGACTCGGTCTTCTTCAGCTCCCAGGGGCGAGCTCGGAAAGCGTAGGGCTTCGATGTGAGAGCGCCGACAGGGCATAGGTCGATCACGTTACCGGACATTTCGGAGTCGAGGTTCTGTTCGAGGTAGGTACCGATTTGGATATCATTTCCACGACCGAATGAACCCATTTCAGGAGCACCGGCGACATCGTTTGAGAATCGAATACACCTCGTGCAGTGAATGCATCGGTTCATGGAGGTTTTGATTAGGGGTCCAATGTTTTTGTCCTCCACCGCTCGCTTGCCACCGACTTCGTGGAATCGGCCTCTATCACCACCATAGCGCATAGACTGATCCTGGAGATCACACTCGCCACCTTGATCGCAGATAGGGCAGTCGAGGGGGTGATTTGCCAGCAGAAACTCCATTACTCCTTCTCGGGCTTTGTGTGCGAGTGGTGAGTTCGTCTTGACGACCATGCCGGGCTGTACGGGCCAGGCACATGAGGCAACGGGTTTAGGAGCGCGTTCGACTTCGACGAGACACATACGACAGTTACCAGCAATCATTAATTTCCTGAGCGATATTGTCAGCAAATGGAGGGGGTAGGCCGAAAGTGAGATCATGTTCGTACTCATGGTAACAGTATCTGGGAGTGGTTATGTTAGCAATGTCCTAACATCTATCTCATTTATCTATTAAAGAATGTAGCTAACCTAGGGATTGTGACACCAGCCTTCTCGCAGGCTTGAATTAAAGCCGAGCCAGCTATTGTTGATGCGCAGTTAGTCCCGGGAGCTCTACAGTCTCGGCCAGGGGATTAGGTCGCAAGCGTACCTTTGATGGACACCTTCTTTCCATCTGTAGGTCCGTTAGCAGATGTGCCGCAATGGTGGAGCGGCTTGACAGACCAACTGTGAGCTCGACCTCGGCCGGGCGTCGGGGTGAGGCGGAAAAAGCTCTCGAGGATTTGGCGGCGGCGTGCCGGGGCGTCCGCCAAGCCGAACGAGCCAGCGTCTGTCGAAGCATCGTGTCGTCCCGACGGAATGCGAGGTTGGGAGGAGAGAGGGAGACGGATGCAGGACGGGAAGAGGAGGCGGGTGGCGGTCAATTGGTTGCTGAGGGCCGGCTCGAGGTGTTGACGTCCTTTTTCGAACGGTGCTTGAATCGCTCACTCTCGGGAACTCAGCACCGGCCATTGGCTGGGTCGAATGGCTCGAGTGGCTCGGGGGACCGTGGCGCTAGTCATTTAAGCGGGCGATTATTTCACGGGCCACGCCATTGGTCACAGCTCCAGCCAGACCCGCTATTTCCACGGGGGATGTATCTAGACAGCCTAATGGCTATGAGAAGGCACTTAGTTGCTTGCAAGACCCCGCGGATTACCTAGACTAAAGCTTGGGCCAGCACAATCTCTGCTGTGGAAAAGCGGGCCCCTCGAGGAAGGCAGCACATATAATTCATCCATCTGCATTTCCGCTTCATTCTTCCTTTCCTCTTTTCTCCTTCTAACAACAAATTGTACACGGGCACATTTTATTGTAGGTGAGCTTGAACAAGTCTCTGGCTTCGCCAGAGCTCTTGTTACAGTCGAGTCTTCCTCTATCTTGTGCTCTAGAGTAATCCCATTTGACGCCGATATTGGAAGCAAGTGAGAAGCTTTTATAGCTATGATGATCTCCGCCTCTTACCGCCGGTCGTTACATCCTCTTTTTCCACCCTACTACCTATATATATATGTCGCCTCTATGGATAGCATACTAAACGCGACATATGTAAAGTTACGATTAGTTCAGGCCCAGATGTCTGCTAGGGCTTTTTGTAGTCGTATGTATACGTTGCATGGTAAGCCACACCTTCAGCTTGGTCTGTAATCTGGCAAAGTTCTTTCATCAGAATCTACTTGCGCATCGCACGTATAATAAAAGTCAACAGGTGATTGTATAATTATCTTGATGTTCTTTAAACGTGTGAAAGATTGTTGATCAGGTCTCTGAGGACTCGATGGCTTTCGTCTGCAGCATCCAAGGCATAATCCTGCGTACGGGGTCAAGGAGTGTTCGCAGCACTACCAGATTTACTTCACGATATTATCAGAAAACTGAGAGATTTATTTGAACTGTGGTCTTGTGTCATAATTCATCGCTATCTAATGCTCATAATACCCATGCAACGCAATAAAACAAGTTCTACCCATGCATACCGGTCAACTCCTCGAAGTAAAAATAAAGCATTTCAAGTATAATACCCGTATCCCAAGCATAAAATCAAAGTACAGAAATCAAAAGAACATCTATCCTTTTCACGTGTCTCTGTTTATAACTCTCCTTCTACATCTGTTTCTTCCTTTCCTGTGTGTTTGTTTATGCCTTAGGCTGGAGAGCAGCGGGCAGGAACTTCGACTTGGAAGCAATATGCTGCGCGAGGTCGATCATGGGCTGGTTCTTGAGGATCTCTGAGACGTGGATCACTCCCTGGAGGTCCTTGAGGGCCCAGGCGCGAATGTCGACGGCGATGAGAGAGTCGACACCATAGATGTTAATCGGGCGGGCTGGGTCAAGATCCTCGAGCTCCATCATAAGACCCTTGGCAAGCTTGACCATGAGGCCTTGGCAGACCACCTTGGTAGCCTCAACCATGGTCTTGGCTGCCCCAATGACGGCAGCAAGGTCGATGGTTGAACCAGTGTTCTTGTTGGACTTGGCGCTCTGTGTTGCTGAGTCGTAGGCTCGGAGAGGTCCAAAGCGAGCGTCGGCGAACCAGTAGGGCTCATCAAAGCCGTTGGCCTTGACAAGACCGCCACTTGCTAGACCCAAGGTAGGCTGGTTGCGGATATCGCCGGCCATGGCTTCTTCGAGAATTGCCCACAGCTGAGCTGATCCGATCTGGGGAGCACCACAAGCAACAATCTCTGGCACTTTACCCTGCTCAGACACGAAACCGATATCACCCATCCAGCCAAGATCAATTGAAGTACCAGCAAGACCCAGAGTGCGGCGGTGGTATGTGATGGCATCCTGGTACACGTTACCAGCGTTGTAGTTGCTCTGAGCGATGGAACCAATCTGGCCGGCGGCAGAGGACAGCGTGATGAAGAAGTCGAGGTCTTTGGGTAGCTGGTTGTGCAAGTTGGTAGTGACATAGTACTTGGGACGGATGGCGCCATTCCAAGCATCAAGAGGCATAGTCTCAAACATGGAATCCTGGGAGCAGGTGTTAGCGGATATGTCAATGATTTATATAATTGAGAGGACTGCTTACCTTCACGTTCATGGCTAAGACAACTGTGCCCTTGATGGCTGGGAAATTACTATTAGCCAGCTCCTCAAGAACCTTGGCACACTCAGCCTCGTCACCAATATCGGTGGCAAAGACACGAGTTTGCACACCTCTGGCGGTAAGGTCGGCGAGAACAGCTTGAACCTCGGGGTTCTTGGCACCAGAGCGAGAGGTGAGTGCGAAGTACTTCGCGCCCCTATCAGCCATCCAGGTGAGCATAGAGCGACCGAGACCACCGGTACCACCAGGGATGAGATAGGTAGCATTGGGGTTGAGTTTAAGCTCGGTCTTCTTGCCACGGGTGACGGGAACGAGATCGTCCTCAACAACCTGGAGCACGACCTTACCTAGGGAGCGGCGAGACTGTAGGATACGGAAAGCATCGGATATCTCGGAGAACTTCTTAATGTTGAGCGGCACAAATTTGAATACACCCTCGGTATAGTACTTCAAGACATCCGCCATGAGCTTGCTGAAGACGCGCTTATTGGTGCGGTACATTTGTAGGACATTGACACCGGAGAAAGTGGCGTTGTTAAGGAACGGCACCATGTCAAGACCAGTGTTGGACTTGATATCCTTGACACCTAGCTCAATGAAGCGACCGAAAGGTGCAATGCAGTGCCAGGTCTGGCGAAGCAACTCACCGGTGAGCGAGTTGATGACAACTTGGACACCCTCGCCCTTGGTGACACGCTTGATGCCCTGGACAAAGCCGGCATCCTTGTTGCTGAAAATGTGATCATCGGGAATACCATACTTCTCCCTGAGCAGGTTCTTCTCTGTCTCAGAAGAAACGGTGACGAGAACTTTAGCACCAATATGTTGAGCCATCTGGATCGCACCCTGGCCGAGGACATCAGCAGCAGAGTGAATCAAGATAGTCTCACCTGCCTCAAGACGGGCAGCGTTGTAGACACTGTAGGCCGCAGTACCATAAGAAATCATTAGAGAAGCACCCTCCTCGAAGGACATGGACTCGGGAAGCTTCTGGAAGTTCTCCTGGGTGTTTCGGACGTAGGTTCTGTACCAGCCGTTGGCAACAGTGAAGACACGGTCACCGGCAGCGTAGTCGGAAACGTCTTTACCGACGCGAGTGACGATACCAGAACATTCAACACCTAGGTTAACGTCCCAAATCTGTCCAACAGCCACAACCATGTCAAATTGGTCAAGACCAACAGCCTTGACTTCAATTTCAACCTCGGAATCACCGAGAGGCTTCTCGTACTCGGCGTCGTCGCTGAAGTAGAAGCTGTCGAGCTCACCAGTGGCTTTGAGGCCAAGTTTGAGCGCACGGTTAGCTTGTTTGAGTGGCTGCAGGGACAGGGCATTCTCGTTGTCCTCATTAGGCTCGAGAAGTCGGCTAAGGTTCTCGTCGGTGCCAAGACGGAGGATGTGGAGGGCACCCTTGCGAGCGGCGAATTCATGCTCATTGTTGGCGGCATCACCCTGGATGTTGAGTACCTGCATAATCGTGCTCACGGTGGAGGCATCGTTGAGTGAAACATTGGGGTCAAGATCGAGGGTAGCGAGGCGGATCTCGGGGTCTTCACCACGAACAGTGCGGGCTAAACCAGTGATCATGTTGAGCGCAGGCCGTTGACAGTCAATGGTAGCACCACCTTGGGTGAGCCATAGGGTTCCATCCGATCGGAGGAAGATGTTCTTGATAGCTGCATACTGCGCTTCATTCATGTTGGTCAGCACCGCCTTCTCGACCTCAGCGGCAACAATGACGCGGTTCTTCGTCAAGTCGGTCTCAACTGCTTCGTCAAGTGTTTTCTTGTCAACGGTGGCGCCTTCAGCGGTTAGTTTCTTCGTTAGTTCATCGACAAGGCCCTGAGCCTGTGCAGACTCATCGGAGCCAGTGACGATGGTAACATTGTTAAGAGGAGAGATCTCAGGCTTAATAGGGTTGGTAGACGCGACGAGCGAAGATGACCAGCCAACATCATCACGATCACGGAAGCACAGATCAGCTCCAGTGAAACCGACAGACTTGAGGCGCTCATCCCAGCCCTCCTCAGAAAGCTCGGGGCCCCAGTGACGGTCATCATCCTCACCAAGCCACCAACCAGCGAGCAAACCGAAAACGGCGGAACGTCTACCAATCTTACTAGTCAACTCTGTAACGATAAGCTTACCACCAGGCTTCAATAGTCTGCGGGCGTTGGCGAGGGTTGTGCTGATCTTGGAGGTAGCGTGCAAGACCTGGAAAGCGACAACTACATCATAAGAGCCCTCCTCGAAGCCCTGGGCAGCAGGCTCGTTCTCAACGTTCAAGACCTTGAAGTCCATTAGAGACCGGTATTCCTTGAATTCCTCAGCAGCTTCAGCGAAGAAAGAACCTGAAATATCAGTGTAGGTGTACTTAGTGAGCTTGCCAGCAATGTTTTCACCTAGCGCAGCAAAGATACGGCTGGTGGCTGAACCGGTACCAGCACCGATCTCTAGGATGCGGAGAGGTTTCTTGGCAGCTAGGCGCTTGATGTACTCGCATTGGACGGCAGGGGTCCGCTCGTCAGAGAGACCATAGCGGTACATCTCGTTAAGAGCGTTATCGTGGTTCATAAGCTCCCAAGGCTCAATCTCGCCGAGAAGGACACTCTCAATGTTGTCACTGATGCGCACCATCATCTTGCCCTCAAGGCTAGTAGCAGCGGCGCGGGCAAGGACCTCGTCTTCGGTCTCCTTGCTAGATGACAGCCACTCGGGTGTCTGGCAGGGAAGCTTGTTTTCGCTAGCGAGCTTCACTTGGTTCTTCATATAGTTATAGAAGATCAGGTGGTGAGGAGCCATGCGCTTGGCATCTTCATCGGTGAAACGTTGAGCCATTCTCTTGCACACAATGTACGCGCACCACTCGAGGTCGTAAACTTCCTTGTATGGCACCTGGGGAGCCTTGTTGATGGCATCAGTCAAGACTTCCTTCAAAGTCTCGGGGGAATTCTCGACGTCGACATGCCAAGTCGAGTAGGCACCCAATTTCCGCACGGCCTTGATCTTGGCCTCATCCTTCTCGTCTTCTTTGTTGTCGGAGTTGTAGTCAGTCGACTTCAAGCCTTCGAAGATAAGCAAAGGCTCATCCCACTTCTCATCAGAGAGGACAACAGTTCCATTGGTGCCATCAGCCCACTTCTCTTTGATCTCAGCGTAACCCTGGAGCTTAGAGCCGACTTCAGTTGGCAACTTAGTGGAGACGTAGATGCGTTCGATGTACTTGGGAACGGTGATCTTCTCGACACCCTCAGCGGCCAGGAGAACGTGGAAGATACCATCCAGGGTAGCAGGGTGGATAACGTAGGAAGACTCCACATGGGCAGGCATCCAAGATTGTGTGTCGGGGACCTGGAGAGTGGCAACAACAGCATTACCAGCTGTGTGCGACTCTTTGAGGGTCTTGAATGTTTCACCCCAGCGCATACCAAGCTTCTCAAATTTGGCGTAGAATTCATCACCAGTGTGGGGAGTTAGTTGGGAGTCCTTGATGCGAGCATACTCGCTCTTGTAGATTTCGCTGTTGGCGGCCTGTTCATCGGCAAAGCTAGATGCGTGGTTGTCAGCAGCATACTTCAGCGAGACGAGACCAGTACTGTGCTGGGTCCACGTGCCATCCCGAGTACGGCTAGAAATAGAGAATTCCTTCCAGTATGTTGTTAGAGATCGCGAAGCCAAGCGCCAGTTGCGGAGCTGGAGCTTTGTCTCGACAGGCTGGTCCTCGTTGTCAGTCAGGATGATCGGTGCACCAGGAAAGACATCTCGGAACTGGACACCCTCAACGACCTTGCCAGGCTCGGCAATCTGGCGCATGGCCTCCACAACCATGGTCAGGAAACCTGCAGCGGAGAATAGGAAAATGTCCTGCACACCGTGGTGACGAGCCCACGGAATCTCGGAGGTGCGCAGGTAGTTGCGCCAGGCAGGCTCGGCATCGCCAGAGAAGATATCACGTGAACCCAAAATATCATGCTTAGGTTCGCTTCGGTTCTTGTAAGCATAGGACAGAGCGGTTTCGTACCAGAATCGAGTGTTGTGGTTCCAGGAGAAAGGAGGGAGGTCAACAAGGAAGCTTGGGGACTCCTGCTTAGAGTCGAGGTGGTTGGCCTTGCTAACATCAATAGGCAGTCCCTTCTGGAAGAGGATACCAACACCCTTGAGCGTAGTTCGGATGGCGTCCTCCTTACGGGTGAGCAAGCTGAACAGGTTCATCTCTGAGGGTTGCGTCGGCAAAGCCTTGATGATCTGCTTGACAGGACCCTGGAGGGCGCCATGAGGACCCACTTCCATCAGGACAACGGGCTTGCCAGAGACAGTGGGCTCGCTCAGGATACCAGACAACGCAGGACTGAAACGGACACAGTTTACCATGTTGTCCACCCAATATTGAGGGTTGAGAAGGCCGGCATCGTCAATTTCTTGGCCAGTAACAGAAGAAAACATGCGGGTAGACGTAGCTTCGCCACCTGTGATACCATTCATGGACTCATAGTAAGGCTCAGCCAATTTCCTCATGAAAGGACTGTGGTAAGGGGTCTTGACAAGCAGCTTCCTAGCCCAGGCTTGGCTGCCAATGATGTTGAGTACCTCATCGATACCCTCCACACTACCGGAGAGGGTCACACTTTCGGGGCTGTTAACGCAAGCAATGACGGGCTTGGGGTCGGAAGTGCACTGGTCGATGAAAGGCTGTACACCCTCCTCTCCGAGAGCAACGGCCAACATAGCACCAGTAATGTTAAGGCTTGCTGATAGACGACCACGGTGGTAGGCAACGGTCCAAGCAGCCTGGCGAGAAAGTGCACCCTTAGCATATGCGGCACCAATTTCTCCACTGGAGTGGCCAACTGTGAAGTCAGGAGAGGCGCCCCACTCCTTCAACAAGTCGACTAGACCAACTTGTACAGCAGTACAAGCCGGCTGACTGATCTGGGGTTCGTTGACTCGTGAATCGGCCTGGCTCTTTCCGAGCTCCTCGACTAGATCCCATTCACAACCAAGAGATTTGAGGTGAGCAGCAGCTTCCTCAATACGAGTCCGGTAGGTGCGGTAAGCCATCAGTTCTCGGCCCATACCGAACCATTGAGCACCCTGACCAGTGAAGATCCATACCGAGGCAAGGTTGTCCGAGGGGCGCAGGTGCTTAGCAGGGGTGTCAAGTTCCTTGATGGCCTCCTCGAGGTCCGAAGCAACAACGAATGAGGCCCAGGGGTGTCGGGTTCGGCGTGCTGCTAGGGTATAAGCCAGGCGCTTAAGGTGAGTGGGAGCTTCGGTAGCGAGAACGTTTCCTTCTTTGAGGTAGGCCTGTAGGTCCTTGGCGGTTCTAGCAATGCCGTTCTGTTCATGATGAGACCAGGCAAGAAGCTGAGGGGTAGAAGAAATAACTCCTAGGTCCTCCACGCTGCCAACCTCCGACGCTGGTGTGGTCGTGCCTTCGGTACTGACAGCTTCAGAGTTCATGACACTAGTGGCGAAAGCTGAGGAAGCCATGGAGGTAGGGATTTCGACCTCGGGGGTGAGAATCGCCGGTCGAGGGACAACAGGGGTAGTGTTGTGGCGCCCGATGAGGCCACGGCTACTAAGATAATGGTAAGCATCATCAATGATACAATGAGCGTTAGTACCACCGTATCCGAACGAGTTGATACTGGCACGTCGTAGGCCATCAGTTGGCCAGGGCAGAAGCTCAGTGGGAACGGAAAGGTTCCATTCTTTTAGCAAGATCTTTGGGTTGGCTCTCTCGAACCAGATGTTAGGAGGGATTTGACCCTTCTCGAGAGCATAGATCGCTTTCGTAAGGCCGGCAATACCAGCACCAGCTTCCAAGTGGCCGATGTTGGACTTGACGGATCCAACGTAGAGCGGGGACTCGGGAGAGTGATACTTGCTGAAGACCTTAGAAATAGCAGAAGTCTCCAGCGGGTCACCGGCTGGTGTACCGGGGCCGTGAGCCTCGAAATAGGTAGTGTTCTCAGGCGTCAAGTTCGCGTTAATGTACGCAGCTCGGATCAAGTCTTCCTGCGATTCAGCAGAAGGCAGGTTGATACCGGGAGTTCGACCGTCGTGGGTCACCGAGGTTCCTCGAACAACCGCACGAATGCAGTCACCATCTCGCAGGGCATCGACCAAAGACTTGACGACAACGAATGAAACACCTTCGCCACGTGAGTAACCGTTAGCCTTGTGATCGAAAGACTGCGACTTGCCATCCTTGGACAAGAATGACAAGGTGCTAAGATGGTTGGAAGTATGGGGTGCCAAAATCAAGTTAGTGGCACCGACGAGAGCCTATATCAACGTCAACATCAAGCCATCTAGGTATTCCGTGGTTTCTCTTAGCATACCATATTTGACTCTCCAGTGCGAATGCTCTGCATAGCTAAATGCAAGCAAACAAGGGACGATGAGCAAGCGGTATCAAGCGTCAAGCTAGGTCCCTTCAGGTCGAAGTACCAGGAAATTCGGTTGGACACCATGGCAGTACCCATCGAACCGTTGGCTTCGTAACGACTAGGCAATCATTAGTCGAGCTCTCAAGTCACAAATCACAGGGGACACCTACGGGTAATCGTCTGGATCAATGGCGCGAATTGCGGCATAATCTCTAACGCACGTTCCCAGGTAGCATCCCATCTTGGCTTGGGCAACGTCGGCCATTGTCAGGCCAGCTAGACATTCTTCGTCAATCACCTAGATCCACCAGACCCCGATAGAAGAGACTCAAGCATACCTGATTCCAAGGCCTCGTATGAGAGTTCAAGAGCAAGTCTCTGCTGGGGGTCCATAGCATGAGCCTCCTGGGCAGAGATCTTGAAAAAAGGAGCATCGAATAGGCCAACATCAGACGAAATGAAGTGGCCCTTTCGAGTACTCGTTGTACCCTGGTGCTCGGCACTAGGGTGGTAGAATCCATCAATGTTGTAACGGTCCTTTGGTACGTCGGTCAACGCACTCCTTGCCTGGGAGACCATATCCCAAAGTTTGTCTGGGGTCGTCGCATCTCCAGGGAATCTGCCCGAAACACCAACGATAGCGATGGGCATGGGACCATCCTTGGCAAGGATAGTCTCGATTTCTTGTTGTGATAGCGCCATTTTGACTCCGAGTATCTTGGGATGAGCAGGTGTATCAATGGGCAAATGTGGGGATAAAGGGGTATATACACAACACTAACAACAACACCAACAACACAGGTCGTCAAAGAATGTGCAAGTTGAATAACAGGCTTGAGGAAGAAGAGGGCTTGTTGGAACCCTCGTGTGTTGAACAAATGGATTCTATAGCTCTATAGTAAAACGGAGGACGTACCCCGGATTCGTAAAATCGTGACGACCACAAAAAGAAAGGGAGTTGAGGAAACAATGCTGTCCTGAGTTCGAGGGCCCGGCGTCGTCGAGTTATACTTATAGATCCCGCACATCGTTACCACAGGGAAATGTGTCCCCACGTTCAAGCCTGGATTCCCGCGTGGTGAGTAGTACCCGTAAGTCACTCAGTCACTCAGTCATCTCACGATAAGGCGGAGACCGCGAGAGACAGTGGCGTGTACAAGGAGCTTGGGTTACGGCCATTGTGCCGGGCTTACGGTACCGTCCCGCTGTATGAGTGAGGATACAAGCATACATGGCCCCAGGGTACGGAGGTACGACGTCGTGCCAAGGTGTATCGAAACAAACAAGGGCTGTGTCCGAACTAATGCTGCCGTAGAGCAATAGGTACGCTACCCATGGACCATATCAGCATACTAAGTCGGTACCTCATCAGATGAGGGTGTACAAAGTACACTACAGTACGCACCAGCTGCAGGCACATATCGACAAAGCTTACATGGAAAGGGACGACGACGAATTAACAGTCAGCCTTGACAGGTTCAGGCCTGTCTGTCTAGCCAGTGGGACCGAGCCAGCCCCTGGACGCATTCGCATCCTCGGATTCTGCTTAGATCTTCACTGATACGCCATGCGGTATAGCAGCACGCCTAGTCGGCACCACTCAGGCGGACGTTGCAACTGTGGGATGAGGGAGTGGATAGTCGTGGGTACGCGAGCGTCGTCGCAGTTCTAGTATGGTAGTAGCGTCGTATGTAGGCAGTACTAAGGAGGAGGTATGAGCAGATTAGGCACAGTCTCTGCCTGGGTAGAATACGCCCATGTAGGTGCAGTCGTAGCGCAGAGGATAAGGTAACGTAGAGGCATGTGAAGTGAGGCAGAAGTGGTTAGTGTAGAAGACGTTGCGCGCCAATCTACGGAGGATGAGGAACGAGAGAGATGTAGGACTGCGGCGTGAAGCTAGGTACACTGACCCTGGGAGGTACAACCGGCGCCTATCGTCGCAACCTGTCCTGCTGCTGGAGCGATTTTAGCTGACCGCGATTGGGGACCATCATTGGCTCAGTTAGTGAACGCAAACGGGGCTCATTGGCCCATTGGGGAGCCACTAACGCTGTGTCAAGTACCGAGGTACAACCCAAGGCTTGGCTTCCCGCGTTTGCAAGGAACAGGAACTACGCTTCCATCGTCTACCTTACTGGCCCTCCCAGTACTGCTAGTACGTAGTATACACCCTTCAATTATCCATACCTACCTAGATATTCTTCTACATATACCTCGATATACCTACTTACATACTATGTACAAGCATAAGCCCGGTAGGAGAGGTACGATGCCCTGCCCTACCCTGCCATGCCATGCCATGCCGTGCCGTACCATACTACAAACATACAGCGCTATAATATGACTTGCTTTGCTTACTTACATGAAATGATCGTAGCGGTGGATCTGGACCGGTACACTAAACGCCCATCGTCATCGAACTTTCGCGGCTGCTGTGCTTCCCAGACATTCCAAGCGTCAAAAATAGAACAACCCGCTTGCCCTGCTAGCTGCCGTACAGTGTACCTAGTCGAACGAAGGACGATCGTTCTCACGCCCTTGCCCGTCGAAGAACGACTCTTCACTCTATCGCGTCATTTTACATGCCTCGTACTTACTGTACTGCTCTGCTACGTTGGTCCGGTCTTTGGTCCGCTGGCCGAGCAGGGCGAGGAGGAATATGCTTAAAACCTTAAATGGCTGTGCCGCATGGCTGCGGATATATCGCCACCCTCCTGCCGTCGACCCACGGCCTAGCTTGCCCTCGGCACGAGCGTAGGCAAGAGTCAGACATGCGGTCACTCGGTCAAAACCCCCCGACCCCTCCCCCAACCGCCTTCGACGGGTCTGTACGGGCAAGCAAGACAGCGGTCCTTGCAAGTCTGGAATCGCCGTGGAAAGTCAGGGTCCCCAACCTGCATCTCGAGCCACAGAGCACAGGCTCAAGCGCCGCCGCCTGTTCCCAGTCCTTCGGCTTTTAAACATGCCAGCGCACTTGTTTGCGATTAGGTACCTAGTGTAGAGTCTGTGTAGAGCCTGTGTCGAAATAAGCCGGCCCGAACTAACCGGGGGTCTCTACACATGCTCTAGCACGAAACCCGTTAGACGCGCCGAGTCCAACCTCGTGTCAACCGGCACATGCTAGTGTTAATGGCTACAGTAATCAGTTAGATTATATAAGATCACTCATCAGCCCCCCTCCATTGTCGTGGATGTCAATTCCCGAGGCTCTTGCTTGCTTCCGCGCACGGCTGTTCAGCTTTACGTTGGCAATTCGACTTGCGCGTCCAATCCGGCATCGGATTCTTCCTGTCGGTTCAGCAGCATCGCGAACATGGTGAGATATACAATAAGAATTGCTCGGGTCTGATCGGCATACCTCTTCCATTCTAAAGCTGCCCATGGTAGGCTATGTAGTGTAGTTGGTTGATGTGCAGAGTGGGGGAGGGGTTATTGTCGTTCCCTCAATCGCCACTTGAGAACTTTGTTGTTGCTGGCCTCTATCCGGGGATTCTTAACATGTAAGGTGTCGGTATGCACCATTGGCGCCAAAGGAAGACATGGGTTACATTGCATACGTAGCATTACGACCACGTAGTAATATGGGCTCTTTAGTTCCTGCGATAACTCCGCTTCATGTGGGCTTTGTAGAGTGGATAGGTGCCTCTTCAAAGTCCTTAATCAAGGCCACTATCGAGCCGTCTGGGTACTGTGATGATTATCCTGAATCTCTGGTAAGTACATAAGTAGTACCCCTAAGCAACAGCTGCAGGCCTTTCGCGGCGATTCGCCTTGATGAAACAAAGCCTTTCTCAGCATGGAGGCGGTCTGACCTAATTGTTAATTTTTCCTCTAGACGGCCGCCACCAAAAGCGAAACATGAGAAACCAACAACAGTATCATAGCTGCAGCTCACCCCATTACCATGCATTGCAGTTCCAACAATCCGGGCATATCTCGAGGAGAACGCGTCGGGATAGGCTACTTTTCGGCTCCATGATAAATGCTATATGTCCTATATCCAATGCTACTTCACATGGATATCTAAATTGGGCCCTGTGGAATACTAGCCGGCCCGCCTATCTTCTGGGCATTCCCGTAGTCCTTGAACAAGTGAAGAGCACATATTAGTGATCACTATCATCAAGTTGCCTACATGCTAGCGCATGGTCCAAGAACGCAGCGTGTTGCCGTTAGTACATCGTCCTTAGCTTTTATCTAATCTCCCAGCATTGGAACCGATGCGATATAGTCGCTTTTACTAGCAATGGGTTTGCTGATCCCCGAGTTCTGCACCGAGAGATGGCTCGGATGGGGTTCTGCGTTGTTGAAACTAACGCGACTTAGGTTCATTTCCCGTAGTAGCGATAAGATCAGCATTGGGATCACGAATCTTGACTCGTGATACACCACACGTGTAGCCTACAGTAGTAGGGTTTTTTCAATTAGACTTATTGTTCCTTTGGCGTGTACTCACCTCGTCTTGCACCACTAGCGTATCCTTCGATATGAAAGACAATCAGATGTCAGGACGAGTCCAACGACTAACGTGTTCCAACAATAGAACCGGCTTGCAAGCGACCTACAGTCCGAACTAGCGCTACCGACTATCACAGGATTGGCGGGGATTGGCTTGGCCGGCGAGTCCTTACTTACTTACATCTACTTAAGGATTTTGAGTTGCCGGCCGGCCAGATTTTCCTCGCTACTGTTGTACCTGTTATACATGTACTACCGGTACTCCGTAAGTATGTAGGTCTGGGTTCTGATATGGGGGAGCGAAGGAAACCCAGCCTCAGCTAAGACAACTGCCGTTAGTCTGCCAAGATTACTTACCATATCCTTCCTTAACTGACGCCTCTTATAAGCAGGCACTTGAAGCCACTGGCGGTCAGCTGATCAGATGTAACCCCTCGCGTTATCTCCGCTGATGCTGTTCGTGGAAACTCGACGATGCCCCTCTATCGAGTGTAGCACTCCTGCGCGTGGCAGCATCGGGACCGGTTTAGCAAACACTGGGAGCTCGTTATCTCGCCTAGCACCATTTTTGTCACAGGGCAAATCATACCATGCGTACGTATCGACCAGAGGTAGACTGCTACAAATGCCGACTCAACGACACACAGCCCTCGACTTTCGAGACTAAACTACGACAACGTATATTTGCCCAGCGGGATACATGCTGGGTCTTGCGAATGGGTACGCCTGAGTGAGGCAAGCAACAGGACAGTACCGAGTGGGTGGATGGAGAACCACATTCATGCCTCCGACGAAAATAAAGTTATCCACGGCCAAGGCGATAGAGGCGCTTGGAACTATGGCCTAGAACATGCAAAGACGTGCTCACGTAATGTCTCGAGGTTACCGCCGAGCACTTCTAACTCCACGCCTCGAAGCTCCATTTCCGTAGGCTAGGGGCTGCCACGTGCTATGCTAAATACTATTGGTGGACCCGGCACCAGCTTAAGTAGAGACGTTGAGGCTATCCAGCGGTGGTCAACACGTGCGCAAGGATAGAAATATTGCAGGTGTGGCGCTTGCTCGCCTACACAAACGGGTTTTGACACGCTTCTATGTCGCAGAGGGAGATGCAGCAGTGTACAGATCGACTGCAAGGTTACACGCCACGATCTGCCTTGTGTCGTGATTATGCGCATATGCTGGCCCATGGCATGGCCCACGGTGTAACACGGCATGCAGTAAAGTCCAAACATCAGTGTGCTTCCTTGGGAGTGCCGCCAAGGCCCCTGCCTGCTCAGAATAGCTGGCTCAACGTTTACTCTGGCTTTAAGCCATTGTCCTCAATTCCAGTAATCTTTCAAGCCGTCTTACCAAAATATATCCGTAGTGTAACAGCTTAACACAAACAACGCTCTATTTGTTTGATTGTTACAAGTTTGTGTTGCAATAGGTATCACCAGTTTAGACACTAGGGTCTTTTGCTGTTCGTGTCTCATGACTCAAACGTAAGCTTCTTTCCAGGAAATTGACTGGTCAATATACATCAGTATAACAAGAGGTACTATCGTGGGTTCATTTTGTTGGTACATAGACAATCTGTTTCTTTTCTGTCGTCCTAACCGACTTCCTAACCAGGTTACTGAACGACATTACTGTCGCATTTTGTCAAAATGACGCCGATAAATATACAAAGTCTAACAGTTAATATTATATTGTCCACCTGGGTGCGATAATTATGCATTGGGCTTCCTTCTTCAGGATAGGCCTTCTCTGATTATTTGTCTAGGAGGCTGAGAGAATGACGGATCATGCCCGCTCTTAGATCTAAGAGAAATCATAAACGAGTCTACACTACTTTTCCATGAAGTTACCTGTGCATAGCGGTCCGTGTGAGTTCTATTTATTTTTAAAAACTAGGCTGTAGAATAAACGATCCACCTAAATCCCGGAGTTGCAAATGTATGCTTACACTTATAAGTGGCACGTTTTACACCTGATCCTTAAACTCATGTCACCAGAAGTGGTTATTTCGAGTACCAAGTTCAATACTATGGAACTGGTCATAGGAGTTAATAGCCAGCACTGAAATTGAAAGGGTATTCGAAATCTAGTGCTTAACAGGAGGCACGTGTTACCAAAATCTAGCCAATGGATTCTTACACTTCGCTCCTTCACCTACATAATGTAACACATAATGTAACGCATAGTACGTCATCAAATTCTCTGACGCCGTGGCTTAAGATTAGTAAGAACTTTATGAGGGCTTTCAAGATATAGCCGAAAGAGCTTCGTTGGTGTAGTCAATTTCTGGCTTACTCCAATAAGAATGCTTATAGCACTGCCTTTCCAAGACCTTAAGTCCTAAGGCTGAAGCCGGGGAGGTAAAGCCGCTTCTACTACCGAGTGCCTGCATGTTTGTCCAACAGAAAAGGCAACAGGCCAAAAAGTTACATGAGACTGACGCTATGTTAGAGACAAACCGCTTGAGGCTGAAAAAGGGGGCGAATGCAATGCCATAATTGTCTCAAAAGCCGGCAATGCTGCGGCAAATGTTGGCGGCAAACCACCTAAGCTACGGCATAAGTAGGTATTATGTGAATTGTATGTTGCCTGGCATCTTCGAGCTTCGCGTGGTCTGAATATACTTACTTTACATAATAATCTGTAGAGGATATTGAGATGTACAGTGTGTTACAGTATATGGCATATTAAGACATACTGTATTAGTTATCTGCCTGTCTTAACGCTCTCGGACCTGGACGATCCCCCAACTCTGCCCCAGCAAGTTACTTGGGTAGCCGCAAAAGGCTAGTGGGGTTGTGCTTGGACGCACTGTAGCATGCTGATAATAATATCTTCCGTCTTGCATCACAGCGACTTGTATCATCCATTTCTTGAGATTGTCCAGGTATCTACTCTCGCCATATCAATGCTTACATGTACCTCTTAGATAGGTGCTCAGACCTATTTGGACGGCTTAATCGACGGCGAAATCATGTTTCCAAAGGCCGATGGGTATGATCCTACCGACGCCGCGATCCTACGTTTAGATATTCCCGGGGAAGCGAGAATAAGAGCCGAGTGGCAGCCCGGGGTCTCCCATTCGTGGTTTGGACAGGTGTCGTCAAGAGTTCGGCCCGGGCTCAGCTCCTGAACACGATCGATGAGATGGACTACCTAAGTAACCAAGCACGTGTAGAGAGAGTGTACAGTGTTGAGAGCTGAATTAGAGGCACGCGTACGTACATGCCTATGTGTGTACACTAAGTACCCAGGCTGGTTAGACGGGTTGGCGTGCTGACTGTTGCGCGTCTGTAACCTGTCTGCGTGCACACCGCTTCACATCAGACTGGAAAACATACTGTTGGTTGCTCTCGTCGCCGAGCATGCGGTTGGATCCCGTCTAAGCGTGGCTACTGCACAGCCTCGAAATGCCAGCCGGTACTTTGGCGTGGTAGGTCAGAGTGCATCACCACTCCCAACCTACCGTCATCCTACCTACCGTGCCTCTCTACCTGCACTGCTACCGTCCTGCTCTTGCATCAAGCCATCATCCTCCCGTATGTACACTATATTTATGCTTATTCTGACTGACATAGCTACGCTGACTTAGTTTGTGAACTTGCGTCACCACCCTCGACTTTCTGGCTGAGTAAGATAATGAATGGACTAAAGACTCATCGTTCCTTTGCGGTAAGCCATCGAGCACCACCATCGAGACGCCCGTCATTGACTGAGTAAATATGTGAATGAATGAATGGACGAATGAATTATATACTGTTCTGCATGAGGTCCTTCATTGGGCATGTCGGTCGTCTTGCCCCGACAGCTGCCTCTTCCGTCGGCGTGCGTTGGGATGAATATCGAACGTCCCTCTAGATCCGGGGTCGCCGCAAGTTTAAGCATAAGTTATCACGGAGGGCCCAGCCCCGGGAGTGCCCCAGTCTCTAGAGCTTACCTGCTCGAGCGATCGCCCCAAAATATTGAAGATTCGAAGCTAGGACTTTAAAGTTCCCTGGCTATACGACCGGCGCAGTCACTTGCATACCAAGGAGCGCTCCACGAGATTAGCGGACCGGCCATCTCCCGCTGGGTCTTCGCTGGGAACGATGCACGGCCATCTCGTATGTATCGACAGTAGCTGAAAAGATAGGGCATTGACCTTCGTCCGAAGATCCGGTTGCGACGGTAATACTACTACTAAGTAAGTAAAGTATAATGTACTTATCTTACTAGGCCAGTGATGCCGCACAGTCCAGACAACTATCGTGAAACAGAGGAGCCCGGATGTATCCCAGACCTGATCAGGAAGGTCCGTGTGTGCATGTGGACGGCTTCCCGAGTGAATCTAGGTTTACATAACTGCATCGCCCGATCTGATTCTTGCGGTATCAGGGAGCTTTAAGAGTTCGTTGACAGCGTACATCTTCTGCCCCTTGACGTCGGCCGAAGACACGCAACACGCATTCTATCTCCGCTGGTTCCTAACGCCAGTGCAGTATACTTGAAAAGACTTGAGTTAGGTCGAATATCTAATTATGAGCCTTTGGCTCAATCTTAAAGTCATGCATTGTGCAGTATCCTTTCATCTCTGCTTCATAGGAATAGAATAAGCTTAAAGGCTTCCCTCATGCTGAGTGATGTTCATGATCTTGTGCTAGGGCAGCAAGATTTGCTTAAGTTGAATTGACTTGACTTCTCAATGCCCTCTCATCTCTCAGCTTGTCTAATTCATGCTTTATTTCAGCCTGCAAAAGCCCAGATGCAATCATTGGAGAAGTATAATAGAAATTAGGGCTTACCGGAAATAATATAGCACCTACAGAGCGGGATTCCTAAGGATGACTCAGGCGGTGAACAAAGATACCTACCGTTAGCAAGGGCAAGGCTTACTATTGACCATACCAAACTAACTGCCTCCTTTATTGGATAAGCGGCGTACGAGCATTAAGGAGGCCAGTAGAGCTGCAGCTGAACTCCCGTCTGGCGTTATGTCCAAGCATCCTTTATCCTTTATCACAGTCACAACTTGTTTAGCCACCCGTTGCGTCGCTCGTTCCAGAAATCTGCCTGTAGCAGAAAGGAATGTGCTAAGATGTACGCTCCCACAAAAAGGTGCCGAATATCCAACACATACCGACTAGTTGGTTCATCGTACTTGCGAAATTCTCTGGGACGTAGAAGATCATACGCTGGAAAAGGAAGCATTAGGCCCCCTATGAACGAAACAATATGCTTTTTACTACAGTTTAAACTATAATAAACTCCCGGCTGAAGAAAATGCATCACACAGCCTTGGTATTCAGCGGATTTTAGGTCTGGTAGTAAAGGTTCACGGTTAATGAAAGACAATACATCGGTATGTAGGCATTAGTCCAGCTATTTTCCCTATGGGTAATAAGCCACGGCTGTTGTGACCTCCCTGGGGCCAATAAGTTTAACATTTTCACTTTAGAGAGATGTGGTTCAATAGAAATAGCTTTCCATATCCAGGAAACCTTGAGTTTGGGAGACAAGACCAGGGAGAGGGGAAGGGGGGAAGGGTGAAAGTTGCTTTGTCTTCTGTGCTCCCGGCTTGGTATCGGCACACTACTCAAAGCATTAATATATTATATTGACAATACTGACATATAATTCAATCAAAGTGATGATATTCCCACCTAACACAACAAGCGATAAATCCTTGAATTTCCATATATGAACAACCCATCTAGTGATTGTCCCGAGGTGACGGGTACGTCTCGGCCACCCGCTGGAACTCCGGCGCCCGCTTAAGCACCATCCCGCCGCTCAGTCCACCAACTTCTCTCCGGAAGATATCCTGCCAGGGCGTATGACTCGGTGGGCCGTGGTACCCACCCCGGGCCTCAAGCTCCTTTCTCCTTGTCACGAACTCCTCATCCGGAATCAAAATGTCAACACGGCGTTTATTCAGATCCACACGGACGACATCCCCGTTCCTGAGCAGCGCCAGGTTTCCGCCATCAGCCGCCTCGGGCGTCGCGTTCAGAATGGAAGGAGACCCCGACGTCCCGCTCTGACGACCGTCCCCGATGCACGGGAGGTCTGTTATACCTCGCTTTATCAGATGGCCGGGCGCACGCATATTCACGACTTCGGCAGCGCCGGGATATCCTAGGGGTCCGACGCCGCGCATGATGAGGATCGTCCGCTCGTCTATGGGGGCCTGGTCGACGTTCTCGTGGTAGTCCTCCGGCCCGTCGAAGACGGCCACTTTGCCCTCGAACGCGTTTGGATCCTCCGGGTTCTCGAGGTATGCCTCCCGGAACGCCGGGGAGATGACTGATGTTTTCATGATCGCGCTGTCGAAGAGTGTGCCCTTCAAGTGGACAAAGCCCGCATTTTCCTTCAGCGGTTCTGAGAATGGGCGGATCGTGTTCTTGTCCCAGGTCCTCTGTCCCTGCGCGTTTTCGCCGATGCTGCGTCCATTTGCTGTTACGGCGTCGGGGTGCGGCAGTGCATTGGCCTCTAAAAGCTCCGCGAGGATGGCAGGTAGGCCGCCTGCACGGTAGTAATCTTCTCCCAGCATGTCGCCGGCCGGCATCATGTTGAGCAGAAGAGGGACCTTGAAGCCAATGCGATCCCAGTCATCTAAGTCAAGTGGAACGCCAATGTGTTTCGCGATGGCATTCAAGTGGATTGGCGCATTCGTGCTCCCTCCTATAGCCGTGTTCACCACAATGGCGTTCTCAAAGGCTTCGCGGGTCATGATTTTGCTTGGTCTTAGGTCCTCGCGAACCATGTCGACGATGCGTTCACCGGTTTTGTAGGCCATCTGCGCGCGCTCGCGATATGGAGCTGGGATAGCGGCGGCTCCAGGAAGAGCCATGCCTAATGCTTCAGCTAGCGCATTCATTGTAGATGCCGTGCCCATAGTATTGCAATGGCCTACAGACGGCGTGCCTGCCGCCACCACTGAAGCAAGAAGGATCAGCATCATCAATTTGAGCACGATTGGGGGTGTTTCGCGGCGGGAAGTAACGGGTTGGTAGAAAGTGAACTGTCAAAAGAAGATATTCTTGAAATAATGGCCGCAAAGGACCATGAAAGCAGATTACTTACTATCTGTAACTTGGTCATCATTAATAAGTCCTGCGGCATGCATTTCCCGGGCCTGCCAGACGACAGTACCAGAACCCATTCTCTCTCCTCTTGTCCAACCATTCAGCATTGGGCCAACGTTGAGGCAGATAGCCGGGATATTCATAGTTGCAGCGGCCATGAGGCACGCCGGCGTTGTCTTGTCACATCCTGTGAGCAGCACCACGCCGTCGAACGGATATGCGTATAGAAGCTCGACTAAAGAAAGATATGCGAGGTTACGGTCGAGCGTGGCCGTAGGTCTTCTCGAGGTCTCTTGAATTGGATGTGTGGGGAACTCGAAGGCGATACCTCCGGCGGATCGGATACCCTCACGCACTCTCTTTGCTAGTACCTGATGATGTCTATTACAAGGCGCTATATCTGAACCAGACTGTGCGATACCGATGATCGGTTTCCCTGACAATAGCTCCTCCTTCGTCATGCCGTAGTTAAGGTACCGCTCAATATATAGCGTTTGCATCGAGCGATCATCAGGACGGTCAAACCAGGCCGCCGATCTTAGGCGGGCCGTTCCTGGGCTTGCATCTTTGGGCACGGTTTTCGAGCTGTCATTAAGTGTCTGCGCTGAGAGCTTCTCCTCCAGCTCCTTGACCAATGCTTGCAGCCTGTGCGTTTCTGCCTTATAGTCTTCGATATCCACTGGTGGCTTGCTGCTGCATGTTGCAGTGCAGTCGTTGCAATCTGAGTCACACGCCATGATGATGCAACTCCGGGTGTCGCGATATTGCCAGGAAAAAAGCAGGAACTTTCAGGACTGTCAGATCTATTAAAGTGATACCTGTATATTTAAAACTATAGCTATCCTCTCGGCTGATTTCATATGAAGTTCGTGTCCAAATGACCCGAAGAACTGGCCACTCTTCCTCTCACGAGACCGATTCCGCACTTGCCTAGCCCATTGTTCTCTAGTCGTGCAGTATCAATAAGTTATACAATCGTGGGGATTGGCTAGATAGCGTCAAATATCTGCTGCCTACGTCAAGATATCTGGGACCGGTTTTCGCTCACAAGTCTTGTGGTTGGGTACCATACTAATCTGTCGCTTCCTAATGGTCCAGTGCGGTTAAGGATTTCCGGCTACCCTCCCTAACTAAAATCATCGTGGAGCCGCTCACAGTTTCCGCACAGTCCTCAGACGGTGAGTCATCAGCGCGCCATCGGGCTGCATAAATTTGAGCCGATATATAATCATTTGTTGAGAAATGTTTCAGTATATGTGGTAGGCTGAGGCCACTTGCCTATGCATCGAAAATATATGATAACGTATGCTTTGGCTCAGGCTTACTTGCATCACGTTACACAGTTCAAATGTCGGTTAATGCTCGAAAAAGGGGTAAATCGTGCACTGGCAAGAAGCAGATGATTATACAGATTAAGTAGTTAGATATAATGGGTTTAAACTTTGATTGGCCCATCGTTTATTCACAAGGTTAGGAGCTCAATATGAAGATGTAATAACAGCCTATCAGAAGGAATCGCAGGATGATTCTGCGGGATGTGATGGATCTGCTCGTGTAACTTAACTTCATAACGCAATTGGTAATAGGAGAACGCACATACCAATGGTTTTAATAGAACTACATACGAGTACGAAACACAATTTCAACTAGGTTGCAATTTAGGGTGACTACTTTATATATAGTATGAGCTTCGGACTCTCTTTGCTCCTATCATAGTATACACCCGTATACGCGAGGCCCCTATTACTGCCTTAGTGGAAGTAAAATGCACTTATGAATCCATGACAGTGCATAAGAGAGATGACCATTCTAGGTTCTCATTCCATGCCGTAATGACGAAGTGGGCGACAGGAGTATGCAGTTTCATAATCAACTCATACCTGGAATTAGACGGTCATGTAGGCCGTGCAAACACCAAGGACAATTATTACTGGGGACTAGACCATCAAGTGTAATGCAACAAATTAGGTGACACGAACCCCCTCTTGCGTATGAAGGTCTTATGGCTTTCCCAACTAATACTAGGTTTCAAATCATTCTCATCACAAAAAAGCTAGCAACAATTAGAAAATAAGGAAGCGAGATGCGTATATGAAGAGCACATATTTTTATCGGTCGTGTCGATCAAAGCTTTAATTAACCTTGTGGTTAGCACCAGTCTAGTAAAGGGAGCTCTCGGTATCTCACAGACACAAGAACTTGAACTGTAAATCGAAGATATATTTAGGCATTGTGCACCACCCATATCAATCCATCAGGTTTTTTTTGTTGTAGGTGGTCCCCTTGCTGGCCTTTTACGACGTCCGGATCAAGGTATTCGAAGCTCGACGTGTGTTCCAGGACCCTGACTAGACAAAGGAAGGTCGATGTCCACGATCCACGGTGGATGCATAGGAAACTCCTCAGTTACACCCTCCATTGCGGCATTAACAAAGAGTGTATACGCTCCACGATCCTCATATCGGCAGCTCGCAGCACAATATCCTTGCCGTCTATGTTGTTCCATTCGATTCAGCTTGTCCACCCTCTTCTCTGGCGAGTCTGTTGTCATCTGCTTGATATTTCTTAACGTATCAATTGTTGTAGACGCCTCATTATCGATTGATGTGAAATGGGAAGGGGTCTCGGCAGTTGGCGATCTCCATGCGATGCGCCTAGCGCCCCATTCCTCATGAATGTGACCGAAACAATGTAGCCGAGGCCGCGCTCTCGCAATAGCCGCGAAAAGATTTGGACATCCAGCTCTTCCTTCACAAGTACGATCCATTATTCCTCGTGGTGGTCCATGTGTTATTACAATATCGGTATCTTGTTCGATGGTAAATCGGTGACCGGTATTAGGACGGTATTGAAAAGCACCTCCTCCCTGTGAAGGCGTAAATGGACTGGCGTAAACACTCAGATATGCACCGTTGTGTAGATTGAACTTATGAGTACCTTCGTCGAGAAAGGTAACCCCAGGCGTATCGTCAAAGAGTCGTCGTGCTGCACCAATATCTCCGTACTCTTTCCGAACCAGCTCTGGGTCAAGTGAATCTGTAGCTTCGAGTACCTTGCGCTCAAATGCTGGAGTATCCAGAGTAAAGTCGTGATTTCCAGCTATTACTAATGTGAGAGGTGCATTGAGTTCTTTTAGTAATTTGAGGGTGCTGTGGTATTCATATAATTTGGACTGGTCGGTCAGATCGCCACAGTGGATAACGACGTCCACTTTGTGCTCATTTCTGATATTGAATGCCTCCCCGTGAGTGTCGGAAATTAATAAAACTCGAGTTCTGACAGTCATCTTAGAGTTCCGTTCTCAACCGAATTGCTGTGGTACTGCATAATAGGGGGTGTGACCAGTGGCAAATGTCGTACGGAAAGAAAGTGAAGATGGGAACTGAGAATCTACAAGGAAGAACGATAGATTTATTTATGCGTTATTCTTCCTAACATTTCGCGAACTGACAAAGTTTAAATCGACATTTTGATGAACTAGCCGTACAAGAAAATAGAATGAACCTTAAGCTGGTACGCAACGGAACTTATTATCTCACCGGCATTGATTCGCAGTGATTTATCTCATTCAGACATACCAACAATATATATTACGTGTGTCTGGCTAGATCGCATGTTGTTTTCTAGTAAATATATATCGGAAGTGTAAGGACCAACATATTGGCAAGACTAAATGGCTTGGTAGACCTGGAGTGGCTGGTATGGATGAAGAGACTTCCTCAAATCGTATGTCTCATTGTCACCAAATCTAGACAGATTTTGGCCGCAGGAAAGAAGTCAAATCTAGTAAGTGATGAATCGCGACACAGCTAGCTTCGGACGAAGTGGCACGTTAATATGATGAAATGAATATGAAGCAAACAATGAACTCCGTTACTCTTTTATCTACCAGACCCAGTTAAACCAACTCGGCTACTGTTCTGTTATCTATCTGTACAAATCCTGTATCATGAGTACTAAAAGTTCATTATCATCCCTCATAACCTGTGCCTTTCGTGGCGAGCTCATCTATACAAAGCCAGAAGGAAAGCCATGTGTATGCAACCCTATAACCAGATGAAAAACCACTGGATAGCACCATACCTCTATCGCCTGATAATCACTGCTGTACAGTTTCTTCAAAGTAAACCATATATAGTAAAGCACAATCAAGAAGATAAACATCGTCCATCCACCCCTTCTTAATTAGATATTGCTGGCTTGTTGTATCCATTACCAACGCCATATTCCTGCATCATTTCTTCGTTATCATGAAAATTCGTATCTGCTGATTGACGGGTTTAAGGTGTTTGCATGACGATGTCGCGGATCGCCCATCGCCAGCTGGTTCGATCACGAATGACTTTGCCGGTCCACTTTTCGCACTTTCGTCGCCACCGGGCTTCTTCCTCATGCTGTCGTCTCACAAATTCGGGACCGACATCAAATTCTTCGCCGACTAGCCAGTCTTCTCGAACATCACTAACCCGGCCAGGACCACTATTCGTTGACACTTTGTCTTCAAGATCTGGGATATCTTTGAAGGGGTCCTCTTCTTCTATGGCAGCAAAGCCGGCCATGGGATCTTCTGACTCGAGTCCATTTGGTGTGCCGGTTTTAATTTCTAGCCAACACATGTTTTGGGGATCAAATACCATGTCACCCATTCGTCTGATTTCTTTCTTTGTGTTGATGTTGGTGATGAGGACCGGTCGGGGAGTTGCTGCGTCTCTATCACGGGCTACTGGCTGAGGTATAGAAGATGTTGACGGCGATGAAGCTGGTACATCAAATGCATTTAGTGCATTCTCGTTGCCTTCCCACCGGAAAGTTGCCGGGTTGTAAGTCATCCCATTAACGACTATATGAAACAATTAGCGGTTTTATTAAATGTCGCAATTCGGCGTGAAGCTTACCTTTAGAGTCCTTGGCTGAGCTTAGGTTGGAGATCAGGTGTGGTTTTAATTGAGGAGGCTTCCGGGACTTCTTAGACCGGCTGTGGCTTAGTGAAACGTGAGGGTTCAAATTTGTTCGAGCCGATAGTTGAGCGACTCTTTGCGAGGTCAGAGGAGCCAGTGGTCCTGTAGGTTGTGCCCGTTGTGCCAAGCTCGTTTCTCGGGCTATACGGCTGGCAGCCGTATCTCGAGCAAAGCGGGGCAGCGTGTCAACTCGACTGGGTGAATATGGAGAGACAGGACTAGGCGTATTGCGGTCGGGTAACACGTTCTGATAGATTTTGTTTCGGAAATTACTCTTGTTGCCACTAGCAATTGGTTGTTTGATAAATCGCGATTCCGCCTGAGCTGATGTTGGGAGGTCATCAAATGCATCCAATTCATGACCATCTCCGAAGTGGCGGGCTCGCCGCGGCTTGCTGATTTGTTGCCAGACAGGTTCTGGGGTTGACTTCTCGTTCTTGAATCGTCTCGGACTAGGAGATCGAAGCGCACTGCGCGAGAGCGCCCTAGACAACGGCCGGATCTCGGGGCCCTGATCGGAGTCATGGCGCCTAAATGAGCGGGAGCCCCTTGCGTTCACGTTGTGCGATTGAGATAAGGATGCACCAGCCGGCAGAAAAGGCGCCTGACTCTTCCTTGCCTGGGCTGCACTGCTCTCGTAAGCCGGGCGTTGTCGCTCTACTGGTGTCTTCGGCCGTAAAGATGATTGAGGTCGATATAGATCGGCACGGGAATCTCCGCGTGACGGAGGACGGTTGGACTGGATTGCCATGGGCTTGATAGGTGATTGGTTATGTCGCATAGCAGGTAGCGAGCGCTTTAAACGTAAGAGCTGTGCACTCGTGGTTGTTGGTTCTGTACGTAAAGCGCCCGTCGAAGCCTTTTGACTAAGCTCTGTTCTTCGTGGAGTAGGAGGAAAGCTAGACTGGGCTGAAGAGGGGGTGGTAGGTGTATGTATACTAGAGATTGAAGAATGAGCCGAATGTCCACTCAACCTGGACTGAGGCCTGCGAGGGGGCTTCTGTGGAATTGGGCCACCGCTTTCAGAGACGGGTTCGAGTGATGACTGCGTATGAGAACGTTCATGACCGACCATGGGCCGTGGAATCCGCGAACTGCCAGCATTGACCGGTTTATTTGTGAAAGTGATGGAAACTGCAGCCTTGGGTCGAGAAGGACTGGCAGCTCGTGCCTCCTTAACCCTAACATTGCGGTGCACAGTAGGTTTAGCGAAGCGGAAGAGGTTGCCTTCGCCAAAATCCAAGCCTGAAACTAAATCGTCTTCATCGTTGCTGATCAAGGAAGCACGATTTGCCAGGCTACGCCTGGGCGAGCTGATTTTTGGCGAAGCGCGCTTGGGAGAATACTGGACCGGCGAGGTGGACTTTGGTGAAGAAGGCCGCTTATTGTTTTGCTGGGATTTTGCGAGGTCTGCGCGTTGCGGAGATCGACTCTCTTTCCGTCTCTTCAATCGCTCACCCAAGTCAAGGGGCCCCATAGGTAAGACTAGCCCATCAAAGAATTCATCCTCACTCTCAGCAGTGAATGAGCTGGCAATGCTGGGGCTCATGGCCGATACTGATGAACTTCGATTAGAGAAAGCGTCTCGCCTTGTGCCACCAAAACGTGTCCCCAGACTACCTTCACCCCAATCGAAGTCGTCGTTGATGTTCAGAGACGGGGTTTTAGGTATGTCTCTCCTGCTAGAAAGCTTCAGCTTTCCATCTGAAGGTAGTTCGAGATCGTTTTCAAAATCGTCTTCCTCTGTCTCTTTACTCTTTGCCTTTGGCGGCGAAGGCGTAGGGGGTGTTATCAAAGAAATAGGTCTACCCCTAACCTGAGGTTTAGATGCCTTTATAGTAGGCACGCCATCCCCAAATATATCGTCATCATCATCATCCAAATCTCTGAACTTTTCTAGATTAATGGGTGCACCCAAGGACCGCTGAAGTTGTGGAGGTGAGATCTGAGCTACAGAAGGCAAGGAATTTTTCATCGGACTTAGAGTCGATGAACCGCTGACTTGGCGTAAAATTTCAGGAAATTTGTTTCCGTCTTGGGCCTTCAAACGGAGCGCTTGACCGGGTGCCGGAAGTTCTAGTTCATCGCCCCAATCTTCCTGAAATATTTTCTTGATCTTGCGCCCACCTAGTCGCTTAATAGTACCCCCCATAAGAGCCGAGGGCGGCACATTGGTGGGTATGGGAATACCGGCGTGAGTAGCGGCAGCTATGGCGTCCAGTGTAGATTTTTCATCGTCGCCGGGGAGATGTACTTGGCGTTCATCACCGGGGAGCGACTCGCGGTCGGACCGGAAGGAAGAGCGACTGTCGCGACGACGGCTGCTCGACGTGTTGCGTGTAGTGGTAGAGGTTGAATGACTTCTGAACGTGAGGTCTTCATCGTCTCCAATCATAAAATCATCGTCATCCCAGTTCTCAACTATCTCCTCAACTGGTTTGCGCGGCTTCAAGCGTAATGGTTCCATCTTGTCTATATTTGTACACGTGTTCAAGTTACAAAGGAGAAGAATTATGTGGTAAAAAGTATAACGAGCGAAAATGCGCCCTGGTAGCGCGTTGGAAAATTTCGATCTGTGTGGTTCGAGAACCAGCGATGCTTTCGCAAAGGGGGAAGCTCGCGTTGAAGTCTTCTATCCGCTCCCTTCCACAATTATCGACTTGATCCTGGTCGCATCCTCCCAGCCGCGATGAGAATTGATGGTTGACAAAATCAGCGGCAGTTGGTCGATTCGACACGAATAATGAGTTTCGGGGTTGGGGTGTTAGCGCAGCAGCGACGGTCTTCGCAAGGGCCGCGAGAGTGCGATATAAGAGGCGACGGTGATTGTCGACTCAATTCGCGTGTCGTCAATTTGGGTGGATAGCCAGATGACGTGGAATATGCGGACATCAATGCGCTCGAGGCTGTTGTGTGGTGGCGAAACGCGAAACAGGATGGGGTCGATCAGATCAGATCAGATCAGATCAGTCGTTGATTGCGGCCGCCACCAAGTTGCAGGATAAAATCACGAGACAGACTGTATGTACCTGTGTGTGTATATATCTACGAAGGTTGCTGTCTCTCGTGTATGCGAGCAAGGAAGTAGTAAGGAAAAGTTGTGTGTGTGTGTGTGTCAATGCAGCTGTGTGTGCTTGTGTATGTGTGCGAGCGAGTGGGAGAACACGATGAGGTTTGGTGGATGGGATTGAGTGGGTTGGGGGAGGGGGGGATCTGGATCAAGTGGTTTAGTGATTGGCAGAGAGGAGGCCGGGCTGGGTGTTGTCGGTGTGTAGCGTGCGCTGGACCGTGCTGTGTAGCGTGTTTGCGTAGCGTGCTGCCCCACTAAATGGCTGGGAAAACTTGCCCTTGCAGAGTGAGGTTGGGGATGGTCTGTGCACCAGCCTCAGCTACATCATACATGTACATGTACATGTGCATGCATGCGCATAAACCTGGGTACAACTTGAAGGTAGAGCTATCTGCTCAATGTGACTAGGCACTTGTTCACAGCTGTGAGATCTCCCTAAGTACAGCTCCGTCAGGTGACAGTCACAGAAGCCAGGCAAGGTCAAGGTTCCAACCTTCAAGCTGTTACCAATCAATCGCCGTGAATAAATACTGAAATATATAAAAATTTAAATAGCTTATGTGCTTGTTTGTATAAAGCTGCCCGTTTTCACAAAACTGGGTTTCTTGCAATTTAGGTTGGCAGCCTAAGTATGGGTGTTAATTCACTGTAGTTTCCAATGGCTGATAGTACGCCACTCATGTCTCGCTCATTGATCGAGCACGCGAGACATGCGCGTCGAAAAACGCGGGCTACCCCTCATCCTAACAGTGCGATTGCTGAACTTGGTCTCCGATAATAAAATCCTACGATAGCAAGGATAGTATGTCTTACATGGCGGCGGACAGTGTGCCGGAGATCGCGCAATATTCTATTCTAAGAATACTATGTACCTAGGTTACTACTATGATCGTGCGCTCGGAATTAGCCGTACATTGAATGCCTATTGTCTACTCAGTACTCAACATGATTAGGTACTATTACCTGGCTCAACAGTGCCGTGATGACCAATTGTAGTGTTGATGATAGGCAGCATCGCGTGGAGCCTATGGCTGCCTACCATTTATAAAATCATATAACACTCCGCTCCAGACAGGATGTACGGCTCCCACTAAGGAATCATCAATCTGCCAAGAGAAGAAAGATATATCGAAATCAAAAGTAAAAAGAAAGGATCGGTGAGTTTGTGTCCTACCTCCTAGCTGTCTGTAGAATACTCGCTGGTCTACGGTCATGGTTTGTCACATTCCTCCGCTGGAGGCTACAACAGGTAGCACTATCAGATGCCTAGACGGCCTACCTGGATGTACCTAGCTGTGCATCGGGGCGGAATGTCGGGGCTCTTACGCAAGGGTTCAGGCTGAACCTCAGCTTGGTCTCTGAGACGCCGCCCTATAACAGCCTTGTTATACCTACTACCTACCTACCTATGCACCTACCTACCTAGGTAGACCTAATGCAGGTCACTGACGGTCTCATATACAGTGCCTGGACACCCACTGTCAACTTCAAGAATTGGAATCTTGCTATCATTGAACAGAGGCGTCTCCTCACGTTTTCTTTTGTATGGGTAGGCAAACTGATATCGAAGCTCAGTTGGGAACAAAGCACTCGGCGCTACCACTTCCGACCAGCGCATGATCAATCGAAAGCATATACGAACCGCTCTCCATCAAATCGCCGGCATTGACTTCCAATATGGCAGAACTGCCTGTATTGCCTGTATTACGTTTCCCCGTATCGGGCCAGGAAAACGGGTCTTTCCTCGTCGAAGTAGCTTCCAATGGCTCACGGCCGCTTGACCTAAAACTCATTGGATCTGAGAGCACGGTGGTGTTCGTAGTCAAGTGTGAGTTCCAAGTTCATGGGCCTTGGGTCAAGCAAGTCACTGCCCGTGTGGTGTGCCGAGCCCAGATTGACGCGGCCGCACCGAAGACCCCAGCACGCGACATTCATGCAATTGCTACAGCTAGCTGGCACGAGGAGGCTAACTACCCCGTCTTTTTTTTTCAAATATAGTGCGACATAAAAAGATCATCGAATACAAGGCTGACCCTGGTCACTGCACGGACGAGGAATGGGAACAAATCCTGACGTCGACCTTTGTCGACCAGAAGCCTGTACCCGATGTAGAGATCAGAGCAGACGTCCAACCGGATGAGAATTCGGTGACTCTATCCTTCCGGAAGAATATCCAGGGTATAACGGTGTGTAGCCCAACCCTAGCATCGGGGCTTATTTCCATATATCTTATCACTAATACATGAAAAGCAACGTCTGGGGTCTATTAATTTGGTCGAGAATGATCGAACGGAGATCTCACCCTTCGACTGGTGCGTGTCGGCGATTGAATCTCGCGTCAAGGTGACAGAAGAGCTGGCAGCCGCAACAACCAAGATCGAGTCACTACAGCAATCCATTGACGAACTAAAAGCTCAGCTTGAGGATTTCATAACCACCAAAGAAGAAGATGAAAAAGAAATGCTTGAGAAGTTCCAGGACTTATTGAATGCGAAAAAGCTCAAGATTAGACAGCAATTACGCCTCCTCGCAGCAGCTAAGGTAGATCCCGAGAAACTTGGTAACATAGGAGGCGACGAGGGCCAGGATGTACACCGAAACGCAGGGCCTTCGCGCTCAGGTAAGAGGAAAGCCACCGTAAAGGAAGAGGAGGGTGAGAGTGACGACGGTTTCGAGAAAATGGATGTTGACAACGGAGCGACTGGCGACAGAACTGATAGCGAGTCTGAAGCCAGCACGGACCAGGATCAGCAGCTAAATACAGATAACGATGCAACAGAAAGTGATCCTGGCACTGATGATGAGCCACCAACTGCTGCTGAGGTCAAGCGAAAAGGGGCAGTAGCTGGCCGCATTACCAAACCAAAAGCACAGGGCAAGAAGCCGGCAACTCGTTCCAGCGAGACTACGAGGGTATCGAGGGCAAAACAAGCCGCTGATATGGACGAATCGGAAGATAATGACGAAATGCCTCCTCCTCGAGTTCTGCCATTTATGGCAGCCAAGAAAGCGGCGGCGCCACCACCGAAGCCTGTAGATGATGATGAGACGCCGTCCGACGATGATTCCGAGCTATGAGAGGCTGAGAACCGGGCCATTATACCTATATTATCGGGGCCATAGATTATGAATTGAATGAGACCATGCCTTGATGAATTATTTCTCGGCCAGCCTATTTACATCCCACCCCTCAACGTAGTAGGTATATACATGCCTAATAAAACACCCAGCACAGCCACTGTCACAATCCATATCAACATCATCGCGTATCGTCCGCCGCAAACCTCTTAGTCCAGTAGGCCCTATAATGTTTCTTTTTGCCCTCCTCGGAGATCCTCTCGATCTCCTTCGGCGTAAGCTTAAAGGCGGCTAATTTATTCATATACGCCTTCAGCCGCTGCTCGCTCGCGCTCGTAGTAATCGCCACAATGCCCTGGTCAATGCACCATCTCAGCGCGACCTCGCCCTCCTCGACGCCGTACTTCTTCGCCAGCTCGGCGTATATGTCGTCGCACGGGCCGGGCTTCGCCTTGGTGACGCCCGCCAGGGGTCCGTACGCCGCGACCGCGATGTTGTTCTCGCGGCAGAATGGTAGGAGCCCGTCCGCCACGTGCTGCAGGTACGGGTGGTATTCGATCTGGTTTAGCACGGGCGGTGTGCGCGCCGTCTGCAGGATCGTCTTGAGATCCGCCTTGGAGAAGTTGGACACCCCGATCGACCGCGCCCGCCCGGACGCTTGGATCGCCTCGAGCTCGGCCCAGACCTGCTGCAGATGCTCGGGCGAGGACGCGCCGAAGGGTGCGTGGATCAGGTACAGGTCTACGTACGAGAGGTCCAGGCGCACGAGGGATGCCGCGAAGGACCGGGATACGTCGCCGTGAATGCTCTGCAGCTTCGTTGTCACGAAAAGTTTGCTGCGATCTATGCCAGATTTCTTGATTGCTATGCCAAGCTCGGTCTCATTTTTGTAGGCTGGTTTGTGGTTAGCGCTGGGTTCTCTAGATATACTGTAGGATGACGCGATTGGTGAGCAAGGGGGTGATGTGTGAGAGATATGAGGCGCGTTGCGACTGAATCAGTGAACATGATGAGAACTCACATTCAGCACAGTCTAGATGAAAATATCCGTTTTGAATTGCCATTACAGCAAGTTGGGTTGTTTTCTCTGCCTCGTCGTGTGAACGAGCTGAGCCCAGACCGTAGGCCAACTGCATAACGGCGCATCGGTGGTTAGATAAGTTCGGCCGAAGATCTGATATGGCTAATGAAGCTTGTCACTCACGAGAGGGATCTCATGACCATCCCTCAGTTTCAGATTTGGAATATATCCTAGTTGTTTAGGACCAATCCCGGATGAGTCGGGGTTGAAAGCAGCTGTTATTGAATTCATTTTGGATGGGCTTATGTTGAGACGCGCAGCAGAGACACTGCCGTCAAGGAATAACAGTTTCTGCAACTATTCTGTACCGAGGCTGTTTTACAACTGTGCAATTAATGTAATGAATGTACATGAAATTATTCAACAAGACGTCAGCAGTAGTATTATATCCATGAGAAATTAATATTGGTTAAAAGCCGGAAATACGGAGAGGGGTTGTGTTCGGCACACGGCAGAGGGTTCGATGACGGCATCGGCTCGTCCCCACAACGCTTTACGCTGCCGAAGCTCATGAAGGGCTACATAACACAACACGTCAAAGATGACCTCAACAATACAAGATAGACATCTTACTGTAGCCGCTATGAGTCTAGCGAATGAAGCTGTTAAATCTTTCTATAGCTATAACTAGCGCCTATCTATTTGAAATTATAGAAGTGCTAATAGCAGTCCTCATAACAACCCACATAATAACCTTCATAACGGCCATCGTGACAGTGCTCAGAATAACCTTCATTATCGTTCTAACCAGAGGTGAAGGTGCTGAGCGTGCCCACCTTTCACACAAGCTTTCATCGAATAATGGGAACGGAAATAGTTTAGGTTTAAGATATGAGGGCTGTTACTGCGTCGCCGTGAATGATAAAATAGACTCTGCGACTGCCGCGTATCTGGGGTTGGAGCAGGAAGGCTTGCAACTTTTTTCCAGCCAGGGGGACTTTGACTCTTTGCAAAATTGCAACAACGTTGTCAAGGATGATTTCTTCAGATTGTGGCATCGTATTAGGGTCTACTCAATGCCCAAGCTTGCGGACTGATATCTTCAATATCATCTAAACATACGCACCAAGCAGTTCTGCCTCGTGGTAGCTCTAGAAGAACAGCATCAGAAAATAAATCAATCTAGAGTTTCCATATGTAAACTCAGCAATACGGGCACACGATGGACCATACGGAGGTTCGAACAACAGGCGATGGCAAATTCTGTAAGTCTTTCTATTATTACTTCCGCTAGTTCATCCTGGCCCTCGATATGTTACTGATTCACATTGGTAACAGTATTTTCGTTGATTTTTGTACGTGAAAAAGTTCTCTGGACCCGCGAGGAAGACATCCAAGGTAAGTCAACCCAACAGGGTGTGCCGTTACGATCGTTGGATCTGTGCGGCCCATCCATCCCAAGTATTCTATTTGCAGTATTATGATCCCACTGGACACTGCCTCCGTGGAATAGAAGAGCAGAATACTAATTTGGCACGTATTCCAGATCTCTGCGATTTATTGACCTATTGGGACGAACAGTTCTTGAGCCCGGGGCGCGAAGAAGATCTCATACTGTACACACGAGATGGCCATTTCTCATACGACAAGCAGGCCATAACGTGCTGGGTTATGTCCCTCCCGGAATTCCAACCCCGCCCCATGCCGTGGCAAGTTAGCAAGCCCCATCGCCTGTTCGAATGGCAATCAACAAGTTCGACAGCCCCCTGAGGATCATTGGACGGGTCTGGACCTATCATACTTCTCTGGTGTTCGCGTGTACGGAGCAAGAAATCCGGAACATGACAATCTTAGCGAAGTTATTCTTCGCTATTTCTCCGGTTAATGATGTTTCTCTTAATCGTTATAATCGAGGATTTGGAGACACACATTAAGATTAGGTAGTACCAGAACAGCGAACTACACGACATCGATTATGTGCATATCTACCCCGGATCGGAGCCATGATGGGTTGGTTGAGTGTGGGGTTAGTTGGATATTTATTAGCGACTAGATTACAGGCATCTCCAGCGGCCGGGAACGGAAGCTTCGGGGGTTGCAGATTGGGGTGCAGCTCTGACGACATCAGTGATAGAGAGCTGCTTAGCGTAAATTGATTCTTTGGCACTTGAATGAGAATATGTTTTTGTACGCCATATCTTACTGTACTGCTTACCTTCCTCATAATTATCCTCCCTGATTTGTATTAATTCCAAGTCTTAACTACACGAAGTTAACTTCCCTGCTCGTGCACATCTCTGATGCTTCGCATTCTCCCCCGCAGGAGTCCTCGAATACTCAGCAACAGCCGACCTCTCCAACGAGCACAACTCCAACAAAGCGCCCACCGAATGGCGTCGTCTACGACCAACGGCGCCAGCGCCGGTGCATCAATAAACGAAATCCCGAAATCGTGGAACTTCACTTCGAAGCTCCCCGCCGATGCCTTATACCCGACACCGGCAGACTCACACAAAACTCCACGTGGAGACATCGGACCTCGCATGGTTCGCAATGCTATTTTCACCTGGGTGCGCCCGCAGCCCGTCAAGGACCCGAAATTGCTGGCTGTGAGCCCGGCAGCAATGCGCGACCTTGGGATCCGTCCCGGCGACGAGAAGAGCGCCGACTTTGTAGCTACTGTTGCGGGTAATAACATACAAGGGTGGGACGAGCAGAAGGGTGAAGGCGGGTATCCGTGGGCACAGTGCTACGGCGGCTTCCAGTTCGGAAACTGGGCAGGACAGCTCGGTGATGGTCGTGCTATATCGCTTTTCGAAACCACGAACCCCGAGACTGGCGTGCGGTACGAACTACAGCTTAAAGGCGCGGGCTTGACGCCGTATAGCCGGTTTGCGGACGGCAAGGCTGTCTTGAGGAGTAGCATTCGAGAGTTCGTTGTCAGCGAAGCACTAAATGCTCTAGGGATACCGACGACTCGTGCTCTAAGCTTGACGCTCTTACCCGACGAGAAGGTGCGTCGCGAGACCATTGAGCCCGGTGCCATCGTGTCTCGCTTCGCACAAACCTGGCTGCGCATAGGCAACTTCGATATCCTTCGCTCCCGCGGTGATCGTAAGCTCATTCGCCAGCTCGCCACATATCTTGCCGAAGATGTATTTGGTGGCTGGGAAAACTTGCCAAGTCGTCTTGAAGACCCAGATAAGCCGGCCGAGAGTCCGGCACCACAACGCGGAGTTCCGTCAAAGAAGATCGAGGGACCGTCAGAGTCGGCCGAGAATCGTTTCACGCGCCTTTATAGGGAAGTAGCTCGGAGGAATGCTCTAACAGTGGCGAAGTGGCAAGCTTACGGGTTTATGAACGGCGTGCTTAATACCGACAACACATCTTTATTCGGATTGAGTATCGACTTCGGCCCCTTCGCATTTATGGATAACTTCGACCCCATGTATACACCCAATCACGACGATTCGTTGCTGCGCTATAGCTATCGAAACCAGCCGAGTATCATATGGTGGAATCTAGTACGCTTGGGAGAATCATTGGGCGAGCTTCTAGGCGCTGGCGAAGGTGTGGACGCGGAAAAGTTTATCAACAAGGGCGTGGAGGAAGACCAAGCAGACGAGCTCATTGCTAGGGCTGAAAAACTCATCACTCAGACCGGAGAAGAGTACAAGGCCGTGTTCCTCGGCGAATATAAGAAGGTCATGACGGCGCGACTGGGTTTGAAGAACTTCAAAGAGAGCGATTTTGAACAATTATTTAGCGAGCTGCTAGATGCTATGGAAGCTTTAGAATTAGATTTCAACCTCTTCTTCCGGCGCTTGAGCAGTGTTAAGATATCCGAATTGGAGTCGGAGAAGGCACGCCAGGACAAAGCAGCCGTATTCTTCTACCAGGATGGTGTCACAGGCATCGGCGGCGAAGAAGAAGGTCGCAAGCGTGTCGGTGCTTGGCTTGACAAGTGGAGGCAGCGCATTTTGGAAGATTGGGGTGATGGTTCGAGCGTATCTGAGGAGGCGGATGCCCAGCGCACAGATGCCATGAAGAGAGTGAACCCGAGCTTTATTCCTCGAGGCTGGATCCTCGACGAGATTATCCGCCGTGTTGAGAAGGAAAATGAAAGGGACGTGTTGGATAGGGTCATGACCATGGCCCTGAATCCATTTGAAGATAGCTGGGCTGGGCGCGAGTTCGGCGGCAAGACCTACGATGGCGATAAAGAGGAAGAGAAACGATGGATCTCTGATGTGCCTCGCATCGGGCGGGCTATGCAGTGTAGCTGCAGCTCGTAATCGTTTCTTGTGAAATGAATGCTTCATCGAATTCTCTGTGCCATATTTTGGCATCACTTGATATTATTTGATCAAAGTATATAGATCTACACCTTTCTCTTGATGCTCATGCTTGAGCTTGAACGAATATGCTTATATGGACACATTCCACCCCCTTTTGTGAGAATCTATGTTCTCGAATAGTACCTAACTTGGCTACTCTGATACGGAGCGTGTAAGGAAAGCCTGCCTGATGAAAAGAAGCACCCACAACTGCCTATGTAGGTGAGGTGCCTGCCCTCCATTTCGCGGTGACGTTTATAACGGTAGCGAAGGTTTGCATGTCATTTCATCCTGGTCAGATCAGTCAAGACCAAACTAGCCCCGTCACCAGAACACAGCTCCTATTTGCCTACCTACCTTCTACCTAGAAATATCACTATTACCAACAATTCCCTGCCATGAAGTGACCCTTGCTCCTCGAGTATCAAGCATCAATGTTCATTACTGCTTCACACTTCGTGGCTGCTCCCACTTAACAAATTTCCTCTACCTAGATTCGCGGTTACTCATGGAGCAAAATCCGAGCACTCCAGATCCGGTACAGTCGTCCACACCCTCCACGGCTGTGAACAACCCAGAGACACTATCGTACCCAGATTCTGACGACCCCAAAATGTATTCAGCATGTTCCACTCGGGATCCTTACAGCATTGAAAAACGTCCTACATTTGGGCAGTGGGTCAAGCTCGCATGGCTAGACATGCTGACAATACTCGTCGTTGGAGCTTTGGCATTTCCTGTAGGTTGATCTAACAGCGTACCAGGCATGGTAGAAAGGCGCATGGCTAACTCCTTCAAGGTCTATTACTTTGCTAATCCATTCGGTCCACGCGTGTTCCCACTAGATTTTCGATTGGAACCAAATGGTACAATCTCGCCCTCCTCCACGACCTCGGTCATACCTCTTAGCTTTGCGTACCCAGCTCAGACGCGAATGGTCAGCAACTGGCTGATAGCTGTAATTGCCGTGCTTGTTCCGACTTTCCTCATCACGCTGATGCAATTCTGGATCCGAAACTTTTGGGACTTCAATAATGCCCTGGTCGGATTTTTCTACGCCATCCTAACGTCCGCCGCGTTCCAAGGCACCGTGAAAGCTTTTGTGGGAGGACTAAGACCTAATTTCTACGACACTTGTAAGCCTGACAGCGAAAGAGCAAAGACAAACAACAAAACTCATCTGAACGGTATTGGGTTTCGCGGTGACATGTGGAGTACAGATGTTTGCACTGAAAGTGATAATCAACTTCTTCGAGATGCCATTCATGGCTTTCCCAGCGGCCATTCGACAACCATGGTAGCGGCAATGGTATATCTCTGCCTATATCTTAACGCCAAGCTAAAGGTATTCGCCAACTATCACACACCCTTATGGAAACTCATCGCCCTCGCCCTGCCCATCCTAGGCGCTGTACTGCTATGTGGGTCGCTCACCATTGACAATACGCATAGCTGGTACGACATAGTCGCTGGCGCTATTATTGGAATTGCGTTCTCATTTGCCTCTTTCCGAATGGTTTACCCCAGCATTTTCGACTGGCGGATCAACCATATCCCACTTAACCGTAATTCGCCCTTCGATGGGCAGTCGAGACCGGACTTGGTCGCCACGACGCGTGCTGGATGGCGTTCCCCGGCGGTGGAGAATGATGCTACACCTGCACATGGTCCGATTCATGACGGACTTGAAGGGGATAATGGCGTCGAATCTAACACCCCAAACAGACCGCCTGATCTCTACCTAGGATTAGGCACAGCGCATCAAAGAGCTACACCAAGAGAATAGATGCAAGAGACCAGTTCCTAGACACTGATTTGTCGTAGGAGTATCATGAGTCCGAATTCGATAGTGTTACTATAGCATAATCTACATATATAATAAGAGTGGGAGAGTGTGGCATCGTTGATTTCACGCTCTCTATTGCCCTATGTGATGGTTTCCCCAGAGACCGAATTTCTGGCTTGTGAATCGTAGTAGTTGACTACCAGACTTCTCCGATCCCTCTCACAATTGTCAATATGTACGAGTTTCATGATATCAATTTTCGATCTAAGCGGTCATATATTAAGAACATTTTGACATCTGGTGAACATTGAAGCTAGCACGGCAGCGAGCATTTACTTGGACGTATCAAGCTTTCAGTTTCTTCGACTTCACTGTCTGTTCAATCGGCGCGTTGGTGAAGGGGCCGCTTGATTATAGCTGGTGTGATTCTTTGTGCTTGAGGGACGCTGTCAGGAAAGGGGTACGATGTATACAGTAAGACTTTCATCGTGGGATCAAATCTAAAGGAATCAAAATTCGAAGGCGTTCAGACTCTCTATGACTATGCATGTTGTCTCTTGGTTACCCCGCCTCCTGACCCCAGCTAAGCGTACTCGAGGGGCCAGTAGGTAATAATGTACCAGCATAAATCAGAGTACTAAGTCTACATTCTATTATTGATTGGAACCTCTTCTGACAACGCGATTTAACGTGGCGGGGAGTCAGAATAAGCGAGCCAGTTAATTGGAGGTTTAGAAGTGTGTGTATTGTTGTTCAGAGCGCGTCTTGCTATCTCTCTGAGATGTTTCCTAGTAAATAGCCACTCCATCCAAATTACCCATCAATTCTGACAACTACCGCTACCTATTAAACCCATTATCTAGGCATCTTGGTGGGTTTAGCCATTCCTCCCCTCCCCTTGTATTTACCTCACCAGCTAACCGTCTACACTGCAACAACCATCTTCCATTCGCATCCTCATCCTTATCTACACCTCCTCCTCGACAACAATATTTACGCCACCTTGGTTATCTCCTATCCCAAATCAATTTCTACGATAAATCAGCATGGCATCCGAAAAGATCACCGCAATAGACATGATAGCTATCCCTAAAGTTTAAGAATGCTTTAAGACGAAGCCAATTGTACATTCCTCACTCATACTCCCTCTCTCCAAGCCCCCTTCGCGGTAGCTAATGCAATGTTAGGTTAACTAGGATAAGCTTGCTACCCAAGCCGGCTTCAAAGACGGCGCCACAGCTAAAGTCCACTACGAACCACTTCTTAATCGTAACCACGGCCACGATTACGGCGGAGATGCCCCCCCAAAGCGACAAAGCCTACACGACAATAAGCCCAAGACTGTGGCAACTGAAGACGGAAACAAACGGTATGCCCGCAACCCATACGACCTGGATGATGGAGAGGTTGAATGGTCAGCTCAATATAGTAGGCTAGGCTAGGTGATAAGATGCGGCGCCAAAGGGGAAGAAACAGAAACCGTACACAAATCTCACACAGGTGCCCAAGATGGACGGACACATATATATTCTACTTGGTCGTATGACTATTATGGCTGGTAAAGCAAGTTGGTATAGTATGGAGGGGAATTGCAGCCCCGCTGATCAATGAGTCTTGTATTTGAGAACAGTTATCATCCAGTTGTGTTAAGCATGCGCTGGTGGGTATATGCGATTGCTAAGATAATACTTCAAAATCCTGCAGCGATGCCCCAGGGTTCAGAGGGTCTCCAGCGGTACTACCTCAGAAAGACAACCATACAATACAATATGCCCTCAATTGATTGCTGTTAGATATAAGGGATATGATCTTAGCCGGAAATTTGACTAATGGGTGTCGGATTTGGATAAGTGTAGCCCGTAGCATCCGTTGCACGATAGTCGATCCCAATCCCCACCCTCGATGGCGATGAGCTTTGAGTGTTTCTCTTTTTTGCATGACGTGCATGAAAAGTGTGCAATTGAAGCAAGTCGAAATTGCTGGTATTGACCTTGTGGAGGGAACGTTTTGATCACCTCGAATTGGGAAGGGACGTTGTTTTGATGATCCATCTTGGTGACCGTTGTCGGGGGATGAAGTTTTGAAGCGAGAAGGTAGGCAGGTGTATGGAAGAATCTTTCAGGGTTTTCCGGACTGTGAATTAGATTAGATATATTCTAAAAGAATTTCTTCTTTGCTTTAAGCATTAAATAGGATCTGAAGTTAGTGAATATATATATATGGTGACATTATGAGGTGGGGTAATTCGGGCGCTCTGGCCATCGGGTACTAGCAGTATAATAAGGACAAGTATAAATCTGCAGTACCGCAGTGATGGGATGTGCCGTGTCATGCCAAATCGACTGACTTTGTGTGACACTTTGCCTCAACCGAGCTGCCAGCATCGGCATGCTTTATCCCCGTCAGTATGCATTAAATCGAGGATAGCGTTCGGATTACTAAACGTCTTGAAGCTCTAGACGGGTGTTTCCCGTAAGTAATTGTGTCACCATTATCAACAGACCTCTAGAGTCCTTATTGTAAAGTACCCTAGTCGAATTTTACATAACCTTTGCCTGCTACAAATGTCGCGAGCCACGGTATGTCGCCTTCATGGTTTGCTAGCTGCGCATAGAAATCCGCGTGGGCAGGTGCGTCAATATTGGAACCCTTACTATTTCCGTTCTCAGCACGCTCATCCGCGTAGAAGAAACTGATAGTACATAAAAAGTTAGATATGATTCGAGCACCTTGAGAAGATGAGCATTGCCTACCGGTAACCTCGCGCAGAGTACGCGGCATCAGCTACGCCGATCCAATAAGCAGACGCTGCTTTGCCAACTCCGAGATTGGTGAGAACTGGTCCGGGCATCACAACAAGATTCAATTTGTTTCCAGTGTAGATAAACGCCGTCTTGGTACCCTTCGGCAGTGTCTCCCATCCAGCGATTGCCTGCTGTGCTGCGACGTAGGGGCTGACGGTATTGATATTCAAGTCAGACGTAAAGCTTTCGGTTGGGATAGACAGAGGAGCGCCTTCCCCGGGTGGAGGCGTCAGTGCCGCAGCGTTGTAGACCACGACGGTAGGAGGCGATTTGAATTCGGCCTTGACCGCGTCGAAGAGAGCTGGTATAGTTTCTGGTTGAGACAAGTCTGCCTTGATGGATAGGAAGCCTTCGGCAGTCTTGCCGCCGGCTGCTTTCCTGGAAGCGACGGCTACCTTGTAGCCACTACTGGCAAATTTCTGGGCAACGACGGCACCAACTCGGGGACCGGAGCCGAGGATTAAAGCAACGGGGGCAGCAGCCATTTTACTAGATGATCGGATTCACTATGGCAATTTTATAAGTGCGTGTGACTGAAAATACTGGGTTTGAAAACAGCGTTGAGGATCGAGGTTGTGCTTTCTATTTATGCCTGATTTTGCCAAGGGCCGTATTTATAATCCAAGCAGTAGGCTGACAGACATATTGTACGGAATTGGCTAGAATAACACAATGCATAACACACCATATGTCGCAATTCGTTTGCGACTACTTAATACTATACTAGGATGTCAATTAGACATGTGCGGTGAGGCAGAGACAACGGAAACATGTCTAAATGACAGTGTGATCTAGGTGGTGCTTTGAAGATCCACATCCCACATCCCACATCTCACAAGGTAGGTAGCGGGACGGTGGGATAGTGGGATGGACGGGATGAATGGGACGATGTTGTTCCATGTCTAAATTTTGAAGCCAACTTAAACATCATAATTATAGCAAAGATAGTCAAGGTGGGATGGTCGAGAATGTGGAAGCCCGAAGGACGAATGGGAGAGGCGGCTGGGGCATATAGATGCCGCTGAGGTTTGCGCTACGAATATTCACAGCAATGAACGTTCTAGTAGTTGTCCACGATGGGTGAAAGAACAGCTGAAGTGGTACTCGCCTTCTAAGACTACAACAAGTTAGCAACATGACTTGAAGTGGGTTGGCAGTGCGCGAGATGCAGCGAGGATTAATAATCATAGGAGGGGTGAATCGACCTCTCGTCCGCCGTCCAGGTAGGTAGACCAAGATCCCCGGGAGAAGCGTAGGTAGGTACTGTATAGGTACCTATAGACTATCTATGTAGGCTAGGTAGATACTTAGTAGGTACTAGAAAGATGATCCGGTACCAGTGAATTTAGGTTGCGGCCGCTGGTGGCTTACACGCGTTTATTTCGACCTCATTCAATTCAGGGGAACGTTATTCGAGTCGATTTTAACTGGATTCGGACCTACTGTCAGGGTGCCATAGCCAGTGTAGGTAGGGCATCGGGTGAGTTAGGTTCAATTGATTCCAGCGCTATATGATTATTTGCTGTTGGCTCATTCAGTGTGAAATGGTTAATTGTGCAGCGCTGCGATTCCACCTGCTCCATGTTAGCCTATTACCACCACTAAATAAGTAGGTAGGCAACAATAAGGGCAAAATAAAGTCATAGCGGATGTATGATCAGTGGTCTAACTAATAAATACATAATCAAGAGTCTTTATAGATAAGGTAATGAGAGGCAGGAAGGAAGGAAGGCAGGCAGGCAGGCAGGTAGCGAGGTAGTACCTGTGTATCCTGTGGCATGTGCTTGCAAAGGGAGGGCAGGAAGTCACACCTGTTGTTTGCTATACTGCTATCCTTCCATCCAATTATCTGTCGACCTGACGCAATCTGTGTGATAACAGTCAGTACAATAACCATTCATCTACAATAAACAAAGTCTTCAACAGCCTAGACAACACTCACTCAGCCATGCCGCCCATCATCGACATCATCCGCCATGCCGAGGCCACCCACAATACAACAACAGGCAATGTCTACGAGCGTGATCCCAACCTCACGAGCAACGGAGCAGATCAAGCTTTCAGCCTGAGCTATTACTACCCCTTCATGCACAAGATCAGCCACATCGTGTCATCACCCATGCGGCGCTGCATTCGTACCGCACTCATTGGATTTGAATATAACCTGCTGCAGGGCAAGAGAGTCATCCTCCTGCCTGAGCTACAGGAGACCGGTGCGAACCCCAGCGATATCGGGCAGCCTCCCGAGGCTCTGGAGGCCGTGTATAGCCCATTGATCGACACTGACCGTAAGTCTTGATCTGTTCACCGATTGACGCTCTGAACAGGGTCGGGTCAGCTGATGAGTGATTGCAGTGCTCGAACGGAACTGGTACGATAAGGGCCAAGGCTCCAAGTACGCTCCAGACGTAGGTCTTGTCGAGAAACGCGCGCGCAAAGCAAGAACCATCTTGCGAGATCTCGCGGCCAGCGGTCCCGACGATGCGCGTATCATCGTCATCACCCATGGCGGCTTCGCACACTTCCTAACCGAAGATTATTCTGGTTTATCCGAGCGTTATTTCACGGCCTATGGGAACTTGACCATCAGAGGCTTCGAATTTGTTGATTTACTAGGGGAGGATCCCGACGCGAAGTTAGTTGAGACAGCGGATAGTTTGGCCTGGTCGAAGTTACCCCGCTTCGTAGATTTGAGTGACGAAGAGAAAGCACGCCTCAAGTCGTATGCTGTGGCGCGGGTTGAACTTCAGAAACAGCAGTTTGAGAGAGCTACATGAGCTAAGCGATCGGCAGTCCAGACTCACGTTTTCTAGATGTGTGTGAGTGTATGCGCATAGCTGCGTTGGAATGGGGCCAAATGAAAACCAGCTAGCCTAAATATTTACGCTGAATTAGTGGCGAGCTCTAGGGGCCGTGGAAGCCCAGTACGTCACATCATACAGCAGAGTAATACACAGAAAGAGGCTCGTGTAAGCTCTCTTATATCGGGAGATACGTTGGTATATCCACGCTATCAACATAGTGGCATAATCAAAACATTGAGCGATCGGATGCTTCATAATACAATAAATAAGATTGCTACCTTAAGAAATCTACGAGCTCGTGACCGTGCCAGGTTTAGGGAGCTCTAAATGAAGCAAATACTGGTTTGTAATATTTGTGGTCTCTCCGCCCAGGAGATAGCTCGTGTGACCGCTGCCATTGCGCGTCAAGAGGACAGCGTTCTCAATCTCCTTCTGTAGACCGAGGGCCCACGTGTACGATGTCGAGGGGTCATATAACGAGTTCACCATTAAAAGCTTAACATCTCCATCGTAAACAATGGGCGCCGGCAGATTGCTTAACGGGGCTGGCCACCCGATACATGAAGTCTGCAACTTATAACTCTGGCACGCGCCGAGAGTCAGTGGGCTGAATACGGCACCCAAATTCTGTTTCTCGACTACGTCGGCCAGACCTGTCGAGGCGTGCGCCCAATCCTGGCATCCGATGGCCGTGCCTGCGTATAAGTATGAGTCCTCGTAAGCGTCGCCAATCGCGATCTGGTTGAACTGGGACACGAGAGTGGCGTTGCCCTTGTCAGCTTCAACGAGGGCTTGTGAAAATCTAGGCCAATTCCTCTCCGAGATCATGAATCCCTGGGCTGTGAAGAGGAAGTCCTCCTCCGTGACGTCGGAACGACATGATTTGTCGTCGCACCCGGGCGCGGGGATAGGCTCGGCACTGGCCTTGTCCCGGACGCTCTTGAAGACGGCTTCGACGTCTGCTCCTTGAAGCGCACATTCGTCTGTCGCTGTGCACCACTCGAAGAATTTCCCCAGAGTCGCCTGGTAAGCTGTCGATTCGATTAGGAGGTTGCTGGATTCTGATTGCGAGCGCTGCAGGTTCCCGTCCAGCACAATCGCCCTGAAACTGTCGGGGAATAGCGCAGCGAACTGGCTAAACAATTGGGTGCCGTACGATAAGCCCAAGTAAGTGGCTTTCTCTCCTAGTGCTAAGCGCACTGCTTCGTGGTCTTTTACGGCGCTTATAGTGTCGACGAAGTTCACCAGGGGACCCGTCTTCTTCAAGCAGTTCGCGCCAAGATCTTTGTTGTATTGGACCAGGGCATCGTATTCCTTTTCTGTCGTAGGCATAAACTTGACGCGTTTGTTGAAGGCTGCCGGATCGCACTGAACGGGTGTGCTGATGCCGACACCGCGGGGATCAAGACCAATGATGTCGAACCTGGCGCGGATCTCAGGATCGACTCTGTCACTTAGGCCTGACACTGTGCTCGTGGCTTGACCGCCTGGACCGCCTGGGTTCACGAACAAATAACCGATGCGATTCTCCTTGTCCTCGGCTTCAAGACGCACCATGCCCAGCTCAACAGTCTCATTGCTGTGACTGTGGATGTTGTTCCAGTCCAACGGGACACGGAATGTCGCACATGTGAGAGGATCTGGGAATTGATCGGAGCAAGCTCCCCATTTGATAGACTGCCCAGATTGCTTCACCCACTGCTGCACTGCGCTGGAGTTGCTTGGGTGGACAGGAGGTTTCGTCCATTGCGGCACCACGCCGCTATTACTGGTCTGGTAGATAGCCAGCGGTGCCGCTAATTGCGGGTTAAGTCAGCATAAATCGTTATGGTTTATTGTAAACAATACGTGTAATTCATGTGCACGGAAAAATACTGACCTTGGCCCAAGGAGGCGGTAGCGATACCCGCCGCAATAAATCGACTTAAACGCGCCATTGTCCTTGTTTGTAGATGTTGGAGAGGGGGGACGACGCGATCGAGGTTGGGCTCCCAGGTTGGCTGAATACCTGTAGGTAGGTAGTGTAACACTGATATGAGGATCTGCACTCCTCGTGGTGCTCTATTCCAGTATCCTGGCGCACGGAACCGGATCTAAGACAAACAACACGAGTCGCTCGCTGAAGCTCGATATGAAGACAGCAGAACGCTCAGGCTGATCTTTCCATTCCCTTTGACATTGTTTATATAAGCTTAAATACAACGCAGCGTCTCCTAGGCAGCACTGAATTGAGAAAAATAAGCTGACGTAGCCCCCTTTGGACACTGCCCTGAAGCTATTAGGCTACCTACCTATTTATAGAACTTACAGGGTAGCGAGCTGCGAACGGTAGCAGAACGCTCAGTGTGCTGCATTGAATCATTTACTCAGTTAGGAATGCAACTAATTAAGCTTAGATTCGATACGAGCAATCCGGCCAATCAATGGCTATCCAGAGACTTATAAACAGCCGGGAATAAAGTTCCAATGGAGCATGAATCTCACTAAGGTATTTTACAGCATGACATCACAGCATAATTACCTAGGTATTCAGCATATGTCAGGTACCGTCTTAGCTTTAATATGTGCTTTATTATCGTCTATATTCTTCTCGGTATCCTGGGTACTTGGCACGTGTTGGGTATCTGAAACCTTAGAGTAGCTCGTGATTAGGAAGTCGTCGCCTTCAGCCACAGGGGCCTCGACTCCACGTAAGTAGTTATCAACCCAGTCATTGCTCACGATAGCCTCGATCTGGGCAGTCATCTCATAACCAAGGATTTTGTTGGCGGGGTACTGGATACCAGGGAGCCTACAACGAAACGGCGAATTCATTATCTGTCTGTAGACAATAGTTAGCTATATTTATTATGACTAAAAGGTAACGAAGCGAGTATGTGAGCTGTCTTGCTGAAGAGTGCACCTGCGAAAACAATTAGTTGCTGAGCAGCGAGAGGATAAAAGTGCCCCAGGCTAGTATCCACCCATAAAGGGTGTGAATATGGCCGTTTACTGGCACTTTGATGGTTTTAAGGTCCAACGTGCATTCGACATCGCAGCTTCGACAGTAAGAGGTGTTTCTCAAGGCACAGCAACCAGCGCTTCAGATGGACGAAGGATGTCCTTAACCCCTTGAGCTCTGGTGGTTGACATTAAGAAGAGAATTGAACTCAAGACTCGGACTCGGTAACTTGATCTTGGGCAAAAGCGTTCAAGTGCTATAACAATGGTTAGAAAGGGACTCGTAGGCAGACTACAAGCGCAAAAGTCCGTTGCCTCAACCGAAGTCCCTATCCTCCACGAATCGCCAGCGTACTAAAATCGCCAGCGAACATCCTCGTACACCTCATCAGATGTCGGCCGTGGCTTTCTGAATGGCAGATCTTATTTCCAGGTGACAATGCATCTTTCTAGCCTCTGATTCATTCTTCCATGTACAGAGCTATTTGCCACACGATTTAGGATAGGCAAAGAATTGTCCATTGCTGTATCAAACCTCCGTGCTCCCCTATGGATGGTAGCATCTACCCCGTAACGAACTTCAGCAAGCTTGTCGCATCCGTCATGAAACCTCTCAGAAAGCTTGTCTTTTGTCAACCCGGAAACTATACGGCGAGTTGGAGCGCCCTGTTGTGTGTTGGGGTTATATCCGATCTTTATGTTTTTTAACCGTTTCATCACATCCTCTTCTCGGAGGTCTTTCGTCTCGGGCCCGACATCGCCATAGACAGCTTCGGAACAGTCTAGTAGCAAGCGCATAGCCTTAGCTGACTTGATCGATTCTATGTGTAAAAGCTTGCTTCTACGTATCAGCCGTGGATATGCCACAAAACAGCAGAGAATCCAGGTCGCTTCCAATATCAGACCTAAACGAGTTAAATAGCTCGAGAATCCCCACACGTAACCAGGCGCTGTATTTCAGATAGCCTTCTCGTCGTTTAGTAGGTCAATTGAGATAGGGTTTCCCTTGTAGCACACGCAATTACCGAGGCTGTTGAAAAAGCTCGGGCCCGTGTAAGATGGGCAGTTGAAAGCGATGTCGAGAAAGGGGGCATCGAGGGAAATCAGGGTGTTGTTAAGCCGAATGGTAGAATTATACGGCACAATCCCCTGGCTGAGCGGGATAGATTCGTCAAGGAGAAAATTAGCCAAAAAAGCCGCTTCTGACGTTTCGTTGTATGGGTAGATGTTTGCGGCGTCTTGTTCCCCTGTAGATGCTGGCGTACCTAGGGTAACAGAGCGGAACGATGAATAAAGACCCCCCGGAACACTATCACAAACCCCTACTCCGGATAACCTTGGTAATACGCCAGTCTTGCCATTGAGGACGGCTGTATCATTCAGATCTGCCTTCCATCCAAAATCAAGCCAGCTGCTAGCATTAAGACTGATTTGCAGAATTTGCCTTTCCATCGCGTCTGTACTAGATCTTAGAAACACGATAGTTTGATGGTAGTGCAGTCAGTATGAAACTAACACCACTGGATACCAACGAAGTTCTCAGACCGTTGCGTCTCCGTCGCTGCTAGAAAGTCCCAAATCGTCAGGGAGGACGGTTTGACTTCCCAACCAGTCGAACCGTATTGCAGATTATTTGTGGTCCAAACGTTGGAATCAGGACTTGTCAGATTGAGGCAGGAATCCTTTGCACTGTTTGTTGAAGTCCGCCCCATGTCAGATAATAGAGTAGAAAAGTTAGGACCAACTTCAACATGGGGAGCAGATAAATTGAGCCTCATCGGATCTAATACCCAACAAAGAGACAGATTTTCGCTATTCAATGGAACAATCTCATCCCCCGGTAGAGCATAAAATTTGTGGGATAGACTCACGTATCCAGTAGCAGCACTCCAGACCAGAGAGAGAGAAAGCGTATAGACGAGGGTGTAGATGAGCAAGATAGTGCAGAACAAAACAGAATAGCTCTGCGTTAGACGTAACGTCCTGAACAATTCCACTAGAGTTTCAAATGACGCTTTAGAGAATGATAGGGCAGTATAGTAGGGATATGTTATTGTGGAAATCTCCATTACAAGTACTAGAAGAGGATAATTAGATGATGCAACGATAGAATATCCAGCCGTGAAGAAGTCGTCCACCCTGACCAATAACCGTGTCCCACGTTATATCGATAACCTTAGCTTGAGTAAATGTAAAATTACCGTATGTAAGATCCGGAGCCAAATTTTTTTCCGCTGCGCTGGATTCATAATCAGTACAACTAGGATTGATGTCGCCTAAGGTTCGACTCAGGGAGTCGTATCGCCCAGACAACTTTACTGAGGACTATGCATACAATTGATCCAATTAGGAACGCCAAAGTAACGAAAAGGTAGTGTTTATCTGATATTTGACGAATGAGTCCCGAGAGGCGATGCCCACAGTTGCCGGCCAAGGGGTTCGAGGTGCACTCGGCCTTTCTTCCGCATTGGTAATCGATGATGTTGATTCATCATGATCTTCCATCTTCGAGTTTTGGTAAATAGCGAACGAAGAGGAAGACTGAGTTGAAATCCGGTACGTTGAATAGAAGAGATGCTATGGTGCATACCTGATTGTACCATGGATGCCAGATAAGCATTCAATATATACTACGCGATCGAGGCTGACGTATCTAAGCCACAAATTGTGCACATGGTGTGTCATAATCGTACGCGCCGAGACGCTGTTTATCGCACCTTGGGTCCAAATCAGGCGCCATATAGAATCCTACCCCTTATGGCCGCATAACGTCTGACACATACAAAGGACAACAAGTCGAGCTAGATAAGTGCCTCATATAAATTATACTCTCAATTACATTTTTTAAGCAGGGACTATTACTTGAACAAGTTACGCGAAGGTTACGTACGTTGAATAGATTAACCACGAAGTTCTTGGCACTCTCTGTATCTTCCGACTTGAGCTCTTCAGTCTCACTGGTGATCAGGGGAATAACGGTAGCCGCGGTTTCAATTGGCAGAGGTGAATACAGCTATATATACGTGCCCATATCTTGATCCAGGTTTGAACGGCCACCACTACAGCCCCCAGGTTGTAGGCGCCACTCGCTCACCAACGCTTCGGCCCCCACGAAAGTTGCGACGCATGCACCCGGATACCGAACAATGTATATATTAAAAAAATGCGCAAATACCTAGCTAGATTGGGGCCTTTTTAACATCCCTCTTTTACTTAAAGATATTTTTATAGCCTTTTACATGATTAAGCTATAATAAAAGGTATATAATAATGTTACACGTGTAACCTCTGTGCCGGTTGAAGAATGCAGTTTGCCTTGTACTTCGGCCGTACGAAGGACTATTGCAGGCTGTTCATGACCTTCCAAGACATGCAGGCAATATTGGGTGATATTGGAAAGTGAGGTTATACAGACTTCGCTTCTTGAAACAGACCCTAGAGACCCAGGCGGTCTGGGCTGGCAGATCATTTGTATATAGAGTCATCTCAAGCCACCAACAGCCGAGAAGGAGTTGGTTGGTCAAGGACTAATGCAGCCCTAGTTGATCATTGTAATCAGAATCCTCAGTTCCAAGCCCAGTTTAACTGCCCTTGTTATAAATAAAGTGATTTATAATTTTATAGTTAGTTATTTTATTTAATAATTATTATATGGACAAGTCTGGATGTGCAGTAGGGCCTACTTTAAACGTGCAGTATATAACTGTTGGCAGGGTATTCCAGCTGACTACGACATCTGTACACTGTATATATTGAAAAACGTACCAAAATTAAGGGTTGTAAGGTATAAGGTTATCGTAAGTTATTGGCCAACGCCTTTTTCAATTATATATTTCAAAAGTATAATGTTAATATGTAAAAGTATTAAAATTGGATTGAAAAAGTTGTTAAAGGTTAGAAGTTAAGTAATGGTTGAAGCTTTGAAGTTGTAGATAGTGCGGAGAAAACGGTGCCAATGAGGCGTTACAGCCCGCTATAGTCTCTGACAGCTGAGTGCAGTTGTGTACTGCACGTTTAGAGTGGGCCCTATTGCACATCCAGACCTGTCCTATTATATAACTAAGTTACCTTTATTTTAATAGAGTTAAGATAGGGTTTTATATAGTGTTTTAAGAGATAGATAAATATGTTCTTTACATTCTGCATGTCTTGCTCTTGTACCTATCTTACGATTATATAGGATAGCGCTCTTTGGCTCGGGTAGTTGCTTCGCGATGAGCTTAACTGCGCGGCTAGTAACACTCCTTGCCTACCACTTAGCTCTTGCCTGAGGGAGTACACCCGGTATTGCGGCTGTTCATCGGGAGGTTTGTCACTTACGGTCTCAACAGGCGCTCCCTGTCAGCATCTCAAGGTATCATTATTCCGCAAGTCTACCACTTCGTAAGGCCCATCCATCCCGAAAGACATAGTGCCATCCGTCCGCCTACTCTCCTAATCCTTAAACCTCCAGCCCACGTATCTATTCATATTAGTGGGACGATATTACTCAGAAACCCATAAGGGGGCTGATATCCAAATTTAAAAGTTTCACTTAACTTCTTTATTGATTTTTCAGTTCGACAGAATTGCGTTGTGATGCAAGAAGGAGAAGATTTATCATGCTTTAGGTGTAGCGCCTTTCACGCCTGCAACCTATGTAACCAAATAGGAACAGGCGGGCATCTCCAACTAGTCGAAGTGACGATACTCTCACCACCTATTTGGATTCCTCCTCCTCGGACGTACTTCGGCTTGGCACTTTGGGCACGCTTTCATCTTGCATTCTGGACATTCCAGTAGATAGGTCCATATCTCGGAGCACCTCGGGCATGCTTTGCGGCCCTGTACCTTCGGCCACCAGCCGTCGTGGATGCAGCCGACAGTCCTTGAAATGTGTGGTGCTTCGTCGTCGAACGAACCTCTCCGCCTCGCCCTCGCCCATGCACGGTCTTGGTCTTCTTGTCGCCTCTGCGCCGCCGCCGCGTACTCCGCATGTCGTTTTCTCAACTCCTCTTCTGCCTCCTCCTGCCGTTTTCTTGCTGCGGCCGCGTACTCTGCCGCTTGCTTTTCTGCTTCTCGCTGACGTTTTTTTGCTTGCTCTTCTGATTCACGCCGCCACCTTTCCCACATCTCTTGTTGTCGCTTCCGTGCCTCTGCCTCCTCCGCTTCCCTTTGTGCCCTCTCCTTCGCTTCCCGCTCCTCCCTCGCCCTGGTTTCTCTTTCCCTTATCTTGGTCTGCAGTGACCGTATTTTCCAATCGTCGTATGTGTCGGCGCCACTGACCTCAGCCTCGCGATTCTTCATGAGATTCTCCTGCTTTTTTAAATCCGTTTGTTTCGAATCTAGTCGCCTCTCCTTCATGTCCTTTTCGAGTCTTCTCTCCTGCTTTCGCCTATCTATGTTTGCCTTTTCTTCTTCGCTGACGGGCGCTTTCTTGTATATCGGTGATAGCAGCCATCTGCCCCAACTGTTGTCCCGCGCTTCTTGAGCTGCCTCTGCCGCGGAGATATCGTTTAACACTTTGATTTCATTCTCTATCCGCCGAATGTCTCTCTGGAGCTCGAAGATGGAAGATTCAAAGATTCTCTTGCTGGCTAACCATTGTGCTCGACGATCTTGTTTCGCCTTTTCAAGTTTAGCGATTTGTATCGTTTCGCTGGGCGGTTCGGGTGGCGGTGGCGGATCCGAAGTGGGAGACGGACGAGATGCTGAAGAGCTCGTGTGACGACGTCGTATTGAGGGGTAAAGGAGGTCGTACGCTAGGCGTTTTTGTTCATCTTTCAATGTTTCGTAGGCTTTCCCTAGCTTGAAATCTCGTATTTTAGCATAGAGAATGACTACTAATCAACGAGTGAGCTGAACAGCTGCGTCAGTTGATAGACGTACTAGCTGAAAGGCTGCGGTAGTATCGCGGTCGGCATTCCGATCAGGGTGGTGCTTCAATGCGAGCCGTCTATATGATTTGTTGATCACCTCGATTTTAGCAGTCTGATCGACTTCAAGAATCATATAGAAGTCTTCTGTAATTGGTGCTGGTGCCATTGCCTTTGGAGATGATGTCTACAAACGAGGTGCGTTTCTCATGCGGCTCAATAAGTATTTATTCCAGACCTAGGCACCAACGAGCTCGCTGACTGCGGGGAGCATCCGAGACCAATCGGGTCATATTGTGCGACATTCCCCTTGCGCTGAAGCGTTACTTGCATACCAACAATATAATATATTGCCTATCCACTCTATTTCTATTTAGTGGCCGGTTCAAAGTTATGCAATCTCACAGCATTTAAGATTCGTTTGGAACACGCTCATTATAGCAATGTATCTTACATATAGTAGATCTTCCCCCTGCCGCATGAAGCAACAGCTATGGGATATTTTAATGACTTATTCTATTTATTTATTTATTATTATTAATATTATATTAAGCTTAGCTGTTAAACTATAACGATTTAAGGGAGATGTATTGGAAATATATTATAATAAAAGATACAGGGTATAAAAGCTAACCTCCTGGAACTTATATAAACAATCAACGGTAACGAAAGGCAATAGGCTTACCACTACAGTATAATAAAGCCAGCTGTAAATAGTGCCTTAACTTTAAACAGATGACTCAGAATTGCAATACTTCAACAGGCCCAAGAAACTGGATACGAGAAGAGATGGTGGCTTATCTAGACTGGGACAAGACAGAAAATGATCGTGTTAATATTCAGGTGGCTTTAGAGTCAGGGAATGGCGAGTCTAACGCAACTTGATTTTGAGATGACCGATTAGAGTCATTATGTATCAGCTTTAGTACTCACATCTTGCTTCTACCACTTCCTCTATTTTACCCAAGCTAAGCTAAGTAGGTACTGATCCCCCGATTATGCACCACCTCCAGCCGTCGCGTCGTGCCACATGATAACCTTGATTCAAACGAACACTCCTCATTGTGTAAAACATTAGAATCATTTAGAGTTCCATACGATACTACACACTCTTCCCTTCAGTCACCGCGGAGTCTACGGTTTTGATGCCACCAGGGCACCACCCATAGGAGCAACCCGTATAACCAGGGGAAAATTAGTAAAGGAACGTCCCGCAAAGCTAGAATATTGACCAAGAAAGTGACAAGGGTAAGAGATGCAAGAGAGGTCCAGATAATTGGACGATCGTTAAGGCGCCACCCCGAATAGGCACGCCAGGTGAATGCAATGGTGAGAAAAGAATTGGTAATGATGTAGAGGATATAAAAGCCCAAGAAGTCACGAAGGTATAGACCGCCTATGCTGAAGAAAGCGAAGATCACGACGCCAACAACCGCGATCACACGCCAATACACTATGTGGTCTTTGGCCCAAACCACGAGAAACCGCACCACGGCTCCAACAAACAGCGACACCGGGAGGGTAAGAAGGAGAGCGCCTGCCGTAACGCCAAACACTAGCCAACTGAAATTCAGATTTGAGCTTGAACCGATAATTGAAACTAACGCTTCCGTCGATGCACGTAAGTCGGTAGGGACTGTATCGAGGGTAATGTTGGTGAGGTTCGTGAACCCTAAAGGCCCTTCCACGACGTTCGGGTTTAGGTTCATGCCGAAGAAACTTGTAGTGAAGGAAAGCGGAAGGAAAATGGCCGCGAGAATGGTGATCCTAAACACTCTAAGGTCTTGCGCTAGTTGGAAGTGGTCACGCATGATCTTCTGATTTTCTTTGAGGGTGGCTTGGAGCTTCTTTAACTCATTTTCAAGGAACTCCATGTCCTTTTTCAGGATGTCTAGTCTACTCTGGAGAGACGCGTTGCTATGGCGAGAGCGGTCTGACTGATTAATCCAACGTGTGAAATGATGGAAAACCTTCAGATCATGGCGAATTCTACGCTGTGTTACTTTACAGCAGTCTTCTAGATGTAACGAGAACCGCAGTTTGCTTGTAGATGGGCTCCGACGTCCGAGAAGTTGCTATCGTGTCTTAGTTCAGGAGATTCGGATATTCAGGTGTCAGGCTGTCTTTCACTCACAACTCGCTCACTTTCATCATGGCATTTGTTGATGAATTCCCAAGTGTCCGAAATGAGAACTTCGAAGACGCAACATAAGGAGAGGACCATTTCTCTCCAAGGTGACCACTGCTGGGCTTGATGATCTGCTTGAGATGGAACATCGAGTTCGATTGTCGCATCACGTCTCTTGGTAAATAATGTGTGTGCTCGACATGTCCCAAATGCGATAATAAGACGCACTTCTTCGCAACCAGCATGAGTCTTGCTAGAAGACACAACGACCTTTGCATGTTGGCACATGGGGATAGAGTTCTGAGGCTCCCATATATAGACTGCGGTGTCAGAAGTATATGTGGCGCAGGTGTCCTGCCAGCAAAGGAAGATTTCATTGTCTCCTCGTGTAGGATCTAGGTTACCAGGCCGCTTCTTATCTTTTCCCCAATATGCCATATCGAAAGGGGAAGATTGGGTTGTAGAAGTCTTGAGAGCTCTCTTTGATGGGAGTATGTCTGGTTTCGGCCTGACTTGTGCACTCTCAACAGGTGGCGCTGACCACCACGGCGTCAAATTGAAATTCCAGCAATGCGCTACTAGAATTTCTAGCAGCCACGTGGGGAATAGGTGCAATGTGTCTACTCGTCCACGGAAAGTAGCGACAGTGTATCGCCAGAAAGAAAAGAAACAGACAACATCTCCACGGTTGGGCTGCTCCGCGAGTGATCTTAAGTCAATCAGCAAAACGAGAGGCTTGGGAATCCAGATGGTCTGTACATACATAAGCTGCAGGCTGCTACCATTATCATTGTTTACTAGCTCGCGTGCTATTCGACACATCCAATCCGTCACTTTGTCATTATTTTCCACTTTTGTTCGTTTGACCTTCGCTGGAAATGATCATCAGTCATCATGAGAAAGTTGATAGTTCATGTATATGTACCTGTATTCTGAGCAGCCTCGCAGCTTGAGGGTTGAGGAGCGGCAAATCTCCAATGCGACAGTAGTTCATCACAAGAGAATGCTGGGTTGCGTTTGTGGGGCGGACGGCCCTGGAAAATGTTCCCAAGAGCGCTCGTTCGGTTGATTACTCCGGCGTCTCGGTTTTTGAAGTGGCTGTACTCCAGCTGCAAGGTCAACGCTATTTTATGGTGTGTCGAGGCCCTCGCAGATGTATCAATTAAAGGTTCAACAGATTCAGCCTCTCGAGCTAGGATCGTTTCAACGGCATCTTGATCCTCGTTGTTCCGAGGCCTGAATTCGGACGCGAACTCTTGGATCAAAAGACCACCCAATCTCCCAAGGCTTCTTCTACTGAAGGGGGTTCCTGACTCTAAAGTTGGTGTACGAATCAAAGAGGACGGAGGCTGTTCATTGTCCATCATCTTCCCTCCCTCGTGTGGAATAGTATCGGTGCAGATCCAAATCCCCGAAGAATCTTTTTTTCGATTTTGGGAAAAGGACTTAGCATTAACTTGGTATTTAGATTTAATATGATACAAAGTATAGGATATGATTGAAACTGGACAAGTAGCCGTGAAGGGTGTTGTTAAATATATAGTGTAGTTCAGATCTGGCATCAAAAGCTCACCCATAATCAAAAGCTGACGGGCGCTGCAACATTGTCAGGTTATTGGTGGCGATGACGAAAGAAATGACGAATTTGGTATTATGTAGCGGACCTATCGCAGAAAGACATCTGAAGAGTCAATCCAATTAAAAGTTGTCGCCCCCAAATAAATGGGTATAAAATCTATCTATGGTTATGGCATGTTACATAGCGAAATCCTACAATTGCTGCCGAAGTTTCTGATTTTTCGGTCCGCTCTACTAAGGCTACAGAGACTCCCATCAAAAATTGTTTATAGGGTTGTACGGTCATAATTGAAAATAGGTTCTATCACATCCCGTCGTATTCGAAGAATATAGGGAAGAGCTCGTGGGCAAAGCCAACAAGTATCATAAGTGAGCTTTCCATTTCTACGAGCTCATACTGGCATGACCCCATTGATGCTTAGAATGAGTAAGCAATTTCTTTAATTTTATTGCATCTTCATCGCTAATGAACATTCTGAAGGACGAGGTTGGATCTGCAGTATACAAATGCCTACAGCTGCAACGGCCTGTAACGTGCCATTAGCACCGTTTTCCCCACACTATCTACACCTTTCCACACTTACCTCTTACTAACTAGGTACTAACTTTCAACAACTCTTACGATCCTTCAATTCCATCACTTACTTCTGAAATATATGGCTGAAAAAAGGCACTGATCAACAACCCACAACAACCTCACACCTTACAACACCTGATTTTGGTGTGTATTTTGAAGTATACAGTGTGCAAATTTCGCAGCTAGCTGAAGTCGGACTGCTACCACCTGTATACTGCAGATCCAGTGTGGGACCTACTGCAGATCTAACCTCGTCCGAATGAATTGGCTTATTCCAACTTCATAGTCCCCACATAAAGGTAGAGGACTTAGAGGGTCAACGAACATAGCTTAGACAAGAGCTCTTAATGCTGTAGGTAGCTTCGTAGCCTAAATCTTCATAAATATTAAAATCCTGTATCACATCCTACCTGTAGGCTTAGATGATCTTATATCGGCATTCGAGCACCAGCATCCTCTTAACCGCTAAGGATACAAGCAAAACCCGCCTTATACCAATTTACTCTACTCATATTTGGTTTGATTAATATTGACATTCACTGTTGTCTCCTGTGTTATCTAGAAGATTATCTAAGTCGCTTCCTTATTATACGCTTTTCGTTCATTACTAGTGACCGAAGAGTGTCATAGTCTGTCCAGTGCTTGCAGCCCCCGAAACCACATGGTTCGTGTTACATCTCATAGATAGAGACTTAACTACGCGTAGCTGTGAAACAGCTTACTTATCCGGACAAGACCGAGCTGAACAGTACTTAATTACTAGTAGTTCTACTTCCCAAAAAGGCCTACCGCGCCGCGGAAGCCGCTTGGCAGCCCCTTATAAGGGCTGCCTTCGCCGCGCCCTCGCGGCTTGGGTTTTCCTCCGTCACCTTACTTTTCCACCTCCCACGAAGGGGGTGGTTTTTAGTGGAGGTTTTTTAGCCAAGGTCCAATCCATTGACCCCCTTTCCCTTCCTCAATCCCAAATAAAAAATGAACAAGTGTTGGGCCATGGGTTTGGGCAGCCTTCGAAGTCTAGTTGCGTAGCCGGCTTAATAAAGGCACACTGCGTACGTACGCCTACGCGTAGTGGCTGGCCTTGATCAATCGTACGCAATTAGACTTCGTATGGCCCATCCCCCCCCAATATATGCGTTCAACCAACCTAGACCTTATTTGAGTGAAGTAGATATACCGGCCGTCAACAAGAAGTTCAGTGGCGTCGGCCAGAACCTCGCGGCCGACAGCGCAATCTGGGGAGTATGTTGTATGCATGCAGGAAGCCGTGTCGGATGTCATGTTTCTAGCTCGTGTCACGATCATTCGTTGACTCTGTCCCTGGGTTTGGAATCACTTTCAGTGAGATTTATAGCGGCAGCTGTTTAGTCCAAACTAAGAAGCACTAGCGTTGCCAAGCCATTCTGGTTCATATCATATAATCATAACTGGCGATGTATCAATGCAAATGCAACTGGTATTTTGCCGCGGGGGAAGGGAATCGGACTGGTCAGTTCTTTTGACAATCCGTTTTTCGGTAGGACAGTCTCCAGCGCGACGGCTACGGCGAGCTGAAGTCTACATACTGATAGCAGTCTAGTATCCGTAATCATCTATTTGGTCACGATGACCCGCGATCTCTATGCACACGATCTCATCTGATGTTTAGATTGTGAAACTATGGTACATGTGCCATATTCAATGGAACGTAGAGTCCAAGAATCTAGAAGCTGCTACCATTACGGATAGGTATCGCCATGATAGTAATGCCATTGTTCCTTCGGCAATGGTTTTTGGCTTTCTATTGAATATACTCGAGTCTTGGGCTCCGATGTAGGGCACTTGTTCTATTCAGGTAATTCCCGAAGAATTCTGTACTCCAGCCGCGCTCTCCTGCATGCTGCACTCCGCACACCGTCGGGCCGAGTCGTCAAATGTTGAGCTGTACGCCGTGTATCCCATAGCAACATCTCACGATGCCACTTCATGACATCATTGGAGCAGTGATTGTTTCTCACTTAGAACTAAGTCATGGAACATCTCTCCACTAACCCACATGCACCCTCCACACAGAGTTCATACGCGTAGAGGCAATTGGCCCAGCGAATGCACGGCGCCCAATAGTGTTTCTAGCAGCCCGCGTCTCGATTGATGAACACGAGCTGAATGTAGCTTCAGACTGCAAGCCACAAACAGTTGTGTCGGTGTACGAGCTTGGTAGAATACGCATGTAGCCGCTGTTGTTCGGAGAGTCGGCAAAGTGTCCCAAAGAAATCAAAAAAAAAAGAAATGATGTTTGTCCAATAGTCGAAAGACATGGCAAAATCCATACGCTGTGTCGCCTACCTAATACATTTGGATCCGCGGTTCACGCATAGCGGGTGTTACGGTCTGCATCTCCGCTATTCGTCGGTAGAAGAAGCCTTGAGGAAAATAGTAGCATCTAGGTATATATTTGCGGTCTTGCCACGGAAGAAGTGAGCAGATCTGTCGTTGATGATACCATTCCCATTGTTGGTCCAGATCTAAGGGGTTTACTGAGGTGATCTACTTCGCCCTGACAGTCGCAATGGTTCTCCCGAATTTTTCACGAGTATCGCAGTATTTGCCTGTTCTTGCACTGCTCGTCGGCAATGTCTGCTCGCAAGCGGATGAGCCAGCAGTTCAGAATCATATAAGAAGAAGGACTGAACTTATAGCACAGGAAAAGCTTCAACGTCAAGGTATGCGCAACAACTGCCATTCATATGTTCGACTGAATCTTCTGGATTTGAAGCTAACTCGAAGGCAGACCATGAATTCCGGTCTACTCTATCACCTGTAGCGCAACAAGCTGAAGCGATCGTTGGCGCGATCCGTCAGTATGAGATAGATAATTTCTGGAGAAAGCCGGCAGGGATCGAGCTAGAGGATAACGAGAGATTCGCTGGAGAAATCTTTGCTAACGCCAAACCTCTCATTCCTTCTACGAAGCTCTGGCAAATTGTGTCCAAATTGCCAAAAGGGGCTCTGCTACACGTTCACTCCAGCGCTATCCTCCAATTTGAGACCATATTCAACATACTTCTCGACACTGATGGAATCGTCATCACAAGCTCGCAGGATATCTCGACTGAACTTGCTGCCGAGAACACTACAATCGCCTTTTCACATGTGACTGACCTAGCAGCTGATCCCAAAGTAGCAAATGTTTCTATCGAGTCTCCATACTATCAAGGTGGAACTAAGGTTCCTGCAGTGTATGCAGCGGAGAGCTTCTCAGGCGGCAGGTCAGCATTCATCGAATTCCTGATGACGAAAGTGGCCGTCACGAGAGATGATGTCCTTCGCCATGATCTTGGTGTTGATGAAATCTGGAGAAAATTCCAGTCAGTATGTAACCAGTGGAGTCATTTTCTTCCTATTATAGTTACCCCAGGTGGCCATAGTTGCCTATTAGAGGCACAAGTGTGTCTCCGCAGTATACAGAGCTCCCGAAACTTTTACCTGAAAGAGTAATTACTGAATCCAACGGCTGTAGTGCTTTGATCCAGCTGGATCGGCGATGACGTACGAACCAGTCGTTCGAAAGACATACCAGAGTGTTTTCAATGCCTGGGTGGACGACGGCATCACCTGGGTTGAGCTTCGGTCTGGCGGATCATCTGCCAAGTTGGTTCCTGAGGGCAAGGACACTCCAAACCCTGATCTCGACTTCTGGATCCGCGTACTATTGGAAGAATTGAACAAATTCCAAGCGACAGAGAAAGGCAAAAATCTTTGGGGAGTTCGGATCATTTGGGCAGATTATCGTGGTCTGAATCCGTCTCAACTTATGAGTAGTAAGTCTCTGGACAGTCACCTTGCAGTAGCTTCGTCTATTTCTACATTTCAGATGCTAACATGCGTGTCCTAGATATGGACAAAGCCATCGAACGCAAGATGCACTTCCCCGATCTATTCAGTGGCTACGATGTTGTGGCACAGGAAGATTTAGGGCGAACACTTCTAGATTTGGCCCCTGAACTCTTGTGGTTTCAAAACAAGACCCAGGCGTTGAATTTGACATACCCCTTTTTCTTCCACGCAGGAGAAACCCTTGGAGACGGTAACTCTACCGATAACAACCTTTTTGACGCCTTGTTGTTCGATAGTCGCCGTATTGGTCACGGATTTTCCTTATACAAGCATCCATTACTACTCGACCAATATAAGGAGAAGAAAATCATGGTCGAGGTTTGCCCAATCTCGAACGAAGTTTTGAGATTGAGTACTGACATCTTACACCACCCAATACCTGCAAGTGAGTAGATCTGAATTCTTGCGTGTTATTTTCGTGTCTAGAAGAGCCTATTAAGGTCTTGGATATGCTTCGAATTCGGCCGACAACTATGAAATGTCATAGGCGCTGATGGAGACTCCAAAACATAATTAGCTTTCAGCTTGAACTCCTACTAACACAAGCCGTTGTAGTGATTGCTCATGGTGTAGCCACGGCTATTAGCAACGACGATCCAGCCATTCTAGGAGAAGATGCAGCAGGTTTGAGTTACGACTATTATCAAGTCATTCAAGGATTTGATAATATTGGACTGGGGGGCCTGGGTGCCTTGGCTCAAAACTCAGTTCGCTGGTCAAATTTTGTGGACCAAAGTCAAGAGGAGTGGATCCATGACATCGAGCTCGGAGTTGACGGGACCGGCGTAAAAGCAGAGCGATTGAGGCTGTGGCAGGAAAAGTGGGAGTCATACTGTCAATGGATTGTGGATGAATACGCAGACTGGAACGCAACACTGATTACCCATCACAGGCTGTAGCTCATATAAAAGCTATCACAGGGGCTACGTGAGTTTAAATGTGAGCTTTATTACTCATAATCAGACTGACCTCACTCAAGAGGTACGAGATGATTTAGAGAGTTAAACTGTTACTAAATCTATTAGTCATTAATCGATTTTTCACATCGAATTAATACCTTTAACATTGTTGTTGTTATAGTACTATGTATAGCGAGTATAGGGGATGGAGCTTCGGACCTTATGACGTCTTATTGGTAGTATTGTGGTGTGGTGCGGCATCTCTATCCCGTAATACTTGAACACCAGAACAAATGTGTCAATGCAATCTTTAAGTTCTTAATGGTCTTTTACATAAACTTATAGAATTGAAATATATAACCTAGGCGCTAGTATTGAGGGCAACTGTCGGTAAACTGTACCGCTATAACCTGCCGTGGAGAAATCATATCACGGAGATTAACAGAGGGCTGTTCATATTGAGGGCCAACTACGCTGAGGGTAATACAGGCTTGAATAGTCATGTCTTAGGTGTGAGAAGGAGCGTTGTCAGACGTTGAATACACCGAGATACGCTACAGATAAAGTGTTCCAAGGGGGGTAGTGCTGAGGGCGACCAATATACGAAGGTGGGACTCACTAGAAGAGCTGCGGTCGAGATCTTGGTGATATATTAGGCCACAAGGGGAACTTGACCATGCCATCTTAAATCTAACTCGGCCAAATGTTGCTAGTATCATGTACTATCACAAACAGTTGACTATAGGAACGAAGCATTTAAGCGTGAGATAAGATGTAACTGAGCTGGAATCGCTTGAGGACCTGCTGGGCATGAGGATAACCTGCCTTCCCTTCATCCCACTCCCTTTCCTTCACTTCCCCCTCGTCTTTGGTGTCCTTACGGAGTAAACTGACCTGAGTAAATTATAACGTCCGGATGCGTAGATGCAAACTGGGTATAGATAGGAGTAAAGGGAAGAAGAGAGCAAGGGCAGGATTAGGGGTATGGGAATAGGAGGGGGAGTGGGTGGAAGGGTACTGGTAGGAGTAATAAGGTTTAGGTAATTATTAGTATACTGTGGAAGTAGACCAACTGGAGGGGGAGACTTTGTGAGCTCTCGGGCGTGAGGTGAGCCTCCATCTTAGATAGATGTAGATCGAGTGTAGTAGATGTAAAGAGAATGATGGAAGTAAGTGGATAGAAAGTCATGGTTTCTCGTGTGCCATGTATACGAGTGTAGTGATAGGAGAGGATTTACTATAGCGAGGGCTCTTCATACATTAGAGTGCACATATCGCAGGAGATTACTGTAATCCCATTTATATTCTGTGGGATATAAACATAATCAAGCCAGTGTCACCAAAATCCACTCGCGACTCTCGTCCACCCACGCAGCCTCATCAACCTCAGCAGTACATACCCTCTCAGCAACATTCTCCTCACGATTCACCCAATGAACAAGCAGAAGATACAACCTCCTCTCCGCGCGCACATCGTTATATCGATAATCATCAATCTTGCGCTCAACAACAATGAAACTGAGTTTCCCTTCCGGCTTCGCAACTTGGTGCTGCCAAAAGGGGAGCAACTCGCCGATTTGTCTGCTGCTATCTGAGGAACTGTAGATCTTGTTCTCTCGTGTAACAAGCTGTGAATGGCTTGTCCAGAAGAGCAGACGACCCGAATCCCTGAACTCTAGCCCTGAATGTATCCGATGCGGCGGGATGGCAGTGCACTCTTTCCAGCCCGCCGAGGTCGAGGCGTCAATCCCGTTCATCTTAATCGAGCGCGTATCTTCTAGTTTAATGCTAGAACTATTGATCGGTGCGGATTTGCCGTAAACATCGAGTTTCGTAATATTCAGCTCGGGCTGTATGTTTACTTGTCTGGGGATGCAACGCGTGATACCCTCCACGCATCCCCAGCCTAGCCAAGACCAGCTTGGAAAAGGTATGTCGTCGCTCGACCCATCCGGGGCAAGAACAGTATGCGTCTCCCGTCGTCGAGAGGGAATTTTGGGAGGTAGGTGCCCATCTTGCTGCCAGGTGATATTCACCCACGCCAGCGACAGCCCGAACATGCAGGACGCGGAATGTCCCCAATAGAACTCATGGCCCGAGCCCAAGGAGACGCGATTTAGCACTCCCATGAACGCATTGAGGATGTCGCCCTGCACACTCAAATGCCGCTTGTTATACGCCGCGATCATCGAACCTAGTTCGTCGTAGCTGAAGTTAGCGCCTCCGAACTCGCCGAACACGGGATGTCCGGACAGCACGCGGAAGATGATGTCGCCGGGCTCGACGGTCGTCGGGAAATCCTCGAATGCGATAGTTTCGCAGTACTTTGCCGACTCGCAGGACCAAAAGACTTGGTCCGACGTGATGACTATGGAGCGCCGCGAACAGAGTCCTTCTTGGAACGTCCAGCCACGCGTGCGCCATGCAGATGCTTGGTACGCCGCGTCGAGTCGCAGGACATTCATGACGCTGAGATTCTCTGTTACGTGCGCTGTACGCTGAGTGATTGTCCTCGGCGTATTGTTCAAGCCGGCTAACCCGTCCAGTGACGTACCGCTTGCTGCTACAATGGTCAGCGCTGCGCCTGAGTATACGAGGTCCATCTGGGGGAGCTGTATGGCCTTGTCAGCGTCCGAGTCTTGGATCACACATAATCTGTCGACCCAAAGATAATCAACTCCCATCTCACGGGTGAGCCATAATGCGTCATTGATCGTTTTCGGCAGTGAATATGAATCCAATGCGCCTGGGGTCTTGAGGGTCGCTAGGTTTCCTAAGGTGGTCTGAAATGGATCTTTCTCCCCGCCCCATACGTAGCTCAGCGTAAAATAGAGACACGCGGCCGGGACATCGACGATACAGCGCTGCTTCACATCGATGAGACGAAGATCCCGCGGCCAGACGGCTCCCGGTGTAAACCATGCTGGCTTTTCACACTTTGAACCATGACTTTTGAGGCAAATGTCGTACCACTTCCCCAGTAATCGAGTGTTGACCTCTGGCTGTACGATGCGGCCGGTAGGAAACACCAAGGAGGGATTTCCTCTACGTACATAATCGTCAATGGTAGGGATTGGGTGTTGACAAGGATGCAGTTGCATAAACGTCTGAGCAGTAGACGGGACAGGCTTAAGTCCAGCTAGCACCAGTAGCCTATTCAAGCTGTTGTTGCGAAGCTCGCCTTCCGTAGCCTGAGATTTACCGGGCAGGGTATTGTGGCGACGCTGCCTCACTAAACCCGCGGATGAATCGTATTTCGGATTCAACTGGGCGAACATTCGATGCAATACAACACTTGCTTGAGATATACTAACATCCAGGCCTCCAGGCCCAAGGCGGTTTCGGCCATAGAAGAATGCACAAGTAATTCGTTCTGGACGGTCGAGGAATTCGGCGATAGGCCACCACGGTTTCAAGGCTCGAGATGCGTCGCTGATGAGTTCGCATAACTCGCATGTATCTTGATTTGACCTGATAATGGCCAGACCATGTTCACCACACTTGACTTGTTCTCTATACTCGGGTTTGTCGGTTTCAGGGTTGAACACTTGGCTGAGTATCCGATCCCACTCAATTGACTGGCAGAAATGACAAAGATTGCTAGACATTGTGACTTAAACAGCCTCAAATTCGGCTTGTCACATAGGCTCTTGGACGTAGTTTTAGCTTGCTCTCACGTGGAAGCTACCAGAGGTGGTCCCTAGTGCCAAGGCTCTAGGTGCGGCTGAAGTACATGTGCCCGGGGTCTTTCACGTTGGCAAGAGATAGAACGTTGACATTGGTATGAAGAAGTTTAATGTCAAACCAGTAAATGGCCAATATTAGTTAGATATCTATGCTTTACTCTTGCTCTTTGCTTTACTGCCGTTCGTGGGTTTTGCCTTGCTCTTGACTTCCGAGCTTTCACTCTTCGCCTTGGTTTTGGCTTTAGGCTTCTCGAGAGCCTTGGGGTCAAGACCTCGCTTTCGCATCGCATTTCGCTTTGCACGCTGCATATATTCGGCGTCTTCGTCATCATCAAACCCGCCAAAATCATCATCCACCACAGCCTGAGCAGGAGTCTTGTCGTCGGCCAGGATAGGAGTTTTGTCAATTACTTCTTGTTGTTTCGGAGCCGACTCAGCCCCGTTCCTGATCAAGTTCGCGGGTGTTGGCCCTATCTTGTGGAACTTGGCGACAAAGCTGTAAACAATTAGCCACACATTCAGGGTGAATTCAAGTTTGCAGTATACTCACAAGCCGTCCATGTTCAAAGTATGTGGATACTAAATATATGGTCAGCGAACTTTGAACGGTATATATCAAAGATAGATTACACCGAGCTCTTTGTACGTAGAGCAAGCGAGGTAAGGATGACTCTCCAGTGAGGGAGGTATAGTAAAGGTATCGGTATACTCACAAATCGGCGAGTGAGACTTAAACTCTTGCTGTAAATTCTATGTTAACAAGTGTGTCATGAGGCAATTATTCGGAATGCTCCAATAGCGATCATAAATCTCATTTTCTTAATGGAAAGGGATCCCACTTACTCAAAGGTTTTACCCTGGTACGACGTAAATCCGGGCGTCCCGAAGGGGATTTCGGACTCAGTGGACACCAATCTGACGTTCGGCTTTAATAACAGGGGTTAGTATTTTGCCTTTTACTAGAGTTTTTAATACCGGTCGCAACCTACCCTCTTCTTCAAAGCATATTGGACGACTATACAGGGTCAGTAATTGCATAATTCAACAGAACAAAGCAAACTTACCCATTTCGTTTTCTTCGACGCTGACGCTACAAGTGGAATATACCTTTTGAGATAAGCGTGAGTGGTTGGACTTAAAAGTTCAGAATGCAGAGGGTGAGATTGAGTGGCAGGTGCTGCTAGAGTGGATATTATGGGTGAAATAATTACTATCACTTACTATGAAACCGCCAGTGCCAGCATGGTTCACCGAGTCGATAGCCGCCAAAAGCAATTGCTTTTGGGTGTGAGGTATCGAGATGAAATCCTGAGGACCTTTATTGGTTTTTACGGAGGGATCCTTTGCGATGACTGTTTATGTCAGTTATGATGATCAAACCAATGAACCTTCGAATACTCACCACCTGTTCCTGTACACGGTCTATTACACCAATCAAATCAGTAAATGTGGCGGAAGCTAGCTTGCAAGGATGCAATCTCATGAGATATAAATCCGCAGGTATGACTTACGCATCTGTAGCATAATAGGTTAGCAATAATCCTCAAAGAAGCGAAACCTGAGACAGCTGAATGTATATATTCAATGTTTTCTGGCAAGGCATCAAGAAACTAGGGAATCAAAAGACAGTTGGGAATTACTTACCAAGCAAAACGCGATCAAAACCGCCTATGACGTGCGGGAATTCTCGCTAATGAAAATTAGAACTCGGAGCTCCCAGTACACTAATGCAATTAAATGCCACAGGGGATTTTTCCCGACTTACAGCATCATAATTGCAGACAACAACTAATTGGCAAGTTAGATAACTATGAAAGAAATTGGGCATATATCATAGGTCACTTACCATTCCTGACTCCAAGTCTGTGAATGTTTCCTATTAAACCGCGTGATCGCGTCTTGGAAGGATCCTGGGCGATTTTAGTTTCATACATTAACGCCATCTCGAAGTTTACCTACGTTTGCAAATATGCATCCAGTATTCTTCATCATCGCCGCTAGGTATGTGGTCTTGCCACCAGGGGCACTGGCCATATCCACTTCAAAACCACAGTCAGCATGTCTAGCAGAAAAATGCTCGTAGGACAAAGATCACTATGAGATATCAGGGCAAAAAAGCTGAGCGATTCTTGAAGTGATTCATTAAGTTTACTCACATATTCTCTCTCCCTCTTGAGGTGCTAAAGCCATGCAAGGTAGAAAACCTGTATCGTCAGTCATTGCTTACTAAGCTTCCAGGTGTGTTACTTACTGCTTCCCGCTTGAAGAATATAATGCCCGGCAAGATACTCGGGCGTAGCTAAATTCAAAAATTAGTCGATGAACCGGGATATTTCGTGACGGCTTCTATTATTACCTCCCAAGCTAGAAATATACAGTTAGCATCGAGATAAACTGCAAGGGTAAGTTGGAAAATGAGAGCCCGGAGGGGTATTCCGGGAGAGGAGCCCAACTGGTGAAATACTTACGGGACATTTGATTCGAATACTTGGAGGCCAACCTTAGACCATTTGCCGACCTATAAAGAGAGAAGAGTCAGCGGTCGTTTCCCCCCTTCCGATTTGAGCACAGTCCAAAGGTAAGCCAACATATGCAATCGGAATCTGGAAAGAGGCATTGGAAGTCTCTTACTGGCTCAAGCGTTACACCACGGTTGATAAGGGCTGAGGCGAGCTCTCTCCTGGAGGTCTTGAGAGTGTTTGTTCTGATCACATGTTAATCCAAGCCATTCAGTATTGTTGATGGCTTTATAAACATACCTTATGACGATAGGGCGAGGACTTCAGATCAACAATTAGTAAAAACTCAACTCAGGATACTTCAAAACAAGACAAGTTGGTGAAACTAGCACCAGAAGGTACTAACGTTTCATTGGCATCAAAAAAAGCGAGAGCTTCTCTCTGTAAAATGTGTCAGCGCTTATGATTGGATATGAATGAGAGTTGAGGCCCTGGATGAAGCAAAGGCTTACCGGCGGGAACAAATTCAGCAGCTTTTCAGCGAGAAATTCTGAATAACCATAGTATGCGCAAATATCTTTCAACAATTGCGCAGTATACTCTGATCGAGAAGTGCCCGGCTCCGCCAAATTTTTCAGGTCCTCTAACACACGGACAGTATCGGTTATTCGTTGCCTCAAGAGCTGTAAATCGGGAGCCAGCAATGCCTTATTCTCTTCGGCTCCGTCTTCGAGAACGTGAGGGATGTCGATGTTGGTCTGCAGCGTCTCTTGAAGTTCGGCTTCTTCTTCGGCTTTCTCCTTGTCCAATTTCCGGGAAAGGCCAACAATGTTAGCAGCCGTGAGTTTCTCCTCCGCGTCAGAGTCGTCTTCGTCCTCAGAGAACATAGCTCTGCGATCGTCCGCGCCCTCTCCCTCCGAGTCGTAAACTGAGTCATCAGAGCCTAAGAAATCGTCCTTAAGCCCAGCCTCCTCCAGATCCGACATGTCTTCGTCGCTGAACCCGCCTCCAATACCCTCGCTCATATCGTCGACGTCTAATTCGGGTTCAGGCTTGCTTTTCTTGGACTTCGGTTTCACTACTTTGCCATTGCGCAAAGGGAGAGCTTGGGGCGCTTTCGCAGGTTTAGATTTTCCATTGGCCTTGATACTAGCTTTGCCGTTTTGCGACTTCCGCTTCTTCGTCTCTGGGACATCGTCGACAGGCAATCCAGCTTTGCGCTTAAGTTTCGCAATATGCGCTTCAGACAGTGGCTCTGGTATGCCCTGGTGCTTAAGCCGATTTCCAGTACCCATTGTGAAAAAGTGCGTCCACGCGAAGATCAAAATGCAGCAAATTCGCTTTGCTGTAGGTATGATACCCAGTAGGCGTTACTCAAGCTTCCAGCCATAGATCTGCTCCATCAACTTTTTTTGAAAGGGACCCATGCTGATAAGCCGATAAGCAGGTGTCTCCACCTGAGCAGTAGCCTACAATGTACTAGGTACTTCGCCGTGGGGCTGGCGAGAAGCTCCAGCCACACAGTGGGGGTGGGGGTTGCATGTCTCACTACCTACCTGCAATTCAGTCAGCATCATCTCGCCGTTATCACGATTAAAAACATAGTAGCTCGACTCCTGTATACCTATCTAACTTTTCGAATAAATGAATTGAAGAACACGATCTGGGACAAAATGACAGAAGTATCTTTCGCCAAGTCTTTCCTCGCCGCACTAGATGGGCGTCCCATCAAGCTATCGCCCGACCATGTCGAAGATCCCAAGACCTACCAAGCGCGAGGCGCTGTACGTGTCCTCCCTCTGCGCAGGAGTTGCAACTTGACCACAAGCGACTCTGGGGTTCTGAATGCCAATATAAACTAACAGACTGATAGTACACCCTTCCTAAGATGCCCAAAACGATGAGCAAACGCAAAGGCACGAGTGTAACTCCCGGCCAAGAACGAAGCCTCGTCGTAACCGTCAAATCGCTTCGCAACCCACCGCTTGATCTGAGACTCTCTTCCCAAACGCTCAATACTTCGGTTCACGATATCAAGGCCTCCGTAGCCAAAGAGACCGGCATTGCCGAGAACAAGATCAAAGTCTTACACAAGAAGAAACCCGTTCCTGATAGCAAAGTATTGAAAGACCTTGTTAGTGAGGACGATACTGCTGTTGAATTTTCTGTAATGGTGATGGGAGGTGCTGCTTCCGCTGCCGCTACAACAGGGGGGAAGCAGGACGCACAGCATGATGTCGCCCAAGGCCTCAGTGGCGCAGATGTCTTACAAACAGAGGATTTCTGGGCTGACTTGAAGGGTTTCTTATTACAACGGATACGAGATGAACAATTAGCAGCGGAACTTGCGAGTACATTTCAGGAGGCATGGAAAACGAAAAGCTGAGTTGCCACGATGAGGACAGACTCTACGTGAGGAGCGTTAGTACCATTGCATGTTAGCTGCGTCACGAATGGAGTAATTGGTGCACGCAGGAACGGCCAAGATTTCTGAATAGCGACAAGAACGCTTAACAGCCAAGGAATAACTAAATGGTGTCGTGTAGTATTATTGGTCAACATCGGTTCCGGAGTCTTTTGTCAAGCAACCTCGCGTGATAAGCTACCAAACTAGAACCCGTTGTAGGTCTGCAGCGGACGGACCTGCACCGAATTTCTCTTCACCGCGGTATCATGGACCTCATAGACCAGAACTATCAATTCAGATCTTTTGTCTTTTCCGTCTAATTAGTACTATAGCAGCACTCAGCGCATTTAACCGGCCAGACCCTTGCTGACAGTCTTCAGGACTGTATCGTGCTCGATGTCGTCTGGGTCGTTGGCTTGCACTTCATGTCCGATACCGTTGAGTGAGCGCTTGAGGCCCTCCTTGGAAGAGGCATAGATCATCTTGGGCTACAAGATTGTTAGTTCTAAGGCATTTTGTAGGGAGTATTAGACAGGTATACTAACCTGGACACCAGCATCATCTGGGGACCAAGCAATGAAGGTGATCTTGTTTCTGTATCCGTTATCAGCGTGATGAACCTCACTATGTTAGTTGACGCTACCAACCGAAGGCCCTCTCCACTAGCGAGGCCGTACTCGAAGTCATAGACGGCGTATCGGGGACCCTTGGTAACAGCACCCTAGCAAGTAAAACGAGTTAAAATGAGTAGAAGCTCGCATGGTGTACGGCGCAGCTTACGCTCTTGGTCTTAGCAGTAGCTGAGATGAGCTTCTGGCGGAAGACCTCCCAATCTTTGTCGGCAGAGGCTTCCTCAACTACAATCTCTCGGTTGTCGTCTGACAGCTTGAAGATGATGAACTTGTACTTCTTGGCGAGCTTGAGATCGTTGAATGCAGATATGCACTCTTGCGAGACGTTCGCTCTAAATAGGTATAGGTAGCACAGTTAGCTACGCTGGTCTGACTCTGACAGCAAGAGCTTGGAACATGGGCGGAGCGGCGCATGATTGCTCAGGCGATCGCGTGCGGGGAGCTGTCCAGATGTAAGAATGGAAAGGGACAACAAACCCTGATTGAGACTACAAGAGAACAGCGTGTTAGTGATCGTCGAGGCGCGCAAGTTCCAAGCAGACAAGGGGAACAGAAATTCCTTACCATGGCGGTGGTAGACAAGTGGAAGGGGGAGTGCTTCGAACGAGCTAGGAAATGCGGTCAGCGTGAGTACTGAGCACTGAGCGAGCGGCCATGCCGACGGAGCTCAAGATGTAGATATAGGAGGGAGTCGTGGCGGGAGGGACCACGGCAGGCAGAAGAACTAACAGAAGTTGGTGACTGGAAGAGTTGAGCCACGCTGACGTGGTCTGCTATCGTCAAAGGATTGGGTTTGAACGAAGCGATGATCGCAAGAGTAAGGGGGTAACGGTAAGGAGTAGTAGGTAGATGAGGGAAAGAGAGAAAGTCAGGTCAGTCTAGTTAGCGACTAGATACCTGACAGGTTGGAGGGCTGGATGTGGGATGTGCTTTGGTGGGACGCTTGTCGCAATGGAGGGGGAAAAAAGTGACGTCCCGCCCCGACTGGTATACTGTTACATACATATTGTTGTTGTACTTGGGTATGCACACTGTGCGCGCGGTAAAACAGCGCAGGGCGGTAGGGCACATGTGTACCTAATCATTGATGGGGAGGACCCTACTTACCGCGAGTATTTTCCGCTATCCTTCACTATCTACATACAGTACGAACTTACATAGTACTTACACCTCTCAGCCTAGATAGGTATATGTACTTACCTACCTGTGTACCTAGGTGTCCACCAGGTACCTACATAAGATACAGTACATACCTATGTAGGTAGCTATGTAACTACTATATACAGAGCTTCAATTCTGCAGGCAGCTATTATTTTTATTTTATTTTTTACTGTACAGCCACCACTCACCCAAGGCCACAACAACAAATTGCCAACCTTGGTGGAAGGCAAACGAAAAACAATTCAGTAGTGGGGTGACGAGTCGGCGGGGGCTTGGCTGGTTGGCCGAGCAGGCTGTTGGCTTGGCGGGCGAGGGGTAACCTCAAGCTTTCTTCGACAAATCAATTCCACCTAAACCGCTGAAGAGGTCGACAGGTTGTACACAAATGTCCTGCCTAATGCACTGTACAACATATGTACATTTTACTTGCAGCCGCTCCCAGGTCTCCTCACTCTTGGGGGCCGTTTTTCAGAAGCTTTTAGGTACCTACCGAATAAATCACACCTCCAATGAAGAGCAGTGTTTGAAATGGACGAAGGATGCCCAACGACCGGGTAGTCTAAATAGACACAACGAGAGAGCCGAATATAACTTACTTTACAATATGCTTATAATTAATACAATTTCGCAGTAATTAATAATCATAAAGACTATCAGAAGCAAAAGGAGAGGAGAATACCTACTTGCATTCGCTGCACTGTTCATGTATGGTCCGGAAGAGGTTCCGACTGTTGCGACTACCTATTCAACCTCTACCCACACGACCGTAAAAGCCGCGTAGCTGTACAATCACGTGGGGAATGTTGTGGTGGCAGAGAATGATTCATTACGCTGTTCACCATTAACAACGCTCCTCTACTATAGGCAAATGATCTTTCAATGCTCATGATGTGACATCTATTAAAACGTAAATAAGCAGAAAAGATCAAGATATATGGATCATTCGACCGTCGCAAGGTATCTATCCTCAACTATTGCCCCAAGGAGCTGATTCAGCATACCTAGTAAAAAGACCTTCATATTCTTACATTACAATAGCACGTCACACGATGCATACAGACAATTTTTTATTCTATTCCCACTACAGAAACAATCATTCTCCATGAGGGTCAATCACTGTGTGATGAATTTATTACCAATCCAAACAACGACCGCAACAACAGGCAGCAAGATCGCGGGGTTTTAACCATCAGCGCCTGATATAGGCACCCATGAGCGGAGAGGATTTGATATTTACGAAATCATACGAAAAATGCAAATGTTAAAGGAATTAATTTATCATTTTTTTTGTCTTTGAAGCTAAGCAACCAAAGTAAAAAGAAGGGGTGGCCAAGCTAGCTAGCTATACTATACAACGCCGCTCGGGATATCAGTCGTAGTCGTGGGAACATTCAATGTACACGTGATGAGTATGGAGGGGAGATGAAGAGAGATAACGTGGCCACGTGAGATAATAGAACCCATTGCCCCAACACCGAATTCAAATGCTCCTTTAAGCCCAAATGTTTTGTTTTTGATACAAGAGAAGGATCGGAGTCAGATGTCATCATGTATCTCTTACATCATGCCACCCATGCCTCCCATACCTCCCATGCCGCCGCCCATACCGCCTGCAGGTTTATCTTCTGGCGCCTCGACGATGGCAACTTCTGTGGTACCGAGCAGAGAAGCGACGCCGCTGGCATCTACGAGGCCAGTGCGGACAACCTTGAAGGGGTCGAGGATACCGGCCTGGATCATGTCGACGTACTCGCCCTTGGAGCTATCAAAGCCCTTGTTGAAGTCGGCACCAAATTCATCCATCAGCTTACCAACAACGACCGAACCCTCCAGACCAGCATTTTCGACGATAGTGCGAGCAGGTCGGGTAATTGCGTTCTTGATGATGCTCACACCAAGTTGCTGATCGAAGTTGGAAGGCTTAACATCCTTGAGGGCATGAGCGGAGGCCTTGAGGAGGGCAGTGCCACCACCGGGCAGGATGCCCTCTTCAACAGCGGCGCGGGTAGCGTTTAGAGCGTCTACAAATCGGTCTTTCTTCTCACCCACTTCAACCTCTGAGGAACCGCCGACCTTGATAACAGCAACACCGCCAGAGAGCTTGGCTAGGCGCTCTTGCAATTTCTCTTTCTCGTAGTCGGAGGTACCAGGGTCTGACATGACACCACGGATCTGTTCACAGCGAGTGGCGATAGCGTCCTTGCTACCCTCACCGTTTAAGATGATGGTATCTTCCTTAGTTATTGTGATAGAACCGGTAGAACCAAGTAGATCGGGTGTGGCCTTCTCTAGCTTGATATCGAGCTCATCGGTGAAAACGGTTCCGTTGGTAAGCACAGCAATATCGCCGAGGATGGACTTGCGGTTGTCACCAAAGCCAGGAGCTTTCACCGCAGCAACTTGAAGCTGGCCACGGAGCTTGTTGAGAATGCAAACGGCGAGAGCTTCACCGTCAATATCCTCAGCAATAATAACAAGGGGACGGCGCATCTGAGTCGAGGCCTCGAGGGCGGGGATGATATCCTGAACGGCGGAGATCTTCTTCTCAGAAAGGAGGATGAGAGGCTTCTCAAACTCAACTTTCTGAGCCTTGGCGTCGGTAATGAAGTACGGCGAAACGAAACCACGGTCGAATCGCATACCCTCGGTGACCTCAAGTTCGTCGTTCAAGGTCTTGCCCTCCTTGACAGTAATGACACCTTCCTTACCAACCTTCTCCATGGCATTGGCAATGAGCTTGCCAATGTGAGTATCTCCGTTCGCACTGATAGTAGCAACCTGAGCAATCTCTTCGCTTGTAGTGATGTCACGCTTGTTCTTCTGGAGGTATTCAACAACAGCATCTACAGCAGCCTGGGTACCACGGCGAAGGTCCATGGGGTTACAACCAGCAGCAACGTTCTTAACAGTCTCAGAGAAGATGGCTCGTGCTAGTACGGTAGCACTAGTAGTACCATCACCGGCCGACTCGTTGGTCTTTGAGGCGACATCCTGTAGCAATCGAGCACCGAGGTTTTCGAACTTGTCCTGCAAGCTGATGGCTTTAGCGACAGTAACACCGTCTGTTGCGCATAATGTTAGTGCAGTTACAAGGATTCGGTATGGTGGTGAGCTGAAATACCCTTTGTGATCTTGGGTGAGCCATAGCTGGACTCAATCAAAACATTTCTGCCCTTAGGACCTAATGTGGTGGCAACAGCCTTTGCTAGAGTCTCTACACCGGCAAGAAGCGAGGCCCGGCCCTCGACACCGAACTTGAGCTCCTAAAATGGGCAGGTTAGCATTATGCATCGGCAAAGGGTTTGGACAACCTGGGAGGGGTTGGAATCGAACCTTGTGTGCGAATCGGAGCTGTTGCGACAGACCAGCACCAGCGCGGTACTTGGTCGCAGCTGAAGATAGGGCAGTGGCCCTGGCGCGTGATGAGAGAGCGCGCTGCATTGTGATAGGTGGCGTGGCTATTAGAAGAGATATATCAAAATTACAACGGCACAGGCAGACGTCTCGCAACCGACAGACTGAGGAGGAGGGGAGCAAGTTGGGACGGTTGAGAGGATAATGGATTCGGGGAAGCTGGAAGAACTTAAGCTTCAAAAATTTCGGCATCGGCTGCAAAATGGATAGAGGGTCTAGCCAGCTATCTGGGGTGGGGCGCTAAGCCAGTCCTGGACTGGTGCACTTTGCGGCTTTCCTCTGTGGAACACCGTCGAAGATGTCCGGGACTTCGAGAAGAGCATCAAGCTCCGGTTGATGCATTTCCTTGTATCGGATCGCCAATCTATGCACCCAAGCTCTTGATATGCATTCATACAGTACAGAAACTCGTGAAATCATCCAGGTTGCATCTTGCAACATCGTGCAATGGATGGAACACAAGTGTTCTTTCACTCGTAAGTATCGAATCTTTCAACGGCAGAAACTGAACGCCGCTTTTCTTCTATATCAATATATATACTGTAGGTAAGTAAGAGAGGACTAGCTATAGTTGAAGAAAGGAAATCCCTATAATAACCCCATAATTTGACATGTTGAGTGCGATTTCGGGTTGATCTTCCACGATGGACGGAGGTTTTCAAGCGTCAAAACGATTGTCACATTTCGAGTTCTTCTGGCGAACCACTAAACTGGGTGAGTACCAAGGTAGGTCCTTGCTACTGTAAGTTAGATCCATCAGTCTAGGAATACTGCGCATCATAGACTGACATCACGTAACCTTGCCTACATGTCTACTTTGCATAGATAGCTTCTCGATCTGTCACAGATGCATTACAAATCAACCTATCAGAACACAGCCGGAAACTGGAGTTAATAAATGTCCAGTGGTAAGACGCGGTTATGCGTTGAAAAGCTACCAGTACCCGGCGTTAACACTAACTATTACCGCCTTGGTACGTGACGCTGACAAAGCAGGGGACAGATGTAAAAGTATAAAGAATACTTAGACTGTCATCCAGAAGAAACCAACTCAGCGATCATCGGTAACCTAAAAACAAACACCCGAGAAAGGCCAAATTCACAATGTCGACTATTGCCAAGACTATTGTTGCTACTGGCGCAAGCTCGGGCATCGTAAGCGCTCAAGTACGCCAGGAATCGCATTAAACAGCACTAACATGGAGTAGGGTTTTGAGGCCATCAAGCAATTGCTCTCGCAATCGCAGCCTTACAATTTCGTCCTTGGCGCCAGAGATCTCAAAACTACAACAGAAGCCTACAATGCGCTGAACTATGACAGCAACAGACACTCTGTCACCATCTTCCCTCTTGAGCTGAATAACATGAAAGATGTCAAGAAATTCTCGCAGAAGACTCTTGAGAAGTTGGGTTCAAGTCCAATTGACTACCTCTTGCTCAATGCAGGGACAGGCATGGTGAAGAAAGTGGCCCAGACAGGGCCTCATGGCTCGAAGTGGATCGAGCCGTACCTCGTCAATCATCTCTGTGAGACCATATCCCAAGCCAGCACGACGTGTTCATGACTTACACCAGTAGCACAACACTATCTCGTCCACCTCTTACGGCCAAAGCTAGAGCAGTCCAAGACCCGGATTGTGTTTGTTTCGTCTGGCGCCGTACGAGGTGTCAAAGATACCAGTAAGGAGATACCGAACAGGCCTATAACCGCTGACAGAGCTAACTATATACCTTGGTAGGCATATTGGATGACGTAATGTTAGCTGCCAAGGAGACAGATAAAGCTGTCTATGCCCCTACCAAATTTACCCAACTCCTTAACGCGCACTGGTGGCGCCGTCAACTCAAGGGTACTTGTGATGTGGTGGCTGTGTCACCGGGCCTAATCCCACACACAGGTATCAGTCGGGGTAGTGAGATGAAAATACCAGACACCCTTCCCGACGCGAAGAGTGTACCTGAAGGTGTGTTCCCCAAGACTCACGAGCCTCCTCCGCTTCAGACATGTGCGAGCATGCAAGCTAACCCAAAGAAAAGGTGCGCAAAGTGTCCTTGCAGCTCTCACTCGTAACGACTTCCCAGAGGATCCTGAGCAAATTTTCCTTACGAGCTGGGGAGAATGGTGGCCAAAGGACGTCTACGGTCTGACGCTTGACAAGGGCCTCCAAGAGAAGTGGTCGCCGAGCCAAGCAGATATTGAGAGAGAAGAAGGCATTACCTCCTAAAAAAAGTATTTATTGACTCTTTGAACGCTCTGGGAGATGAGAATTAACAATGCAGAATGTTCCAGTAGAGGCAGCTATTCCGGAACGACATTATGTTTTGGATAGTCTCGCAGAGAAGTGGACAGGTACGATGGCGTATTTAGCAGCTCTGTATTAGTTATCTATGAGGTTATTCAGACCTCTGAATAACTAGCTAACTACTATTAATACCTTGTGCGATCGGCTGGCTTGGCTTCTGAAGATCTCCCGCCGAGATCCACATGTCCGCGACAGTTGCGATGGCAGTTATGGTTAAGCGAAATAGCTATTTCAGCTCGTTGTTGACTACTACCACCGTGGAATAATAGCATGGACACCGAATTTTCCCATAACATAATAAACTACCAAATCATAACCGGTTCATTCCGACACGGTGACCCTGACGCCTTTAGAATCGAAAGGTGGCATAGGAAACAAGAGTCCACTAGAAAGTGTTAGTCAATATGTGTCTCCAGTAGGTACGACAAGCAGTGCTGGAAGCGCTAGAGTAATTAAGGAAACCATACTGCACTGCTACGATATCCCTCAGGGTCGTATCGTGAAGAGATAGAGCGGGAGCTCCGGGTCGGAAGAGGCGAGAGAGCGTGTGGTATATCTGCATATAAACGAGACTAGCCCTACATTTTAGCTTTCATGACAATTGTACGAAGAGACTCATTCCGTGGATACTAAGTCGGTGACCTTGGGAGAATGAATACGAGTATAACTCACTTCTTGCCGACACAGCTGCGACTACCCTTTGCGAAAGGTACATAATACATTTGCATAGTTTTCAGCTTCTCGGGATCAGCTGTAAGCCACCGGTCAGGCTCGAAAGATTCTGGATTGGGAAACACGGCGGGATCGTTATGCATCCAATACGTCGTCATCGAGATTGGTGTCTGTTACGCAGTGAGTATTCCAACCGCCAGGTCTTATGACAACAAAGATTTGAGACGCAGTAGATCAACTTACCCCAGGAGAGATGACCCAACCACCGACCTCAATTGTACGTTCTGGGAAAACTCGGCTCGTGCGATTCATGCCACCAACAGCCATCCTTTACACACCCCATGAGTTTAAGAGGTTCGTCATTTGACAAGCTGACTGAATCTGAGACTCACCTTAGTCCCTCAGCTACCACAGCACTCAAGTATTGTGCCTTTTCTAGCTCAAGCCAAGATGGGGTGGTTGACTTGCCATCGTATTTACTCCATATTTCTTCAAGTTCTTGGCGCAGCGGCTCAAGTATCTCTGGTTTTGTGAGTAAATGAGTGACGATGGTCCCAAGAGTGTGAGACACATTATGCGCCCCTGCCTGTTGGATAAGTTGAGCGAGGCGTGGGAAACCGCCGCTACCAAGCTCCCTTTCGACGAGCTCACTCTTTTCTAACTGGTCGAGAACAGTGTACTTTTCTCGCGTTTGTGTTTTATCGGAAGGGCGCTTACGGATTAGGAGAAGCTCCCGGCGAGCTTGCTGTAGTAAATCTTAGCGGCGTGGAAATTTCATTCTGGCGATTGGTGCAAAGGCATCATAATAGACTACGGATGGGGCCCTTAATCTGGACAAAAGCGGAAAACTTACCTCATCCCAGACCGTCCAGCGAGTGATATGAGTAACCAAAAATCGAATGAATGGCTGTCCAATTATGCTAAGAAATATCGTTAATCTATTTCTAATGTATTTCAAAGAGCTCGATGTGGCTTAGTACCTAATTATCCATGGCAAGTGCTTGAACACGAATACACTTCGTGTCCCTCGTTTGAGTGTGTCAAACCAATCGCTATTGAAGTTGGGGTCTCCAAGATAATCGCTGGGTTCCTCAAAGATCACGGATGAGATGATATCCGTTGTAAGTGAGCTAAATGCGTTCGATAGGTTGACCACTTCCCCAGTCCCTTGATAATGTGACAGCCGATCACATAGTCTTGCTACCCGATCGGCAATCCGGGATTCAAATGGTAAGATACGATTCCGTGCAAATATCATATCTATAGGAGCGCGCAGACGCCGATGGGCGTCATGTCTATGAGAGATGCTCGCCATGTCTGTGTCCACCATTAGTTACTCTCTGAGACAAATACCAATTGTTGTTAAACCTACCTTCAAATCCAGTACCGGTACTAGATCTCGGATAGGAGTCGGTTTTGCACACGGCTCCATAAACAAATACATCATTGTATGCGGATGCTTCCATAATGTGGATTTCCTCTGGGGTAACTCGTACCACAGGGCCTGAATCTCCGCCTTAGTATACCTGTTCTCACCGAATTGCCAGACACATACTTACCGTATCTCTCATGCATCTCACGAATTCTTTCGTAGTACTTGCCGGTGTGTACAACGTTGTAGTAAAATTCGTACCAATGCGTAACTTTTGCAAGAAAGGGACCTGGAAACGATGCCAGAGGGCTCAAGTACAAGCGATAGATAATTAGCATCAAAGTGTAGGCAAAAGTACATGTGAGAATCAGGAGACTAATGCGTGACCATGCCAAGAGCTCAATAGTGATACGACTTTGGTGAATGGAGTGTAATCCATCATGAATGAAATCGTCAATTCTTGACTTTATCTGGGAAGACATCGCGACGTGAGGCTTTAGGCAGTATGAAGTAGAATAGCGAATGGCTGCACTTGATTTACTCGTATGGAAAGAGAATTTGTTGGTAGTTGGGAGAGGATCAGGACGGAGAGGAACTTAGGGGAAATGAGTCACATAATATATCTTCGTAGGCATTGTTTGCCATGTGGTACTGTCTTGGACTTTCGGCCATGAGCGCCAATAGAGCGAATGGTGTAAGTTGAAGTGACGAAAGATGTTCTATTTATTGGCCGAAACATCACAACGTAAGGGATACGGCTTGACAAATCTATCACTAGAAGCTTGACTAGACGACATGTGGAAACCCCCGGTGGATCTAGCGTTGGTGAGTTGCTTTTTAGGACCAAAGAAAAGTATTCTTCGGATATTATTGTGGCTCTCAATGACTGAGAACATATGTGAATTGGATTTGTATATCATACGATATTTTTCTTATCCCTACATTAAAGGCTGACGTCACCCTTCTTTCCACGTCGTTGAATTCAATGCAATTGCCTTGTTGATTAGAAGCATCATTTGACTGGCAGATTCTGTGACCCTGTTAAGGTCTGACTCCTACCACTCACTTTCTCCTTCATTATTCTTCCCTTTATCTACCCTAAAGCAGCGCTTTTCTCTCTCTCGACTGATTAAAAAGGAAAACAGCCGTATCAGGCCTGTAACTTATGTTTTATGTTCCGATATCATGGCTCCAAGGTTAAACACATTGAAAATAATAACGTACCTATTTCATCTTAGGATATAGCCTCGCAAGAAATGTAATCATCAATGTTCAATGAATGGATTGGTGAGACAATGTGTGGCCTGACTTAAAAGATCGGCGTATTGTATTGGGAAGTAAAGAATTATAATGAGCCAGCTTAGCAATAAGTCTTTTGCACACAAAGCCTAAAGATCCCAAATGACCCCATCCATCCTGATTGTATCGTTCCCGTTGACCTGGTCGTATGAAATATACTTTCCTGCTCGACCACTCTTGGTGCATATTGTTGATATGAGGTCTAGAGCAGCAGGAGGTATGCCTAGGCGGTTAAGATACTGGAGAACTTGGCATAATCAGCATCCGTAAGACCAGTGTGTCACTTATGGCAGACCCAGCGACGACAGTCGTGATTATTTCAGGGATAAACAAGAATGGCATTGTTGTTTGGCGGTTAGCCTTGATAGGGATTATCAAGAAATCGTGAAGAAATTAGATGGCTATAACTAGTATTCTTAAGTTTCTGTTACGCGTGCAACCTCTGTGCCAGCTGAATATGCAGTTCGCCTCGCACTTCGGCCGTACGAAGGACTATTGCAAGCTGTTCATGATCTTTCAAGATATGCAGGCAATATTGGGCAATATTGGAA